ATTTGAGCAAAACAGAAATGAGGGAATGCGCGAATATGATGGGTCGTCTGAACAAAGTTGCGGACCACGCATTTGAGCGTGGGATACGTATAATGGTTGATGCAGAACAAACTTATTTTCAACCTGCTATTTCACGTTTAACAAATGCATTGATGCGACGGTTTGTTTAAAAATATTATTTTGATGGTATTTTGAGTGATTTTTTCTTGGGATCGATCTGATTATGGATTGTGACGCTTTGGTGCTCTCATGGAGTAAAATTTGAAAGCACGGACGTTAGGGCGCGGGGGCGTAAGGCGCGTGTGAAAAATTTTCGGAATAACGTTACATCCCCCTTGGAACAACATCACTCATTATGGAATTTCCCCAAGTGTGGTCGAGCAATTTAAACGTTTTTGGAAGTTTGTTACGTGTGCCTTAACGACATTGCGCCCAACTATTTTTGTTCAATAACTTTTTTGGTTGTTTAACATTAGTTGTTCTATATTTTAGACATAATCGTGAACGTGGACAAGTTCTCAACACGTACCAAGCTTATCTACGATCTTGCCTCTCAGATTTGCTTATTGACCTGAATTTGGCGAAAAGAGAAAATTTTCATTTTAGTTGTAAATTGGTATGGATTTTAAATTTGTTTATTTTAATTAAATTTTTATTTAAAGGTTAGAGGTGCTTATATGGAACAAGAAAGGTTAAGAGCAGCAACAGTTGGATATGAAGATCCCATTAATCCAACTTGTGAAGCTACATCAGAGGTTTACTTTGGAGTAAATTGCATTATGTTTAACTATTTTTAGATGTACCATAAATGTTTGGCTGCAATCGTGGACGAATGGCTTGAACGTGGTAGGAGTAGTGCTTCAGGTTTTAATTTTTCTTTTTTAATCTTTCTTTTGGAAAAGAACCTTTCCCAATCCTTTTATTTCTTGTGTATTTTTAATTATTTTTCTTATGGGTTCAGAAAGTCACCGGGAATTAGAGAAAAATTTTAGTTGACATTCTTGTTTTTTTTCTTTCCTTTCCTCATTGTCATTTTTGAATTTTAATTTCACCAGAAATCGAATTTTTCTATGGCTACATTTTAAAAATTCTTTTTCCAGTAATGGTTGCCAGCCACAATTTGGATAGTATTCGTTATGCTGTGGAGCTGTCTAAAAAGTGGAAGATTGCACCAAGTGAGTTTTTGATAATTTAAACTGTCGTGTGTTTATTTAATCTTTTTCTAAAGGTGAACGAGTCATCTGTTTTGGGCAGCTGTATGGAATGTGCGATGTGGTGGGTTTTAGTTTTTTTAATATTTTTGCGGTGAATGAGTAAAATGGTGTTTTGTGTTTTCATTTTTTTCTTTCAAAGTTTTGAGGAGTTTTTTGTCATGAAGAGGGTGTTTTTTTGTTGTTTCAATCTGAGCAAGTTTGTGTAATTGTGCTTGTGTTCTGTTTTTTAGAGGAAAATGTGGGTGAATTATGAGGTTATTAGAAATTAGAGGTGGGAGAAATAGAGTTGAATTTGTTTTTGGGAAGAATGGAGGTGAATTATGCTTAAACTAAGTATCCCTTTTTGTTTAGATGTGTGTGCGTTTTAGTTTTTAATTGTTTACTTTGGTTTTTTACGTGCAAAACATAAGAAAAATATTGAAATATTTTAAGAATGGTGTAATTTATAAATGGTGAAAGAAAAAAAGTTTTAGAAAAATGTAAAGAAAACGAGGCACAAAATTTAGGGGAAAATAGAGGTGAATCAGTATGTTTAAAAAATAAATTATGTTCTTCCAATATGTATAGGTCTATCTTCAATTTCAAATTCTTCTGTAGCTGCGCGATTTCCTTTTTGTTTATGTGAAGCATGTAAAACTGAAAGAAAGTTTTGTGTTTATTTTAAAAGAGCTCCTTACATGCAAACATTCCGAGTAAATACAATGCAACAACTGTCCATGCCATATAAACCTAAATGTGAGAGCAGGGATAGGGGTTATTTCTTGAATTTTTTCGTGATTTTAATTTTTTGTGATGACTTTTTTTGTGGATTAGTGTTAATTGTATTTTTTGTGACTTTTTTGGGGGGTTTTTGTATTTTCGGGGCTTTTCTTATCATTTTTTTGTAATTTTTGTTAGTATATTTTTGTTTTTATTTTGTTTTTTTTACTTTTTTTTTTATTTTACCGGAATTTCAATTTCTTGTCCGGATGAGTAGTCCCAATTTCCTGGTAGATGAGAACGTTCGGCCACCTATTTTTAATTGAGAATTTCTTTGTTTTCCATTTTTTGGAATTTTTACCTCAAGATTCCATTCATCAACTGAGTTAATAAGTACTTCAATTGTTACGACAATGCACATTGCTTTGAAAAAATTTTTTTATGGGAATTTTGGTGGTTAATTCATTAAGTCATACCAATAATTAAGAATAAAAGGCCAACAACCCTTTTGAACATGTATCTGTGGTGACTAAAAAAATTTTCTGGGTTAAAATAAGGCAAAATTTTAAGATAATACCTGAATGTATATAATGCCATTCCATTTGCAAATGCCATCATAGCAATTGCGATAATAGAAAATGCTGCTTGTACTCGATAATAATCTGTAGATTATAATTAAACATTCATATTAAGGTGTTTAACTTACGTTTTAAATAGACACCCGCTAATCTTGAAAATCTGTCTGAAGCTGGTTCGGGAAAGTGTGAAATCCACTCAACTATAATTTAACTTTTTTTTTAATTTTTCCAAAATTTATCAAACCTCTTTTTGAAGTATTTACTGACCGATATTCACCCCAAACACCCAATTGAACATTAACATGTTCTTGTCTTTTATTAGTAAAATCAATTGTTGCCCAATTTGGGGAGAGGATTGCAATAATATAAATTATAATTCCAAGCTTAAGAAAAAAATTTTTTTTGGATTTTTTGATTAATTTATTAAAACCATTGTTCCAACAGTAGCTGCAGCCATTATTCTCCTCTGCCTAAGTACTCGTTTATATTCATGTAAATTAATTACTTGTGAATTTTTACATTCAACTGTTTTTTCTGCGTTGTGTAATAATGTTCTCATTATTAGGGGTTAAATATTAAAATCTGAAAATTTTTTAAAATAATTATTTTGTTAGTATTTTTTATGAATTGTTTTGGAAGGTTGTTTTTCTTTGAGTATTTTTTAAATTTTTATTTTAACAAATTCCATTAAGAATTGTTTTGCGTGTTATTTTGCATTTACTAATTTGTGGGAAAACTTAGCAAAAAAATATTTGGTGATATTTAAAATTATTTATTTAAATTTATTTAAAATTAAAGCGCGGATAAGAAATAATTTATAAATATTTTAATATTTTCAACAATAAATTAGTTAAGGAAAAATTTTAAATTAAAGATGCATAATAATAAGTATATTTTATATATAGAGAGATGCTCATTCTCAAGGGGATTGATAAGATATTTAGACTCGAATAAAATGTATGAAAATTGTTTTTAAATTTGTGGATAAGATAAAGTGAGGGGCAGAGGTGAGGAGTGATGAATTGTCTTGAATGTGAGGAAGCTTTTTTTAAAAGGATGCTTGTTCTTTTATTAATAGAGAGACACTTTAATTAAAAAATAGGGTAGTGACATTTTATTGAAATGAGGTATTTGAGGTTATATAGAATTTTTTTGAACACTCGCTTACGTAATTTAAGTTTGGTTCAATTACAAAAATAGTTTATTAATTGAGATATGGAAAACTTGGAAATATCAATGAATAATTTATAAAAATGCTTGTAATTGAGTGTATTTTTTTTAGCATTTCTGTTTTAATTTGTGTTCTGTATTTATTTTATTGCTTGCAAATGGCACCTCTGTATTTTATTTTTATATTTTATTAAGATATTTTTAGCTTTCTTTTTTTTGCATCAGAATATAGAAATATGACTATAAAATAAATTAAAATATAGGGAAGGGGCAAAACTCTCCAGTCGCATATTATTTCCAGCTGCTAAAAATAAATATATACATAATGTGTCTTGTGTCATTCGCAGAAAAAATTATGAAAATCTCGCGTCCCTTTTTTGCCATTTTTAGCTGCTAATTGCGTCAAAAATCATTAAATGTTTGTATAAATTTTATAATTGAATGAATTAAGTAAATTAGATTTGTGTGAGATTTCATTTAGAAAATTAAGTTTTAATTGATTGCATTAAGTAAAAGTTTTGAAGGATGATAAGGAGGCTTTGTTGTTAAATTTGAAGGTGGGGTTTCCTTTTGTGGAGGAGTTCATTTACTTTTCTAAAGTTTTTGAGGTGATTCACAGTTTGTTTGTTAAAGTGCTTAACGTTTTTATAATCCCTTGGGGTGTATTTATGGTTGTGAGTCATCTAAAACGTAAAATTAGCAAAATTTTTAGATAAAAAATTTTGGAAAGTTTTTTGCATGAACGAGTTAGGAGAAAGCTTACTTAAATTAAAATTGCGTATATGAAAACTATTGCGTATATGAATTTAAAACAAAAAATAGTTGTTAAAAATTTTTTAATTAAATTTATTTATTTTGGAATGATGCATGTTTATTTTCGTAATTTTTAAAAGTGCGACATAATAAATAAAAGTGCATTTATTTGCAATGCTTACGTAATTCGGATTTAAAAATAAAAAATTACCTAAAATAGCGCTTAAATAACATGCTTGTCCTTTTTTCTTTGACATGAAACGTTTATTTAAACATTTTTTGATCGACAAAACAAACGCAGTAATGTTTTTGAATAACTTTTTTTGTTTTTTTTGTTTTGTATTTTATCAGTTACTGAAGGATGAAATTGAAAAAGTTGATAAATAAATTGAAAAAAGAAACCAAAAAAACAAGAGAAAATGTGGAAAAATATTTATAAAAGAATTGTAAAAATGGAATAATGGCGAGATATAGAAGTGAGATTATAGCCTGACCGAATGCAATATTTTAGTAAAAAAGCTTATTTTATTGTTTAATATACTGGCAGTAAAAGCAAGTCTAAGTAAGAGAGTGTTTGTTGTTTACATTTTTCTATTTAAAAGAGAGGGTGGTTGTCTGTGAATCGATTTTGTTTTTTTTTTTTTGTTGTTGGTCTTTAAAGGTGGGACTTGGATTTGGCTTTTGGATTTTTGACTGACTGAGTAATGAATGAAATAAAAAAAATTTACACGTAGCGTATAAAGGGGAAGGAATTGAATGAAAACTTTAAAAAGCTTTGGCGAGAATGAAAAAAATTTTTTTGAGAAATAAAAAACAGTTTAAAATTATTTAAATAATTTTAGGCTTCATTTTCTCTTGGACAAGCCGGATATAGCGTCTACAAGTAAGAAGTCAATAACTATAATCTTTATCTAAAATCCAAAAAAATGTAGATATATTCCATGGGGACCAGTTGAAGATGTTCTTCCATATTTGTCTCGTCGCGCGCTCGAAAATGGCACAATGCTAAACAATCTAGGCAAGGAACGACGTCTACTTTGGGGCGAATTGAAGCGTCGTTTAAGCGGTGGGCAATTTTTCTTTAAGCCTCCAAAATCTGGAATTTGTTCTTCTCCACCTGTAATTTTATCTAATGATACTGCTCCAACAATAGATAAGTTTGACATTGTACGTGGTCAATAAAATATTAGAAAGCTTTGTTTTTATTTGAGTAAAAGCTGTTTTTGATCATACAGATCATTACATTTTGAACTCTAATTTAGTTTGATTTTTAATTTGAATTTTTTTGAAAAAAATATTTTTGGCTTTCTGTCCGCGATTTGTATGACATTTCAGCCTAAGTTTAAGAAAAAATTAATTTTATTTATTAGTGATCGGTTCTTCAAATAATTTTAAATATTTTTTTAAATCACATAGATATTTTTTCGATCACTTATTTTTTTGAAATATTTTCTCTCTTTTTTGCAATATATTTTGTTCTTCTTTTAATTTTTGAAATTAAAATTCTATGCTTTATTTAAAAATATATATTCGGTTTAAAAGCTTTCTATTTTTCTATATATTTTTTTTCTGTTTTTGGGGCAATGCAAATTTTAGGTTTAAATTTTTTCCAAGTTTTTCTCTAATTTTTTCTCTATATATTTTTCTTTGCCTTCAATTTTTATCCAAAAATTATATGTGTGCAACAAAATTATACAAAATTATCAACGTGTGCTTAAATATTTTTTTCTGACAAAAAAATTATTTTTGATTTGTCTTCATTGTCTTACATGATTTTCTCTTTTAAGACTTTCTCTCATCATTTGTCTTCTAGGTGATTTTTAAATTTTATTTTACCTATCTATGTGCAGGAAATTATATAAGACTTGTTATTTTTTCTGAAATTTTTTTTGATTGTTAAAATTAATTTAAATTTTAACTCAATTTCCTGTACATTTATTTCTTTATTTTAATTTTAGGGGTATATTTTTTTCAGGCATAAAAAACAGTATTACTTAAAGATGCCGAAAAGTTAAATTTTAAAATTTCTTCCTTTTTTTAGTTGAATAAATTTATAAAAAAATTCTTTGCATTTTATTCAATTACATTTGAATATGTAAATTGTTACTTATAAATTTTAATTTTTAAAAATTATTTTTAATAGCTTTTCAGAATAAAAATTTTCCTTAATTTTTCAAAAAAATGGCACAACCACAACAACAACAATTAATTTTAACTAAAAATTTCGCGACAAAATCCGTCGCTGGGCCAAGTAATGTGACTAGTAGCGGTATTCATGTTAATCTAACTACAACAAATAAACAATTTTCTCGACAAGTTGCAAAAAAGCGTGTGTTTCCTGCAAAAAATTTAGAAGTTCTTAGAAGTCAGCAAAATAAAATTAAAGCGCCTGGGGAGGGAGGTAAAAATATAAATAATTTTTTGAATTTATTTAAATAATTTTAAAAAATTTCAGGGTCATTAACGTTGAAGGAAATCAGAAAATATCAAAAGTCCGTTAATCTTTTAATTCCGCGTGCGGCATTTATTCGTCTTGTCCGTGATGTTTCAAATAGAATAACTGAAGGGAGAGTTTTAAAGTGGAAAGGCTTAGCCTTAATAGCCATTCAAGTTTGAAATTTTATAATTTAATAAAATTTTTATCAAACTCGTCTTTTTAAGGAGGCTGCTGAACATTACCTGGTTGATATGTTTGAGGGTGCTAATTTATGCGCGTTGCATACTGGAAGGGTTACATTGATGCAGAAGGATGTTAAGCTTTTGAGACAATTGCGAGGCGAGGTAAATGAAATATTTAATTTTTAAGTTTCTTATGAGGGAGTATGTTGTTTGTAAAGGGTATTCTGATATTGTTGTGCAAGGGTATTCTCTTGAATTATAGAGTTTGAAACACGCGGTAGGCTTGAAACCGACTTTTGGGCCCAGTAGTCCGGGTATTTAGATAAATTCCATTTTTCGGAGTTTAACCTTGATAGGGGCCCGGCAAATTAAAAAGTCTATTAATTTTATAAATTCTGCAATTTTAGGCTGACAAAAAAGCATCCACAATTTGTGAACGAATTCAAAATGAACAAAATCGGGAGAATTCTGAATGAGGTTTGGTTGTCGAATTCTGAATAATTATTTATTTTGCCATTGTTTTTTAAACATTTTCCCAATTGAATATCCCAGGTTTTTTTTTTATTTTTTCGGGTTAAATTATTTTCAGACGAATCTCTCTTTCTTGTCTTAATAATTTTCTTAAATGTTCCGTCAATTATTTTTCAAACTAGTTGTACTCGCATTAAGAAATCATCATTTTTCAGTGAGTATGAGAGAGATTCTACTTCACATTTGTTTGAATAAAAAATTTTTAAATTAAATTTTATCTTCAATTTTGACAAAATATATTTTTAAATATTTTAATATATTTCTAAATTTTTTAAACAAATAATATTTTTGCATATATGTATGTGTGAGTAGGGTTGTCGGTTCTTGGAAAATCTTAGGGTATTTGGAATTTGGAACAGAAAAATCCTCGGTTCTTTGGATATCCGGAACCGACAACTCTATGTGTGATCATAAAATTTTAAAAACGAATAATAAGCATTTTAAATTTTCGAACAAATTGGTGTTTTGTACTTGCCATCTTTTTAAATTTAAATTTTTTTTGTAGATTTGGACAATTTTTAATTTTCTCATTGGGCAGCTGGAGAAGTTCCATTTTGCTGTGCTTAAAATTTTTTATTTGTGAAAATGATTTATGCCTTTAATTTTTACAAGTTGATGGTTGTTGTCCAAATGATGATCCAGTTGTGTTTGTGTTGACAATTTTGATCGGAATTGTGCGGCCTGGTGAGGTTTCCTTTGAAAAAAATTTTTTTGAAATTTTTTTTAATTTTAAAGATTTTCTTACTTTAATTTTTGGAGCACTAGCTGTTACAGTGAGATGGCCATCAGCCGTCAAATTGCTCTGGACAAGATCTGGATGGGCATTCCTTGGCAATGTAAATTTGCGGATGAAGTGGCGCTCACTGAAAATTTCGAGGTTTTTTACTTTGAGAAAAATTTTTTTACATGCTTCCAAGAGCGTCTGATTTTTCTCCATGTTTGCCTTCCACAACTAATTGATTTCCAACAATTGACACCTTTAAAGAAGGTTTTTTAAATTCAATTTTTTAAAATAAATTTAAATTAAACCTTCAAGTCCTCTGGAGCAAAAGCGCTTACATCCATGCTAACAGAAAGATAATCGTCAGAAGATTGGAAGGAGCCGGAAGTTGCTGTTCCGAATTGGTAATTGTGAGGCTTTAAAGGTTAATTTTTTAATTTTTTCCTAGGAAATTAAAAATACCTGAACAAAAGAAGTACTTCCCAAACCCAAATCTCCGGGACTTCCAAATCCAGACATTGTAGATTTTATTGTATGAAGAGGGGAGGAGGAGAGTAGTCGAGGGACTGTTTCCTCAACAACTTTACGTTCAAAGGTACTAGAAAATTTTTGGAAAAATTTTTTTAAAAATTTAACTGGTATTCTGGGGTTATTCCTGACCCGTTACTTTTTTGCCTGTGGCGGCTCAATTAGAGAAGAATAAGGCATTTGAGCCGCCACAGGCAAAAATTAATTGATCATGGACAATCCTAATTTTTTTAATTTAAGAATTCGCTAACCGATTGTAGCTTGAACTTTGGTTGAATGTGCTCATGTTGGTTGTAAGGTGGGTTAATTAATTAAATATTTAATAAAATAGCTTTTCCTGAAACAGTTAATTAACTTTTAAAAATTCTTAAAAAAGGGTCGTTGATTGTTTATTTCAAAATGAGTAAATAAGGATTTGGCATGAAAAAATGAGTAAAAGATTTAAGGAGACATTTGTGTGGGTGTGTTCCTTTATTTCTTCCAATTATTTACCATTCCTTTTCTGATCAACAGCTGACACTTTCTATATTTTTTTCTATATTTTTAGATAAAAAAGAATGATCCATTTTTAAAAATTAAATGAGGATATTTTTGAATAAATTTATCAAATTAAGGAGACGAGATTTAGATTAGAGCCTGAACGGGAGGATCTTACGGAAATCGAGATCGTTATCTCAATAAATTTTTTCGATATTTAAAAATATTTAATTTATCATTAGAATTCTTGATAGGTTAAGAAGGATCTGAATGGATTAAGGGTGATATGGGGATTGAGCTTGATTAAGAATTAAGAATGATATTGATCTCGATAACCAAGATTTTTGTTCGAGATCTCGTCTCGGTCTGGGCTTTAGTTTAGGTCTATAAAATTTTTGGAACAAAATTTTTAGACTTTAAAATTGTTAATTTAATTACAGAATATTTTTATAAAAATTGATTTTTAAATAAAGAAGTAAATAAAGGAGTAGAATTAAAAAGATTTAAGGATAAACAGCGGATTAAAATAAGAATTAAATTATAATTGAAAATGGATCTTTTTTACTTTTATTTTATACTCTTTTTCCTATTCTCCTCCCCCTAAGCGTTCCGAGATTTTTTTTATTCTACTAGTATGCGTCATCCTTCATGCTTAGTTTCCGTTTTAATTTTTATAAAAAATATTAGCTTCTAATTTTTTTAGTTTATTTAAGTGTCATCTTTTTTAAGCTTAAAGGGGAGAGAATAGAAAAAAAATAATTAGAAAATAATGAATTAGAAAATCAATCATGAAAAATAAAAAAGAAGCTAATATATGGGGGCGGATATTTAAAAAATGACTTTAAACAACTGACTCAAAAATTTTTTAAATTTTAAATTTTAAAATAAGGACAAAAATAAGTTTTTGTGTGTTTCCTTAACCTCCTTAACAACACCCTTTGTTTTATTTTTTATCAAAAATTGTTTTTGTTATCAAAATTCCTTTATCTTCAAATATTTTTAGCGGGAAAAGATAAACGAAAAAATTTGAAAAAATTATTACTGTTTTGATGACTTTGCATTTAAAAAAATTTTTATTATGGATGGGGCGAGAGCAAAGAATTTAAAAAAAGGTCGAGAATAATTTCAAATATAATTTCTCAAAGTTTTCAAAATGAGTAAAGGAATTTATATATTTGAGTGCTCTTTCCCCTTCCCCTCAAATTCTTTCAACTTCTCTCATAATTTTATTTATATTCTCCTTTCCTACCAGCCGTTCCTTTTCCTTGTTTACACTATTTTCTGTTTACTTTCTAACTCTTTCACCTTTTTTTCTGGGAACCTCAGAAATTTTAAATCGAGAGATTATCGATAAGTTTATAATCAAGACTTGAGAACTTTCTAAAAATATTTTTTAACTCTTTTAAAACTTGGGGCTTTCCGGCTCTTGAAAATTTTGAGATTTTCGTCTTTCTAATTTATTTCTCAAGTCCTCGATTCCTTGATAACTTTAAAGAAGGGTAATTCCTTAAATTCCTTTCCTCGTTTTACTATCTTTTCTCTCTCTCATTTGATCTAATCTTATAATATTTTCCTCAATTCTTCTCATCTACTCTAACACACATGTGTTCACTTTACTAATCCTTGAACATAAACAATCGACGATTATTTCGCAATGCGATCCACGACCTTAGACACTTTTAAAACGGTTTTTAACAATGAGGGAAAAATCAGAAAAATAAAATAAATAAAAATAATATGGCCAAAAAAAAGTTTGAGGGTAATTTTGTGGCTTTTGATTAATATAAGAATTATTAATATTGGTTGATAAATAAAAAGGTATGGAAAGCCTTGTGATTCCGCTGTTTCGGGCCAAAAGCTGCCTTCTTGGCTTAGTGGGATAGCTAGGGATTCTCACCCTTTTATGGGTCAGGCATGATTCCTGGTGGTGCCAACTATTTTTAACAATTTATTTACGGAAAACAAATTTTAGAAAAAATATAATGTCTCAAAAACATATGTGCCCTTTTAAATTAAAACAAAAAATCCATTACTCTTACTTGTTTCTACCACTTTTTCTATTAAAAAAAGAATGGTTGGTTCCCTAGAGAAATTTTTTCTAATTTAAGAGTTTAAAAAAGGAATAAAAAAACAATGAAAATTTTAATTTATTTAGCAAGGCTTGGGTAATTAACTGAGGGGAAAAGCACTTATTGTCTATTTAAAATTTAAAAACCCTCCCCAAGGAAATTTTAAAAAGTAAAAATTATTTTTTTTCAGCAGGAATTGACAAGCAAAGTCCGTAAAATATTGAACGTCTTATTGTTTTGAAAATCTATTAGGTATCCGGCTACTTCAACCAATTTCTCAGTTTGTGGTAAAAAATCTTTTTAAATGTAAAGAATTCTTTGTTTAAAAAATATTTTCATTTTTAAGTAAAAATAACTGGAAAAACACACAATTTCTATGCATTCGAGAACATTTCTGGCTGGGAAAATTGTCAATTTCGTGTTTGTTTTTACAGGAAAATGAATGAATGTAAAGCTATTCTTCTGTTGGAATAAAAGGGTTTTTTTGCTTAAAAACAAAAAAGGAAACGGATGAATGGGGGAGGACACAGTTAACAAAATGAAAGAATAAAAGGAAGAGGAAATGCCAAAAACAGATTTTTTTGCATCCACGAACAATTCTTAATTTCAATATTTTACTGGGTATTGCTGGATTGAGAGATTAAGATATCTTTTTTTCCTTTTGTAAGCATTTAATGCTTCTTATCTCTAAGGTGATCTTTTTTCTTTAATCAAATACTACATTTTATCAAAATTTTAATCGATACATTTTAATAAATAAATTTTATTAATTTAAAAATGGAATTAAACATTTTTATCATTGTCGATGTTTTAAACTGTTGAGGTTTTAAACTGATTTTTAGCAGTCGAGATTTTAACAGGCGAGATTTTGCCGATTCGATGTTTTGTACCGGAACCGTAATTTAAAATAAATGACACTTTATCACTAAAGTTCGAGAAAAACAAAAAAGAAAATATTTAGTTGAGAGAATATTAAAGTATAAACTAGGGTTGGTCCCCGAGCCTTCGGGGTTGAAAAAGTCGGGGGTCGGGGTTTTCGGGGTTGACAAAGTCGGGGTCGGGGTCGGGGTTGCTCAAATTGTTCGGGGTCGGGGTCGGGGCTGAAAATAATGTCGGGGTTCGGGGTCGGGGTCGGGGGTCGGGGTTGAAGTGAAAATTTTACAAAATCCAGCATTTTTATCAAACATTACTGTTCAAAATCAACATTTTTATAAAAAAAATCAACTTAATCTTCATTATCATTATCTTCACTTTCTGAATCTGATTCGATATTATTCGAAGGCGCAAGAAGTACTTTATCCAAGTTAGCTTTTACTACGAGTATTTGCCTGACAGTTTTTCCTGACAATCTAAAATTATTATTTTTTTAATCACAAATAAATAAAACCTATTCCTGAGAGTATTAGCATATATAAGTCCCGCTTTCGAGAAAAGCCTCTCAGAACAAATGGAAGTTGCGGGAATACAATGCAACATTTGAGCAATTTTAGCCATTTCAGGAATGAACTTCCCATTATCTCTCCACCATGAAAATAAATCACTATCAACTGGTGATTTAGAAGTAGGGTTGGTCCCCGACCCCGACTAACCCCGACCCCGACCCCGAACCCCGACATTTTTTACCTAAAACCCCGACCCCGACCCCGACATTCCCAACCCCGAAAACCCCGACCCCCGAAAGTTCGACCCCGACGACCCCGAACCCCGAAAAATTTTTATGACCCCGACTCAAACTGCATTAATTAACTTTTATATATTTTTTTGTTGGCATTCTGCTATATTCTGATAAAACAAAAGAAAGAAAAGACAACTAAAAAAAGAGGAAAAGAACTATTTTTATTTTTCTCTATTCACAGAGAATATTTTCATGACAAAATTTAAACTAGCTTTTTCTATTCATAGTTTGGTTATACACAACTCATTTTGAATTTGTAATTTTATATAGGTCTTTAGATTTAATTATAAATTATATTAAAATGTCAACTAAATCTTCTGATATTTGGAATTTTTTTGTAAAATTACCAACGGCTGATGAATCAGCTAGGTGCAAGCTTTGTGAAAATAAATTTTCTTGTAAAAAAAGTTCAACAAAAGGTTTATGGGACCATCTTAAGTCTATGCATTTGGCAGAATATGAGAAGTTTTTGCAAAAGAATACATCAACATCAGTAAGAGCAAACTAATAAAATAAGATTTTTTATTAACAGACTAATCTGGATATACACTCTGTTTCAAAAGTATAACCCACTTTTGATTTTTTAAATTTTTCGATGTACAATAGATGTATCATTTTGAAATTTCGTATGTTGATTCAATTTCGTATGTTGATTCCCTTGAATCGACCAATTGTCGTTTCCCTTGAATCGACCAATTGTCGTTTCCCTTGAATCGACCAATTGTCAATTCCCTTAAATCGACCAATTCTCGTTTCCCTTGAATCGACCAATTGTCAATTCACTTGAATCGACCAATTGTCGTTTCCCTTGAATCGACCAATTGTCGTTTCCCTTGAATCGACCAATTGTCGTTTCCCTTGAATCGACCAATTGTCAATTCCCTTAAATCGACAAATTCTCGTTTCCCTTGAATCGACCAATTGTCAATTCACTTGAATCGACCAATTGTCGTTTCCCTTGAATCGACCAATTGTCGTTTCCCTTGAATCGACCAATTGTCGTTTCCCTTGAATCGACCAATTGTCAATTCCCTTAAATCGACCAATTCTCGTTTCCCTTGAATCGACCAATTGTCAATTCACTTGAATCGAGTCCTTTCCCTTGAATCGATCAATTGTCAATTCACTTGAATCGACCAATTGTCGTTTCCCTTGAATCGACCAATTGTCGTTTCCCTTGAATCGACCAATTGTCGTTTCCCTTGAATCGACCAATTGTCAATTCCCGTAAATCGACCAATTCTCGTTTCCCTTGAATCGACCAATTGTCAATTCACTTGAATCGAGTCCTTTCCCTTGAATCGACCAATTGTCAATTCCCTTAAATCGACCAATTCTCGTTTCCCTTGAATCGACCAATTGTCAATTCACTTGAATCGACCAATTGTCGTTTCCCTTGAATCGACCAATTGTCGTTTCCCTTGAATCGACCAATTGTCGTTTCCCTTGAATCGACCAATTGTCAATTCCCTTAAATCGACCAATTCTCGTTTCCCTTGAATCGACCAATTGTCAATTCACTTGAATCGACCAATTCTCGTTTCCCTTGAATCGACCAATTGTCAATTCACTTGAATCGACCAATTGTCGTTTCCCTTGAATCGACCAATTCTCGTTTCCCTTGAATCGACCAATTGTCAATTCACTTGAATCGACCAATTGTCAATTCCCTTGAATCGACGAATTGTCGTTTCCCTTGAATCGACCAATTGTCAATTCCCTTGAATCGACCAATTGTCAATTCCCTTGAATCGACCAATTGTCAATTCCCTTGAATCGACCAATTGTCAATTCCCTTGAATCGACCAATTGTCAATTCCCTTGAATCGACCAATTGTAAAATCTCTTGAATTGACCTTTTTTTCTTTTCCTAAATATTTTTATTTACAGTAGTTGGTGCCTCTCAGAATCTGGCACTCAACCGACTTATACGTTTATACTAGGGTTGGTCCCCGACCCCGACTAACCCCGACCCCGACCCCGAACCCCGACATTTTTTACCTAAAACCCCGACCCCGACCCCGACATTCCCAACCCCGAAAACCCCGACCCCCGAAAGTTCGACCCCGACGACCCCGAACCCCGAAAAATTTTTATGACCCCGACTCAAACTGCATTAATTAACTTTTATATATTTTTTTGTTGGCATTCTGCTATATTCTGATAAAACAAAAGAAAGAAAAGACAACTAAAAAAAGAGGAAAAGAACTATTTTTATTTTTCTCTATTCACAGAGAATATTTTCATGACAAAATTTAAACTAGCTTTTTCTATTCATAGTTTGGTTATACACAACTCATTTTGAATTTGTAATTTTATATAGGTCTTTAGATTTAATTATAAATTATATTAAAATGTCAACTAAATCTTCTGATATTTGGAATTTTTTTGTAAAATTACCAACGGCTGATGAATCAGCTAGGTGCAAGCTTTGTGAAAATAAATTTTCTTGTAAAAAAAGTTCAACAAAAGGTTTATGGGACCATCTTAAGTCTATGCATTTGGCAGAATATGAGAAGTTTTTGCAAAAGAATACATCAACATCAGTAAGAGCAAACTAATAAAATAAGATTTTTTATTAACAGACTAATCTGGATATACACTCTGTTTCAAAAGTATAACCCACTTTTGATTTTTTAAATTTTTCGATGTACAATAGATGTATCATTTTGAAATTTCGTATGTTGATTCAATTAACTAATCTAAGGATATTCCCAAAGTTTCATCAATTTTTATCCAATACAAAATTTTTAATTAATTTTTTTCTAAAATCTTCCCTAAAATAGGTGTTTCATAAGTATAACCCACTTTTATATTTCATATTTGCAACAATAGGAAAAATCTAAAAAAAATTCATCAAACGTTTATATTGATATTATAAAAACTAGAAAAAATCAGGTCCATATCTCAACTCAGTGTCGAGATCCTGACACCTCTAATATCACGAAAATCAACATAAAACGGGGGTAAGTCTATGTAAAAAATATTTTCGACACATTAAGGGTAGTTTTGAAATTTTAATTTTGGCCTATCTGAAAGCCCTTGAAATTTGCTACAAGATAGCATTTTCCTTATTTTTCAGAAAAAATCCATTAGCGAGATACAGGTGGTAAAACTTCAGAAGCGATCTAAACGGTCATTTATGTGGACATTTAGGCGTTTTTTGTTGATGCGAAAGTTTAACCACCAGTATATAGCTAATGGATTTTTTCTGAAAAATAAGGCAAATGCTATCTTGTAGCAAATTTCAAGTGCTTTCAGATAGGCTAAAAATAAAATTTCAAAACCACCCTTAATGTGTCGAAAATATTTTTTAAATGGACTTACCCCCGTTTTACGTTGATTTTTGAGGTTTTTGAGGTGTCAGGATCTCGAAACTGAATAGAGATATGGGCCTAATTTTTTTTATTTTTATATAATATTCCTATATATGGTTGTTGGAATTTTTGTGGATTTTTTCTAATGTTGGAAATGTTAAAAATAAAAGTGGGTTATACTTTTGAAACACATTTTTTAGCAAAAATTTCGAAAAAAAAATAATTAAAATTTTTGGATTGAACAAAATTTATCAAACTTTGGGAATGTTCGTAGATCAGTTAAATGTATCTAAATACAAAATCTTAAAAAGATAACTTGATTAAGCAACAAAAAATGTAAAAAAATTAAAGTGGGTTATACTTTTGAAACAGAGTGTATCAAAATTTCTTGGTAAGGATGAGCCTCAAAAAAAAGCAGATGAAAAAATTGCGGCACTTATGCTTCTAAATAGGGTTGGTCCCCGAGCCTTCGGGGTTGAAAAAGTCGGGGGTCGGGGTTTTCGGGGTTGACAAAGTCGGGGTCGGGGTCGGGGTTGCTCAAATTGTTCGGGGTCGGGGTCGGGGCTGAAAATAATGTCGGGGTTCGGGGTCGGGGTCGGGGGTCGGGGTTGAAGTGAAAATTTTACAAAATCCAGCATTTTTATCAAACATTACTGTTCAAAATCAACATTTTTATAAAAAAAATCAACTTAATCTTCATTATCATTATCTTCACTTTCTGAATCTGATTCGATATATAAGTCCCGCTTTCGAGAAAAGCCTCTCAGAACAAATGGAAGTTGCGGGAATACAATGCAACATTTGAGCAATTTTAGCCATTTCAGGAATGAACTTCCCATTATCTCTCCACCATGAAAATAAATCACTATCAACTGGTGATTTAGAAGCATAAGTGCCGCAATTTTTTCATCTGCTTTTTTTTGAGGCTCATCCTTACCAAGAAATTTTGATACACTCTGTTTCAAAAGTATAACCCACTTTAATTTTTTTACATTTTTTGTTGCTTAATCAAGTTATCTTTTTAAGATTTTGTATTTAGATACATTTAACTGATCTACGAACATTCCCAAAGTTTGATAAATTTTGTTCAATCCAAAAATTTTAATTATTTTTTTTTCGAAATTTTTGCTAAAAAATGTGTTTCAAAAGTATAACCCACTTTTATTTTTAACATTTCCAACATTAGAAAAAATCCACAAAAATTCCAACAACCATATATAGGAATATTATATAAAAATAAAAAAAATTAGGCCCATATCTCTATTCAGTTTCGAGATCCTGACACCTCAAAAACCTCAAAAATCAACGTAAAACGGGGTAAGTCCATTTAAAAAATATTTTCGACACATTAAGGGTGGTTTTGAAATTTTATTTTTAGCCTATCTGAAAGCACTTGAAATTTGCTACAAGATAGCATTTGCCTTATTTTTCAGAAAAAATCCATTAGCTATATACTGGTGGTTAAACTTTCGCATCAACAAAAAACGCCTAAATGTCCACATAAATGACCGTTTAGATCGCTTCTGAAGTTTTACCACCTGTATCTCGCTAATGGATTTTTTCTGAAAAATAAGGAAAATGCTATCTTGTAGCAAATTTCAAGGGCTTTCAGATAGGCCAAAATTAAAATTTCAAAACTACCCTTAATGTGTCGAAAATATTTTTTACATAGACTTACCCCCGTTTTATGTTGATTTTCGTGATATTAGAGGTGTCAGGATCTCGACACTGAGTTGAGATATGGACCTGATTTTTTCTAGTTTTTATAATATCAATATAAACGTTTGATGAATTTTTTTTAGATTTTTCCTATTGTTGCAAATATGAAATATAAAAGTGGGTTATACTTATGAAACACCTATTTTAGGGAAGATTTTAGAAAAAAATTAATTAAAAATTTTGTATTGGATAAAAATTGATGAAACTTTGGGAATATCCTTAGATTAGTTAATTGAATCAACATACGAAATTTCAAAATGATACATCTATTGTACATCGAAAAATTTAAAAAATCAAAAGTGGGTTATACTTTTGAAACAGAGTGTATATCCAGATTAGTCTGTTAATAAAAAATCTTATTTTATTAGTTTGCTCTTACTGATGTTGATGTATTCTTTTGCAAAAACTTCTCATATTCTGCCAAATGCATAGACTTAAGATGGTCCCATAAACCTTTTGTTGAACTTTTTTTACAAGAAAATTTATTTTCACAAAGCTTGCACCTAGCTGATTCATCAGCCGTTGGTAATTTTACAAAAAAATTCCAAATATCAGAAGATTTAGTTGACATTTTAATATAATTTATAATTAAATCTAAAGACCTATATAAAATTACAAATTCAAAATGAGTTGTGTATAACCAAACTATGAATAGAAAAAGCTAGTTTAAATTTTGTCATGAAAATATTCTCTGTGAATAGAGAAAAATAAAAATAGTTCTTTTCCTCTTTTTTTAGTTGTCTTTTCTTTCTTTTGTTTTATCAGAATATAGCAGAATGCCAACAAAAAAATATATAAAAGTTAATTAATGCAGTTTGAGTCGGGGTCATAAAAATTTTTCGGGGTTCGGGGTCGTCGGGGTCGAACTTTCGGGGGTCGGGGTTTTCGGGGTTGGGAATGTCGGGGTCGGGGTCGGGGTTTTAGGTAAAAAATGTCGGGGTTCGGGGTCGGGGTCGGGGTTAGTCGGGGTCGGGGACCAACCCTAGTATAAACGTATAAGTCGGTTGAGTGCCAGATTCTGAGAGGCACCAACTACTGTAAATAAAAATATTTAGGAAAAGAAAAAAAGGTCAATTCAAGAGATTTTACAATTGGTCGATTCAAGGGAATTGACAATTGGTCGATTCAAGGGAATTGACAATTGGTCGATTCAAGGGAATTGACAATTGGTCGATTCAAGGGAATTGACAATTGGTCGATTCAAGGGAATTGACAATTGGTCGATTCAAGGGAAACGACAATTCGTCGATTCAAGGGAATTGACAATTGGTCGATTCAAGTGAATTGACAATTGGTCGATTCAAGGGAAACGAGAATTGGTCGATTCAAGGGAAACGACAATTGGTCGATTCAAGTGAATTGACAATTGGTCGATTCAAGGGAAACGAGAATTGGTCGATTCAAGTGAATTGACAATTGGTCGATTCAAGGGAAACGAGAATTGGTCGATTTAAGGGAATTGACAATTGGTCGATTCAAGGGAAACGACAATTGGTCGATTCAAGGGAAACGACAATTGGTCGATTCAAGGGAAACGACAATTGGTCGATTCAAGTGAATTGACAATTGGTCGATTCAAGGGAAACGAGAATTGGTCGATTTAAGGGAATTGACAATTGGTCGATTCAAGGGAAAGGACTCGATTCAAGTGAATTGACAATTGGTCGATTCAAGGGAAACGAGAATTGGTCGATTTACGGGAATTGACAATTGGTCGATTCAAGGGAAACGACAATTGGTCGATTCAAGGGAAACGACAATTGGTCGATTCAAGGGAAACGACAATTGGTCGATTCAAGTGAATTGACAATTGATCGATTCAAGGGAAAGGACTCGATTCAAGTGAATTGACAATTGGTCGATTCAAGGGAAACGAGAATTGGTCGATTTAAGGGAATTGACAATTGGTCGATTCAAGGGAAACGACAATTGGTCGATTCAAGGGAAACGACAATTGGTCGATTCAAGGGAAACGACAATTGGTCGATTCAAGTGAATTGACAATTGGTCGATTCAAGGGAAACGAGAATTTGTCGATTTAAGGGAATTGACAATTGGTCGATTCAAGGGAAACGACAATTGGTCGATTCAAGGGAAACGACAATTGGTCGATTCAAGGGAAACGACAATTGGTCGATTCAAGTGAATTGACAATTGGTCGATTCAAGGGAAACGAGAATTGGTCGATTTAAGGGAATTGACAATTGGTCGATTCAAGGGAAACGACAATTGGTCGATTCAAGGGAAACGACAATTGGTCGATTCAAGTGAATTGACAATTGATCGATTCAAGGGAAAGGACTCGATTCAAGTGAATTGACAATTGGTCGATTCAAGGGAAACGAGAATTGGTCGATTTAAGGGAATTGACAATTGGTCGATTCAAGGGAAACGACAATTGGTCGATTCAAGGGAAACGACAATTGGTCGATTCAAGGGAAACGACAATTGGTCGATTCAAGTGAATTGACAATTGGTCGATTCAAGGGAAACGAGAATTTGTCGATTTAAGGGAATTGACAATTGGTCGATTCAAGGGAAACGACAATTGGTCGATTCAAGGGAAACGACAATTTGTCGATTCAAGGGAAACGAGAATTTGTCGATTTAAGGGAATTGACAATTGGTCGATTCAAGGGAAACGACAATTGGTCGATTCAAGGGAAACGACAATTGGTCGATTCAAGGGAAACGACAATTGGTCGATTCAAGTGAATTGACAATTGGTCGATTCAAGGGAAACGAGAATTGGTCGATTTAAGGGAATTGACAATTGGTCGATTCAAGGGAAACGACAATTGGTCGATTCAAGGGAAACGACAATTGGTCGATTCAAGGGAAACGACAATTGGTCGATTCAAGGGAAACGACAATTGGTCGATTCAAGAAGGCAGGGTTGATTTTACGTGTATGGTTATTGATATTGGCTAGACACGATAACAACATCCTATTTTAGTCTGGAAGATTAAAAAGTATAAGGAATTGTAAAATTTTTATGCAATTTTAGCAAAACAAAATCTATAGAAAAGCAAAAAAAATTTTTTTTTGAACAATAGGCACCGAATTTGAAAAAATTTTAAAAATCTATAGAATTATTTGTTGATGTTATCACAGAATTATTTGAAAAAATTGGCGGAATCGACATTAATTCTAAAGCGCTTTTTTGATGTTGTTGTTGGTGTTCCTGTTGATTTTGCTGTGAAGAAGAAGAATGATTAATTAAATCTTCTGGTTTAAGCACATTTAGTAAACAAAAAGCGGCATAAAGAAAAGCTGTTCCTAACAAATCACCCAATGCTGTCAAATAAGGAATTGCTGCATTATCTGGATTCTGATAAAAAAAAAGAAAATTTTTTGAAACAAAATTTTAAAATATTCTAAAGATTTACTTGTTTCCATATCCACATTAAAGGCACTAACCATTGACAGATATACAACAAAATCATTATCTAAAAAAATAAAAATTTGAATTTTATTATAATTTTAATTTGAATAAAATTAAAAGAGTTAAAATTTGTGGAAGTGTAAAAAAACTAAAAATTATGAAGACCATAAACTTAAAAAAACTTTGCCTAAAATATAAAAAATCCCATCAAATTCTTAGGGTCCATTTCCCTTATTTTTTATCGGCACACCAAAAAAAATAAATTTCACGGTTGATTTGGCACTTGTTAAATGCGTAGAAAAGAAGCATTTAATCCTAAACCTCTAACATTAATATTTAATGGTTTTCTAAACTTATTTTAAAAATAATTTAAATATCTTTGCTTTAAAAATAGAAAAAAAAGTTCCAAATAAGGGAAGTCCTTTAAAAAATTTAAAAATGTATTTAAGGGAAAATAAAAAAAATATATAAAAAATAGAAAAAATTAGAGATAGGAAATTTTTAAAAATCTTGACCATGACTAGATTTGTGACCTTGCGTCAAGGAAAAATCAGTCTGGACTCCAGGCCTATCTCTAGAAAAAATAGGAAATAAAAAAAATTCTTAAAAATATTTTAAAAATTATAAACGTTAAGAATAAAATTAGCATTTTTAAACTTCAAAAATAAAAATTAAATTATTACTCAAAAAATTTCTTTGGAATTTTTGTTAAAATATTTTTCCAAATTTTTGTTTTTAATGAAGAAATTTCCCCACATAAACAAATCTTTAGAATTTACATAAAATAAAAAAATAATAATTTTTTGCTGTTCACGTAAAAATGCCACTTTTTTATTTTCTTTCTATTAAAATAAATTTTCTTTTTTAACAAAAATTCATTTTAAAGGCACCTGCTTTTGCCAATTTTATTTTTAAGTATAGCCTTTGGAAAAGTTTTTTTAATTGGGAGATAAAATGAATAAAAAAAGGAAACAGAAACTAGGAGGAAATCACTTAATTAAAATTCAATTTTTTAAATAAAGGAACATGCAATGGCCTAATAAAATTAAATAAAGCTCCAGTAAGCTCCTATTAAACAAAAAAATTAAAAATATTCAAAAAATCCTCAAAAAATTTCACAAAAATCCCCAACCCATTCAAACTATTTCTTATTTAGAATGGGCACCAAACCAAGCAAATTACGTCATTTATTACATCAACAAAAATATTCTTCAAATAAAAATTATTCCCCTCAACTCAATTTAAAAAAGAATAAATTAATAATTTTAAAAAGAGCAGTTGCTGGAGCATCTTATACAGCAACAACAAAATGGAAGAATAATAATAATAAATCTGGAAGTATAATAGAATTGATAGATGATATTGAATTAAATGAGTATAAACAAAATGAAGATAATATTGAAATTGAAGAAGCAAATAAATTTAAAAGCCAGGAAAATGAGGTAGTTATTAATAGAGCTTGAACTTATTGTAAATTGAACTTAGGCCGGATCCGGATCAAGACCTGGGCTGGGGTTTTCCGGCTAAAACCTCAAAACCCGGAGTTTATCAAAACACCCGGTTTCTGGGCCCTTAAAAATATAATCTATGTCTACAAGGGTTCGAGCTCCAGTTATTATTTAGAGAAAAATTAGTTGTTTACGAAAAATTAAAAAAATTTTTTAAGATAATAATGAATCCAAATATTACTGAATTTAATGGAATGATCAATTTTCCGGCAAAAGAAAAATATCAAAAATATTTCAATATACAAAAACATCAAAAACAAACAACAACACTTTCAGAATTGGCACAAATGCAAAAAGAAATGGATAAAGCATTAAATTTGTTAAAGACAAAATTAGAAAAATTGGAAGAAGAACAAAGGGTTAATTTTAAAAATGAATTTTTGTTGATTTTAAATAAATTTTTAAGAGAAAAATAAATATTTGTGCAACAAAATGGGGAATTGAAATGTTAAAAAATTCAGTAAAAAATGATAAAATGAAAACAAAAGTATCAGAAAAGGAGAAACAAACAAGCATTAGAAGACGAAAAAAATTACAAACAATAACTGAAGAATGCCGGTTAAGAAGTGCTTTATTAACTGATAAATTTAAGGTAGGAAAAATAAATTTTAAAAATACTAAAAGGAAACTTAAAAATCAAAAAAATGGAGAAAGCCCCAAGAATCTCAAAAAAATATTTTTAAATTTAACTCAGAATTGCACTGATTATTTGAGAGGATTTGAAGCATTAATAAACACAATTCAACGCGAGCAACAACAATGTAATGTGGAAGGTAAAAATGATTAAAAATGCCTGACTATATAAAACAAACAATAAAAAGTGCTGTAAGCACGCTTGGCCGAGTGGTTAAGGCGTTGGATTTATAATCTAATGGGGAAGCCCCGCGTAGGTTCGAATCCTGCAGCGTGCGATGATAAAGAGGAACTTGTCGTCATTTTTTAAATTTTAGATGATGACTTTTTAAGAGAATTTTTGATAAAAACAGCCAAAAGACAATATAAAAAAGGACAGCTTAATCAAGCAGTCGATACTTTTTGTCAACTATTAATTGCAACAGATGGGCGTCTTCGAGTTGAAGAAATGACATTATTAGTTGATGTGTTTAGGGAAAAGGTAAAAGAATTTTTGAAAAAATAACATTGAGATAGGTTTGGAGGGTATCAGCTAATTTTTATCTATGGCTGCTAAAATAGAGAAGAATAAGAGCATTTGAGACGCTACAGGGAAAAATTAACCCGTAGAAACAACCTAAATTTGAAAATAATTGTTTTTAGGTAGAACAGACAAGAAGATTTCATGAAAGAATAAGTTGTGTTATTAAACAGGTAATAGAAAAAAATTAAAAAAAAATCTTGAAAAAAATTAGCAAATGAATGATTCCCCTTATGTAATGGATGAATTATGGGGGTTTGTATTAGAAGAATTACGCGTTGATTGCGCGGAAGCATTTGAAATTGTGATGGTATCGAGAAGTGTAAACAATACCAAAAATAATTGTTATGAAGAAATAAGAGAAGATAAAGTTTGAAAAAATTGTTAAAATTAAAAAAAAATAACTTTTTTAAGAGGCAAAAAGTTGAAGAATTAAAGTATTTAATTGGGTCTATTATCTGTGCTTTATGGCTACAAATAACACCATATGGACATGACGAGGTAAATTTTTGAATAAATTTTGAAGAAAAAAATCTAAAAATCGAGCTGGACAGATCTTGATTTTTCCTGGATCCAGAGTCAAAATCAAGGCAAATTTTAAAGTTCCTTGATTTTTCCTTGGCTCAAGATCTCTAAAAAAATCAGAAACATTTTTTCTTCAGTTTGAACAAATCAAAGAACTTTTTCTTAATACTTTGGATCGTTATTATATTATCTCAACAACAGAAAGGATAAAGAATGAAAACGAATTACTACAAGATAAAAATGAAATTGAATTGAAAAAGAGTATTAGAGCAGTTTTGAGGTGAGTAAGAAAGTTTTTTAATTATAGAGAATTTAGACAATATCCAATGCTTACTTATACAAAAAGAATGCAAAAATTTATGTTGGAAAATGATTATTAAATTATTTGAATGAATTGAAGAATTTTTAAAATTTGTTAAAAGTTGGAAATGTTAAATTTGATAGAAGGAAATAAAAAAAAGAAAATGTTGAGATAAGGGCGAAAAACAGAGAAAAAAGAAAAAATTAAAGAAAAATTTTTAAGAAATGAAAAAAAAGCAAAAAAAATATTAGAAGAAAAATACCCAGAAAGAACACAAATCTCCTCTAACCCATAAATTACAAAAAAAAATAAAAAAATTTTTAATAAAACCACACCTGTGCCAATGCAGCACTCAAATATAAAGCAGTGAATAACGATCCTTGAACATATTGACCAGTATGTACATGTAATGAAGAAATTACCCAATTGAAGAAAATATGTCCAGGAACACAAAGTAGAAGAAAAACGCGAGCTGAACGACTGTCCTTAAAATAATTTTAAATTTATAAAATGTTCTAAAAAAAGAAACCTCATCAGAAGAAAAAAATGCACGAGAAAATGAATAAAATCTTTTTATTGTCCAATCAAATGGAAGTGTACCAATTGTTGAACATTGATGATAAAAAGTTGAAAGTTTGGAAGCAGCAACGGCTGCTAAATTTCCACCAACGCCTTCAAATTTAATTATAAAATAAATTTTTTTTTAAAGAATACCATTCATAACAGGTTGATAAAGAGGCATTTGTTGAAAGTTCATTACAGCTCTTTCCAATACAAAACCACCACTGCTACTAATCATCCTTAAAAGATTTTTTTGAAATTTTTTAAAAAGATTTCTCAAAGAATTTTTAACAAATAAATTTCTCAAAATATTAAAAAAAGAAAAATAAACTAACATAGAAAATATAATTGGTGACCATCCATATCGAAGTACTTGACGAGCTGATGAATCACGACTAGCTATAGCAATACAAATTGGAAGAATAAAAAGGAAGAGTAAAATTATGAACCTAAAAAATTAAATTTACAGCTAAAAAGAATTTAAAAATTGATTATTAACATATTTAGCCAATGTTGTGTTCGATGAGCACTCAAAAATACGCTGCCAAAAACTGACAGAATTGTTAATGTTGTTAGATCACCTACAATAAATTTTTAAGAATTATAAAGTTTGAAGGAAATTTCTTCAACACAAATTTAAAAATTCATAAATAAATTTTGTAGATACAAAAAATGAATAAGAAAGTTACGAAAATCTTAAAAAGATAAAAGTATTGAAAGAAAAAATAGATGCCGCTAGCAGGGATCGAACCTGCGACCTTGGGCTTATTAGACCCACGCTCTAACCGACTGAGCTATAGCGGCACATGGAGGAAGATTATTATTTAACTCCTATATACAAAAGAATAAAATTAAAAATAACCTAAAGACGCAGCAATTGGTGTAGCAACATTATCAGGATTAATATCCCAGCGTTTAGCCGTCATTATCACAGCAATCATAACCAACTTGAAAATTATAAAAATAAAAAAATGTTTTTTAAAAAAATACCGAAAGCACCAAAGAAGCAAAAGATGCTGTACTAACAGCAGAAGCGCCCAAAAGTGTTGCATGTTCCCAATCAAGTTGACCACGAGGAATCCAAGAGAGAGCCATTGCTGAAGCTGTGGCCAAAAACTAAAAAGATTAAATAAAAAATTAAAAATAAATTTAAAAAATATTAACTGTCACAACAATGGCTTGTGCTTGAATGAGAGCGATATTGGCAATGATGATAGAATATGCCTGAAAGCTGAAATTTAAGTTTCGGGGGTTAAAACCGACAATGAGACATTTTTAGAAATAAAATTTAAAAAAAACCTCTTGTAAACTATCCAATTTTCCAATGTTTGATTGCGTTGAAAGACGACTAGCCAAAGTCATTTCTAAATTGCCTTTGAGGCCGAGCAATGCAGGGACGAGAATTAATGCTTGGGGAACTTCCTTAAAAATATTTTTTTAATCCTGATTTAAAATTAACCTTATAAAACGACCAATGCTGTACTTGATCAAAAACTAGACCCGCAAATACCATCCCCAATCCAGCAATTATAAAAGGGAAAAGAACCTAGAAAAATAATTCAAAATTGGAAAAAAATTAGAAGAAAACCTGAAATAAAAGTACCAAAGCAGGCTCAGGCCTAGCCACATTTGAATGACCATGAGGGTCACGCCCACGTAGGGGAGGCAATTCAACAAATTCATTTCCAACAAAAGTGGTGTCATTATCGCTGTTGTCTTGATCATTTACTTTAAAAAATTTGTGAAAATTATCAAAGTATTTTAAACAGTGTATCCACTGTGTAAACCACCCGAAAGCCCATCCCTGTTAAATATCACGTCAGAAAATAAACCTTTTAAAAAATGAAACATACTAATATTTTCTGTATCATCAGTCAATTCTACATTTTTAAAACTGCTACTAGCCAAGCAATCAATATTATTTTCTTCAGGTTTGGATCTTCTCTTCATTTCAATAACATCAATTTTGCCATTTGAAATATGGGGGTTAATATTTTTTGAAGAATTTGGCATTAAGTTAATTTAGCTTAATATAAGTAAAATAGTTTAAAAAAGAATAAAATAAACGGAAAAAACCAAAATTTAAAAAAAAAATACAAAAATTTTATTTAATAAAATAAGATGAAGTAAACAAAGATAATTAACCAAACATCTATATAGAACACTGAAGAATTATTATGATTTTTCGGTAAGATTTGTAGCAATATTGTTTTCTTTGGCAAATTGGACCTAGAAAATGTGTGAAAATTAGTTAATGAAAATATTTAAAATTTTTGATTGAAAAATTCGAGTAAAATAGGGTTGTTGGGACCGGTTAATTTTTCCCTATGGCAGTTCAAAAGCTCTTATTCTCTCTGACCCGCCACAAGGAAAAATTAACCCATCCCCAACAACACAAGGATAAATACAGAAAATAACCCCAACATAATTGTTGGGAACGGTTAATTTTTCTGACTGCTCAAAAGCTCCTATTCTTCTCTGACTCGCCACAGGCAAAAATTAACCCGTCAGCAACCACTCTAGAGTAAAACCCCTAACTATCAAATACTCCCATTTATAATATTTAGTTAAAAATCACAAACCAAAGATCGCCTCATTAGATAGGCATCCTCTCCATCCGCATAATATTTAGGCTCCAAATCGGAAATCTCAAAACGCAAAGTATTCTTGTACAAACTAAGAGCCGCTCGATTGGTATGTCTGACGTGCAAATAAACATAACGAGCATTATAACTAAATTAAAGACTAAATTATAAAATAAAAAATAACCAACACTTCAATCATTGCGCGAGCCGCCTGATCCATCAACTTTTGCGCAATTCCAAGTCGGCGGAATGTACGCTTAACAGCCAACGAAGTAACATGACCATGAGGATCCTCGTCTGCCTCCTCTTCCATTTTTGCGAGAACATAGCCAACAATATTTCCCTTGTGATCGGCTGCAACATAGGAAAGTTGAGGCCAAGAAAGCTGAGTAATTAAAGAAATTCGACGTATTATTAGAATATAAAAAAATAAAATTTCAAACCACGTGATACATGTAGTATTTTAATTGATAATTCTCAGGAAGACACAACAAATTACACTGCTGCATTTTAATTAGATCGTCACACGTTGCTGAACGAATATTCATTTTTAAAGTTTAAATTTACTGAAAACTAAAAAAGATTTTTTTAATTGAGGAAACGCGCCCGTTTAAAAGATAGTTCAAGCTGAAAAAACATTCAAAAACACCAAAAGCTAATCAATAACTCAAATTTTTATACAAAACAAAAAAATTTCTTTTTGTGAAACATGGAATTTTTTTAAAAATAAATATATAAAAATGATTTTTCTTTTGTCTATTATTTTTTAACAATCACAATTTTTATTATATTAATGCTTATACTTAAAATAATTTTTATGATTCTTTGTCTTCTACTTCTTCATCTTCTGCACTAAGTTGTTCACCAGAGGAATTCTCATGTTCCTCCTCCTCTTCTTGATCTGTTACTGTTCCATTTAAAGATTTTAATTCACTTTCAGCTAATACATCCTTCAAATCGTCTTGTTGCTCTGGCACCACTACTCTATTTTGACATCCACCATCTCTTTGTTTTTCCGCTTCAAGTGCTTTATCATAACCAGGAAACAAATTTTCATATTTTAATGGATCAGCCAAACTTTCTCCAACATTCTGAATAAAAAAATTTTTTTAAACAAACTAATCATAAAATTTACTCTTTTGCTTATTCCACTTAATGATTGACTCGCAGCATCTCTCCAAAGTGACACCAAACGAGGTACTTGACTTGGAGCATAGGTATGAGCAAAGAAAGTAGCTTCAGGAATGCGTCCATTTTCAATAAGAATTTCCAAACATTGTTGTAAATCGCCGAGAAGATATGAAGAAAGAAATGAAACATTGTGTTGATTATTGTTGTAAGATTCTTTGGCTAATTGTGACATCTAAAAAATTTAAAGAAAATTTTCAGATAAAAAAATTTAAAGAAAATTTTTAAAATTAGAAAAGTAGAATGAGTGCAACAAGCGCTCGACGAATCTGGACTGATCTCATGAAATTAATTATTATGATAAACATGCAGATAACAGTCAGACCCGGCGAACACAAGGCTCTCTAATTAAATAAGGATTTTTAATGGATTAAATGTTGTTAAAAATTTAATCTTGTTTTAAACGGAAAAAATTTTAAATTTGGTTATACCAATTTATTAGAACCAGAACATGATGCAAGTAAGAGAAGACCACCAAAATCACGAGCTTTAGCCAGACATTCACCAGCCAGTCGTAACTCTGAACGAATAGTTGCTGCATGTGCAAGTTGTTTCCATTTATCTTCACTATCCGATTGTTGGGCCAATTCATAAGCAACATTTAAATCTCCAAGTGAAAGAGCCAATTCAAAACGATGCTTTAAATTGAAATGGATTATTTAAATAATTAAAAAAATTCACAAACTTGAGGGTCCTTGCTAACGGCAAGCGCTTGTTTTTTGAAGCCCTAAAAATAATAAAAAGTTAAAATAAAAATTTTAGACAACAAGAAAAATTTTTAAATAAAAATTATGCATGCTCAGTGCCACATTTATTATCAATCTATCGTCAATAACACAGACCAAGAGGCTTAAATTTCATCATAGCATGCACATGGGATCGAACCTAAACCAATCCTTAATGAATGGCAAAAGCAAAACCCCCTAAACCACAAACAACTCTCTCGAGTTTTCGAGAAAAATTCTTACGAATCTTATTCAAAATCACATCGAATTTCTAAAAATAAAATGCAAACCTGTTTCTCCAAAAATTGAGCCACTCGAGTACATTGATTTTCTGGTATTGTTTTTAGAATGCGATCAGCAGAATCAAAATCACGTCGCATCACAGCAGTTTGATATTCCAAAACTGACAAAAGAATTTTATAGGAGACAATATTGTGGTCTTTGTCACAAGCAAAAAGACGATTTTCTTTTGCCAAGTACCCAAGCTAAATAAAAAATTTGAAAAAATTTTTAAAATCTAAAGTAACCAAATAAAGAGGGCGATCAGTATGTGCAATAGTGACAACTTCACCTCCAACATAATAGCTAAGTCGGTTTAAAGTTGTTGTGAATATGAAGCAGTAACCAACCCAAATTCCAGTTTTTACAGATTCCGTTAGTTCACCTTTAAATTAAATTTTAAATAAAAATTTATAAGAGAACTAAAAACAAACCAATAACTTCAAATGCTTCCTCAACTCCATCAGCTCCAATTTCATTAATATTTACGCGTGAAACAGTTTCAGAATCATAACGCAAAATATAAAGTTGTTCATCACTTGCAATAGCAACCATATCACCATTTTCACTCCAAAAAACTTTTTTGGCAACAATTTCAATACGACGAATAACATGTCCAGTGTCCCAATCATAAAAGAGAAGTGAACCAGCAGAACGTGCTGCCAACAAATGACCACCATCAATTCCTTCGATAGATGTATCAGGTCGAATTTGAAGGACTTCCTAAAGTATAAAAATAAAAGTAATGAGGAAACATGAAGAGAAATACAGAAAACAACAAACCCATCAATATACAAATAAAGTAGAAACCTTGAAATTCTTAAACAGCTTAATCAATTGTGAACTTTCTTGCACTGCATACATATTTGAATCATTTGCCCATGCAAAATCAAGGCTTGAACCAAAAGATTTGTTTCGCAAAGCTGTTGCAGTGTAAATTATATATTCACCATCTCCACAAACAACAACGAAACGTCCATTTGGAGAATGCTGTAATTTTTGAGGGTATAATTCAGTTGATCCCATGTCCTTGACAGCAAGAGCCAGACGCTCCCCATCTGAGAAATTATTAAAATTAATGAAATTATAAACAGGAGCCCTTAACCTTACAAAAATATTTAAATAATTATGGAAAAATATGTGCTCAGACCTATCATTGGATAAAATATCATGATTAACAACTCATCAAAGAATTGGCTCTGATAAATTTCATCATTGCACATGAAAGGGATTGAACCCACAACCCCACCAATGGCAAGATCATAAACAGACCACTTAACCATGGACGTAATGTAAGGAAAATTCAAAAATGAATACATAACCCGTCGAGGAAATTTAAAAGGTAACGGCTATCTTTTGTAAAATAACCTTGTGCTTGCTCCAAAGTTTGTTCATCTGCTGCTCTCAAATTAACTTGTTGAACATCTGTATGTTTTGCCCACAATAATTTTCCTGTCGAATCCATAGAAACAGCAGGTTCCTCACGTCCCAGTTTTATAGTTACCGAGCCTTCATCATAACCAATAGCAATTTTATTTGATCCTTTTTGTGCTGTTATACACCAAACACGTTCAAGTCCATAATTTAGTGTTGTTTCAAGTCTTTAAATTAAAGATACTTTAGGATGATTTTAATAAAAATTTAAAGTGGCTTCATAGCAAGGATGAACATTTTCATCAAAGACAATAACTATATTGCTCTCTGAACGTGAACAGCAATATTTTAATTGTAATCATAAGCCACTTAACCAGACCTGTCAACTATTGAAATTCAAAATTAGTACCTATTTGTATTTGCATGCCAAATTCGTACAGTCGCATCTTCTGACCCAGTAACAATTATAGGCAATTCGGGATGAAAACAAACAGCAGATACATTGTGTGAATGCCCTTCAAGTGTTGCAACACAAGTTTTGTTTTGATAATCCCAGATTTTAATCAATCTGTCATCTGCTCCAGAAATTAAATAAGGCTTGTCTCCACTGTGGTAATAATCAACACAATTTACCTAAAAAAAACTTTTGGTAATACAATACAGTTGTAAAATAAATACCCCCTTCTCGTGGCCTTCAAGAGTAAAATTTGGAGTAGGGCTTCCCAATTGCCAAACTTTTATTGTTTTGTCGAGTGAAGCTGTGGCGAAGGTATTATTGTCTTTTGGATTGATTACTAATTGCATAACATAATGAGTGTGGCCTGAAAGTTAAAAAATAGACAGATATTGGGATAACTAAGGATGAGACATGAAATATGGAAAAGTATTATTATGAAGAATGATCAAAGATAGACATGATGATCTTTGTAATTAAAGGATGGCTCATAGAGAAGATTAGACCACAGTCATCGGAAAACAAAAAAATTTGTTCTCCAAAATCAGTGTGAATAAAATGTTTTAATCATTGCCAACTAACTCGAATAATACAAGGAATCGAAAAATTACAAGGGCATGGCAGACAAAAACAATCAAGATAAAGATCGAACGATAGAAACGAGAGTATTAACAAAGTATAAGAAGTTGTGCAGGAAGCCGGGGGGTTTTCTCAAATTCATACAAACACTCAATTGAACCTTAAGCAAAAATAAACCTTCAAATGTCTGTTTTAGCTTCCATTTATCATCCCAATCCCAAAGTTTAATAAGCATATCATCAGAACTAGTTAGTAGGAAGGGCTGGGTTGGATGCACAGCTATCGATCGCAAATAGTCCGAGTGAGCTTCCTAAAATTAAAGGTTACAATAGAGACTGACAAAAGTCCCCCTGGGCCCTAGAAATTACTCACCATTTGATGCACACGTTCCAACGTGTTATAATTGAAAATGCGAAGTTGCATATCATCTGAACCAGTCGCTATCCAATTTTTGCGAAAAATGAACTTTGCAGCTCGTACAGGCAGCTCACAAACCTAAAGGACATATTAACTGATTTAAAAGAAATTCAAACAAAACCTCAAACGATTTAACCAACTGCTGATTTTCATGATTCCAAATGTGAACATGCCCATTATAAAGAGAAACTAATGTCCAAGGTTCAGTTGGGTGTAAATCAATTGATTTGACACGATCAGAACGAGCGAGTAATTTCCGTTTAACATCAAGGCGAAGTGGCATTTTATTAATAAAATTGGTTGCTTATATTTATTCTTTGCTTTCTCTAAAATGGTTTGTGTTATCGGTAGACTTTCGCCCCCCTATTTTATGATTAATATAATCGACTAATAAAATTGAAGAAAAAATAAGCGGAATAACGACGTGGATGAAAAAAAAGCAATGTGGAAACAAATAAATAAATGAAGGGACCAAAAAATTAGAGAAAAATAAAAGAGAATGGAAAAAGTGGATCCAACATATTTGACCAATTTTACATTTTACCAATAAGGCTAAAAACTTACATTTCGTCAATAAGGCCTTGTTGGTAAAACGTGAGTTTTTAGCTTTGTTGGTAAAATATGGAATTGGTCAAATATGGAGAGACTAAAAAGTTGAGAGAGAAAGAAAAATAAAAAAACAATATGCCAACCAGAAACTTAAAAATATAAAATTCAAACCTTCAACAGGCCTAAACGTACAAAAAAATTTTTGAGATAAAGAAATTCGATGAAAACCGATGTTTTGGAATTTTTCATACAATTATTGAGATTTTATTCGATGTGTGCGTTTTATTATTATTATTTTACAATAAAAATGAGATGAAGACGATAAAAATAGAGGGAAAAATATTAAAAAAAAGGCACTCATTCTCAGTTGTGTAGATATTTTTTGTGTGTACAAAACTGAATGAGCATATAAAAAAAATCTTTTTTTTTCTCATTGATTTTTTATTCAATGTCGTCCATTTTCCATTCTTCCACTATAAGGTGGGCGAGGAGATGGACGGGATACTGCAGCAGCGGAGGGATTTAAAAGTGTTGTAGTGCTGCTTGCTGCTGGCTGGTAACAGGGACTAACGCTTAATTGTGATGCACGACTGTCAATGTCGCCCTAATTTATATTTTTTAATTATTATTAGTAGTAAAAATTGAAAATGTTAAAAAATTTATAAATAGGTCTAAAAAATTTAAAAATTCATGTTGACTCAACATAAATTTTAAAAAATTTGCGAAACCCCTAAAAAATGGGAATTACGAAACCTTTGCATGCTGCAGGATTCGAACCTACGTTGGGCTGAACCCATTCGGATCAGGAGTCCGACGCCTTAACCACTCGGCCAAACATGCACCCAGAGATATTAAATTTAGAATAGGATTTATCCTATTTACTCTTATGAAAAAATATTTCCATTCCCTCAATAAATATTTTAATAAAAATAAACGAACTCTAACTGATTCGGATGTTTCTGTCATTGAAAGCTTCTCGCCAAAAATATTGCCAATTCTCTTGCAAAGTCGTGCAGACATGGCTTCAGGAAAAAGGCAGACTTCTCCTTGAGTGGATGTAATTGTTCGAAAAGGCATTTTACACCTAAAAAATTTTTTTTAAATAAATTTTATTTAACAAGTTTTCTAACCGTTGCCTAGGACTCTCTCGTGAATTACTGCGAATGTAATAGTCCAAATAAGTTGTCCGGTATTCTATGAAATTTATACGTTGTTTGTTCCGCTTTATAAAATAAAATTTTTAAACAATCGAAAACATTTTTACCTTGCTATCAGTAGTATTTAGACCTTTAAGCAGCACCAAAATGTGTTCACCAACTTGCGCAGTTCGGTAAATATATTTTCGGATAGCGCGGATTTGATTGGTCTTTAAATGAAATAAAATTAGAAGGCTTAGATTCTAAATTGACAAATTTTTTGTTCAAAAATCAAAAAACAAGGGCTCCAAGTCCATTGCATGCTGCAGGATTCGAACCTGCGTCGGGCTTGACCCGGTCGGATTCTGGATTCCGACGCCTTAACCACTCGGCCAAGCATGCAGCCACTAAGAATGGCTGTTTTGCTCTTTTTTAATGTCGAATTAGAAAGGGGGGGGCTACAAAAACCCTTGCAACCGAAACGTTTGATAACCCGGAATTCAAATAATAATGACAATAAACTCACCAAACTTTCATCCTTGTCGTGGCAAATATCTCCTAGACGTATCTTGCGCATATGGTAATATTCTGTGTCAATTGCATCAACTTGGGTTTCATCTAAATTTTTAAATATGTAGATGTTAAGATTTCAAATATTAGATTTCAATATATTATTTTCAAACTTTGTAAAAAGAGCACCACTCTAATTGAGTCATTATTCCGTCCAAAACCAAAATCAATAAAAAGTTGCCTTACAGTGCGAAATAAATCTTCATTGTACGGCACCTATTTTATGATTTAATGTTTAAAATTATTCAATTTTTTAATTTACTTTTAAATCAAGCCTTACAATCCTTTTGTGCTTTCTGAACCAAGTAAGGAATGGTTCGGCACTTAAAAAGAAATTTTTTAAATTGGCAATATTTTTAATATTTATTTAAAAATAACCAACCATTCATGAAATGACTCAAGCCTTTTCTTCAAAAAAAATAATTTTAATCAAGTTAAAATCAAAAAGATTTTTCAAACCTCCAATCGGCCTTTATCTGCTTCATCCTTTAAAAATAATCAAAATACGATACTCATTTTATTTACTCATACCGCTCCACCACGCAGTAATTGCCTTGCCTCTTGGCGCAGTTCCCTTTCCTCATCTGTTTCTTTTTTGTTTTTTGAGGTAGATGGGGAAGCGGAGAAGGAACTTGAAGGCCCGCTTTCTAAATATTTAAGAAATAATTTTAGAAAAATTTAAACGAACCAAGTAATTGATATTCCGCCGAAATGTAGAGTTCCAATGCAAATAGTACATGGTACTAAAATAAGTATATTTATCAAAATTAAATATTTAAATAATATTTACTTTTTTATCAAATTCGCCTAACTGATCCTTTAAAATTAAAAAAAAATATTTAATTTAATAAAAAATAATAAAAAATAAATGAACTCAAGTCCATCGCATGCTGCAGGATTCGAACCTACGTAGGGCTGAACCCCGTCGGATTGTGGCTTCCGACGCCTTAACCACTCGGCCAAACATGCACAAAATGCCCTCCCAAAAGTTATATTATCATTCCATCATTCACAAAGGACCCTCACGAATTGTCACGAAAAGTTTCGCGATTTTTTGCGCAATCGTAAAAAGCTGGGCCGATAAGTTATTGCCAATTTTTTGGCTTATTTGACTCTGACTACGAAATTAAAGGTTAAAAAGCTGGAAAATTTTCGACTTTTGAAAAGGCCTCATTTTCAATTTTTTATCCAAAAAATTAATTACCCTATGATCCAGAGCTGTAAACGCTGCAGATTTTAGAATAAATGACAATTCCGGGACAATATCCACAATAAATCTCTTGAGAAATAATTAAAATTATAAAGCCACAAAAATATTTCCAAGTACCTGTACATTTGTGTGAGCTGTGGCTATTTTAGCTCCTACCATTTGCAGGACCCAACGAAGGTTTATTATGCCAGGATTTCGCTAGAAAAAAAGATTTTTTATATTTTTATTTAATTTAAAAAATTACGCGCAGCAGTTCGTTTATTTCCACAGTATTTTGAACAGTATTAGCTTCTTTTTGAGGCAAATAGGAGAAGATTACATCTTCTAAAATTAAATAAAAAAATATTTTAAAGAAAAAATAAATTTTTTCTAACCAATTCCAATAGTGATAAAATCGAATTCTTGTGCAAGCTCTTGAGTTAGAATACCTTTCATGCTTCCTGGACCGCCTAAAATAAATTATTTTTAATTTTCAAACTTAATTTGAGTTCAGCACTGAAAACCTACACCTTAAAGACCTATTGACTCTGTAGACCTATATATGTTGAAAAAGATTATCGAGGGACTAAGAGGGGATAAGAACCTAGCTTTATAAAGATAAATACTCAGTTCTGTATTTTAGTATCAATTGTGGTATTATGTGTGTACCATAACTACGGGTGAGTCCTCTTTAATCACACCAAATCCATCGATATCCCCTTAATCCCCCAATATTTCCTTTCAAAAGTTGTAAGTCTTCGGGATTTAGGTCTTCAAGTTCGACCCCTTAATTTTAATTTATTTACTCTTTTAAAAATAATTTTTAAAAACTGACAAAAAATTAGAAAATGCCAAAATAGAATTTGTAGTACTTTAATGTGAACATATAAAGCAACTACGTAAATTTTCTTATAAACATTTGCTTGCGTATACAAAAAACAATTTTAATTTTTAAATAAAAAAATACAAAAAAATTTTTTGAAAAGATAATAATGGTTATCCGGGGTAAAGATGATCAAAATATTTTGTAAAAAAAAGTAGAGGAAAAATTTTAAAAATAAAGACTGAACTTTTTTAAACGTAAATATAGGAAAAGATTAAAAATAACAGGAAGAAAATAATTACCATATTTACTAAAAAAAATTACCCTGTTAATTACCCATCCATTAAAGGTATCCGTCTTCGTCTCTATTAATTATCCCCTAAGGCAGAGATTGAAACAAGGGTTTGAGTAAATTGAGCAAGGGCTTGAGAACAATTATTTGAGTAAATACGGTAAAATTATCCAAATATATGTAATTGGGCTTATAATTCAATTAATTTCCCGGAAATAAAATTTTAAGTATTTATTTACCTTGAATAAAATAATTTTTAATTAACTTCCCCCCTCCCCATAAATAAAAAATTTAAATAATTATTTTCAAACTTCCTTTCCCCTTTTCCTTCTAAAAAATAATTAATTTTATTCAATTCCTCCCGCGCATTGGTTTTTCTCTTTCTTGTTGGGTAAATAATAAAGCAACGCTCAACACATTTTCAGGGATTATTTTTTAATACTTTATATAGTATATGATAGCATATAGGCAAAAAAGGGATTCTATATATTAGCGCGCAAAGTGATAATGGTCAATTGGGAGTGTTTTGCGTCACAAATTTGTTTTAAATAATGAGGGGAAAATTGAGACAATGAAAATAATAACAGGAAAATAAAATGCTTTTTTGTAAACAAAAAAACCAACCGAAAATGAAAATGACTTTAGGAAATGATTCATCCCCACCAGCACAACATGGATCCACTCCAGAGCCAACATCTGAAATAAAAATTAGATACTGTCGAATCTCGTTAAAACACCACTCTCGGGACTTAATACTTGCCTCATGAAAAATAAGTGAGAAAGGGAAGGAAAATGAAAAAATGGTCAGAAGAAAGAGGGGGTATACGAACCGAACTATTACCTATATTTTCCTACATCTATATTTTCCTTGTTGTTTCGTTTTTTTCAAAAATTTTGCCTGACAGAGGAGAAACATTAAAGGGAAATTTAGGTGTAAAACGTAATTATTCCTTAATTATCCAGACGTATTAAGGAGATAAACGTGCTATAGAGATTCGACTGTAGTTGTAAATTAGAGTAGTAAAAGCTCATACGTAAAATAAAAATACGATAAACTTAAAAAACTAAACTAAAAAGCTCAGTCAGATTAATTACCCAAAAATACAAAACTTGCACAAATATCATACACAAAATATAAACAAAATACAAAATGAAAGACCAACAATTAAACGAAAATAGCCCAAGAACCAACAATTAAAAAGAAATTTTACCGATAGAAATTGGCGGTTGTAGCCTTAGTAGTCTGTGCAGATTTAAGTCAATCTCGTCATTATCTTGTGCTGCTGTTGTTGCCAATCCATCGTTCTCTCCTCTTCGACGTCCTGGAACAATATTATGTAGAAGGAATTCACAACATGGACTGAAAGAGATTTAAAAAAATTTTCAAAAAAATTTTTTTAGTCAAAAAATACCTCCGAAATTTATTAGCAGGATTCTGTGAGCCAACAAACCCGTTCCAATTGTGCACACTTGGGGCGCAGCCCATCAACAACAATAAGTGATTTTCATAATTTATTGCTCTATCACAGATATTTTACTAAAAAATTTGAGAAAATAATAAAGGAAAAATAAAATTTTAAAGAATCAGAATAAACAATACAACCGAAAACCCCAGAAAATCAAGTCAAAAATATGAGAAAAAATCAAAAAATAAGGAAGTAGGGTTGTCGGCTCATGGAAAATCTTCGGATATCCTAAACAGTTCAGTTTCGACCAACAACACTATAGGAAGAAAAGAAATGAGAAAAATCAAAAAAGCAAAACAAAAAGTAATGAAGAAGCCCTCAACAATATTTCCCTATAACAGTGATTCTTTAATAAATCCCCAGCAAATAAAATACTTTTTAGATTAGGCAAAAAAGGAAGAAGACACAAAAATGGGTGCTTTATATGAAAGGGAAGCAAAAGAGCCCATAAAAAGGAATGTTAAAGGGGAGGGGAAAATTGTTGTATTTATTTAAATACGAGTGCTTCTTTTTTTTTTTTATTAATGTTGACGTTCTCACACCTTTTTTCTGTTACTTTTTTTAATTCGAGAGTTAACGACTCGGCATGTAATTTTATATAAAACTAGTTAAGTGAGTGAAATAAAAGACGGTCAAAAAACTATTCGTTTTGTGAAAGTAAAATAATTTTTCAAATAAAAGGTTTTCTGGAGGAGAATGTTAGTGATTATTAAGGTGATAAGTTTAGATTCAAAATGAAAGGTAAAGAGAAAACCATGAGCCTTTTCGAAAAAACCCCCTAGAGGAAAAGTCCCTAACATTTTTTAAATTTTGTTTTAAAAAGAACCGAGATAAGCTCCACGAGAGGTGGCTGATCCACTAAGGTCAATCTTTCCATCCAAATCCAACATAGTAACACGCAGCACCAGTTAAAATACCTCATCATCAACAGACAAGTGAACAACCTACATAAATCAAAAAATTTGCCAAAAATTCAAAAAGTAGAAAACCTGGAAGTACCGACAGCTACCAGTACAGTTGTACTCTTGACCACTTCAACACTGTTATATTCAATAAACATTTTTATTGGCAAAAATGATCAAGTTGGATTAATGGGAAATCCCTAAAATATACACAATGTCTCTTATGTATAACAGAAATCCTATAGTTTAAAAAGGTATAAAAAATTTTCCAAAAGATAAAGATCAAGTAAAATTTATCGATTTATTCAGACACAAAAAAAGACATTTTTGTGCAGAAAAGCAAGCAGCAAATTGAAAAAATAAATGGGAAGAAACGAAAAAATTGAGGAATATAAGGGCAGTTACAGTGATAGATAGCCTAACCTGGCAACTTTTAAATAGTTTTAGGCTTACTTTTTAAAAAATCTTTTAAATTTCAAAAATAAGTGAACAATGGGAGGGGGTCTCGAACCTTTTAAAATAATACATAAACCAGACTTCGTTTCTTCTCTTAAAATTTTTTATTTAAATTCTCCTTCCATCTCTCTACATCATCCATTTAATTTTTTTTATATTTAATTTTATAAAAATCATTCATCCATCAAAGAAAATAGTCTGGTGTCCGACGAGTCACGTGAGGTTCACCACGACGAGGTGCCGGATCAAATTGCAAAAATGAGTATTTGAGCTCATCATCAAGCTCGACCATAGCTGCCTGATTTCCACAACGATAACAGTAGTTGGGAGCAGAAAAAACAGTAACAACATTTCGATCATGGCACCAGTTGTAACCCTAGAGAAAGAAATTTAAAAAATTCTGGCTAACAATAAGTGACTAACCTCCATAACAAGTTGATGTGCCCGTGAGATCAAAGTAATGCCATTTGCGTGGTTAAATGTCTCAGAAATGTCCTGTCCAAAAGTATAACCAGCACCACGAGGAGATATCCCCCAACCACCACGATCATCAGGGTCAGACCAAAGCAAATCGCACATTGGACCTAAATTTAAACATAAAAACCAAAAAATTTAAAAAATTCAAACCTTCATGTGGCACCTCCTGCAAACGTTCCAAAGATCTAATATGATCAAGTGTGTCGATGCTAGGCGAAAGACCTCCATGAAGACAGAAAATCTGACCGTCCACCAAAGCAGTAAGAGGAAAATAGTCAAATAAGTCAGTGAAGTAATTCCAAACCTAAAAATTAAATTTTACAAAAAAATTTCAAAAACTTTTAAAGAATACTTTTGAGTTTCCATATTTACGCAAACATTCGTCATAGAATCCATAAACTTGTGTGATTTGTCGAGACTCGTGATTTCCTCTAAGAATTGTAACTCGGTCACGATAACGAACCTTTAAAAATTCAAAAGTTAAATACAAAAGGAAATTTTAAAAATTGTTTCGAGTTTAGAGGATAGGATCTAATCCATAAGTTAGAAAAGACACCGAAGGTATAACTCGAAATAATTTACCTCCAATTAGCATACACTCAATTGCAAATTTACTTGCAACAGTGCCAAGATAGGAGGAAGGGAAGGGAGATGGCTTGAACCCTCGGAATGTTTTTGAATATTGAACAAACGCAAACCACTTAACCAAACTCATTCAAAGGAAAATTTTGATAGAATTTGTTTTGAATGGTTGGGCAAATTTATGAAAAAAATATCTAGTAGAAGTCGGAAAGAGAAAATGAAAGGTATCAAACTCCCAATTTTGCATGTTTTCCCCAGCCCTAATGCTGAGGAAAAAACAAAAAGGTGCTGAGATATTTAAACGACCCCAAGACATTCAATCAAAATTAAAGATACCTTAAGACAAACAAGCAGCGAAACAGTCTCCACAGAATAATAACCTCTATCAACATAATCACCCATAAACAAATAATTTGTGTCTGGAGACTTTCCACCCATTTTGAATAATTCCATCAAGTCGTGAAACTGTCCGTGAACATCCCCACAAACTGTAACAGGGCATTTGACTTCTTGAACGTTAGATTCGTGTTTGAGGATTTCGCGAGCCTAAAAAATTTAGTTATACAAAATATTTAAAAAATAATGTTTTTGAACTAAAAATGTAACCCAGGTGCAAAATCTTATTTCAATTAAAAATGAAAAAAGAAGATTTACTGGGTAGATTTTATTTTTCCTCATTTTTCTAATTAAACGATAATTTAAAAAGTCGTTTAATTCTATCGAGAGGAGAGCATTTTACAAATCCTTAAAGTATGAGAACCCATAGGGCAACCAGTCAAAAAAAAACCATTGAAACCAAATCGTGTATTGGTGGTTTTTTGCTTCTGATTTAGACTAATGTCAAGAGCCACGAAAACTGAGTTATACTAGAGGAGGAAGTTGGACCGACTTGGGGACCGAGTTAAACATAAAAATTGGAAAATCACTTTTTCCCCCGCTAATACCACCCAGTTTTTGGAGCAAAAATCCAAAATAACACCTATAAATCACAACATTCCCTCAAATCTTAATAAAATTTCAAACCTTATCACACAACAGCTTCACTTGAATCTCAGTCAGCTGCTTACATTCATACAATTGCGCAATCCATTCATCAAGATCTTTGGTAAATTCTCTGCTGATAAATTCTCCACCAGGACTGTTACCGCCCATTGTTACAGTTTGAGGTTGTGTTGCACTAGAACTAATACTTGCTGCTGAATTGGCAGAATGTGAATTACTATTATTTGCTGACGAAGTGACTACTGGAGCATTAGGTTTGCTATCTACTTCCATGGCTTCCATTTTCTGAAAATTTGTTCAAAAATTAATAAGAAAGTTGTAAAAAAATCACGAGTAAGAAGGCATAGAGAAAATCAAGGAAAGGAACATTAAAAAATACATGTAGGAAAAAATGAAACGAGAACAGAAAACCTTTTGAAAACCCCTAAGAATTTTTCAAATTCCCCAAAAAATTTCAAAAATTCAAACAAAAACGCGAATTTTCAAGTTTTCTGAACTCATACTAAACACGAAATTTCGCAAACCAAAACGTTTGTAACGCAAATTCATGAGAACTAACGGAAATCGTAATATTTACCTAACACCTTTAGCTTTTTGATTCACTTAATGAGAAAAATGACCGAGAAAAAATCTTTTTTTTTTGTTTTTTCCACCCGATAAGCAAGCTAGTAAATGTATTTAACAAGCATACATACATTTATTTGTACAACTTAATAACCAAGTACTAGACAAAAACCCCCATTCCCTTTTTATTATAGTCGCTAGGAGACTAAAAAAAGAATGGCGACTAGCAAGAAGCAAAGAATCTTTCACAATTGTATTGATCCCGGGAAATAATGCACTCTACTTAACACACGGAGACAGTCAGACGGAATAATTTATGGCGTCTTTTTCATTTTGTCACATAGAGGAAATATTGCGCTTCGCCACTCTATACTGTGTGTGGTAAAAATTTGAAGATAAAAATTTTGGACGTTTTGAATTTGCATTTTGTCATGATCGCATTTGTCGCTTAAGGAAATATTTCAACAAAGATAAAACAGGAAGACAAAGAAATAGAATTGCAGAGATGGAGAGTCTCAAGAAATAGAGCAAAATATTTTCTTTGGTGTCAGATCAAAAGATAGATGCACTTAAAGATAGATTCGGCTAAAAACGGTTAAAAGATAGACACAGCCAGAGAAGCGGTGCTTCTATCTTTTGATCGATTTTTGCCGTATCTATCTTTTGGCGCTTCTATCTTTTGTAAGTAGCCTTTATTTTTATTACGAAATATCTACGACTGAAAATATATCAAAATGTCAATTAAAATGTTGAAATTTTTAGACGAATTGTATCTTTTTTCGCTATTAGGTATTTTGTCTTAATCCTTATTGTCAATTAAAAATTAGTTAAATGTTAAAGTGTAACCGGATATTCTCTTTTATTCTTTTAAGAGAACAAAAGGATTAACTTCTAATTGTTTTTTATTTGATTAATTAATCTGATTTAAGATGAGGCCTTATTCTACTTATTTATCTCTTCTACTTTAATTAACGCCTTTTAAAACTTTGTAAAAATGGTTCTTATAAATCACTGCAATAATTCTAACAACAATACTACAAATAATGGCGATTTATTATTATCTGCTTCTTCGGGACGGCCATTGCCACCAAATTGGGAAATCTCATACACTGAGAATGGCGAAAAGTTTTTCATTGAGTTAGTTTATATTTTTAATATTTTTACTGTATTTTAGCATAAGCTTAAAGGAAAAACAAATGAGAGTAACTCAAGTTCTTTACATCTAGGAACTTTTGCCTCCATACAAAATTACAAAAAAGCTCATTAGATAACACTAGAAATAGGGAAGTTTAAAACCTTGACTCTAGTTTCATTGAGGATTTTAACCAGATTTTTGCACTTTAGTCAAGGAAAAATCAAAGTCTGGATCTGGAGATCGAGATTTTTGAAAAGCCAGGGCCTGTTCCTGGACTCTGGCGTTTGATTTATTGACCTGGGCCGGATCCTGGTCCTGTAGTCCAAAAAGAACCCAGACCCAGAGAAAACTCAGGAAGGCCAAAAAATGGCTGGGCCTGGACTCTGGGTACAGGAAAAACCCAGCCTTGATCCAGGTCCAGCTCGATCTCTACTGGCGATCCAGGCCCATCTCTAGATATCACATCCTATTTCTCCTAACAATTTTTTAAATTTTCTAGTCACAACACCGGCACGACAACATGGGACGATCCACGGGAATCAATATCTACAACTCCCGCTACTTTAACTGCTGCTGATTTTTATGGATGCGATATTGAAGAAACAAATGTTGACATTAATGGAACATTTTTTTATGAGTGGGTTTTAATTTTTTTAAATTTTTTCCTTCCTTTGTTTTGTTTTTGGGAATTAGTTGGTTTGGGAATTTCCATATTAGATTTTGATTTTTGACCAGCTCCAACTCTTCCTTTCTAGTTTTTGTACTTTTCTTGTTCATATAATGAATTAATATTTTTGAATACAAGCGAATTTAATACTCTTATTTTATGGTTTTTGATCCTTAAAAATGACAAAAAATGAACCTACGTATTTATATTTTATCGAATAGGTATATTGGCCCAAAGGGAGGAAGTGGGTGTCTTTTAACATTAAACGTGGGAGGGCATTCCTTAATGAATTAATTTTTCCATAAATAATTTTTAAAATGGATGGTGTTTGAATTTTCTTGTTTTTAACTTGAATGCTTCATTTAATGGGTACTTATTTAATATCCTATCCCAACACTTCCCTATTTATTTTTCAGTTCTCTTAAGCATTATAAGTAGTGCTTCGAAGCTCGTACCTAAATTCAAACTCGCACTTTGTACAAATCACGAGCAATTCATAGCTAAATTTCTATTTCAAGGTTGCCCTACTTTAAAAAAATTTCTTAATTTTACTATCCATTGATTTTTTATTCTCAAAAAACACTAGTTTTTTTATCCCATTTTTAATATAAAATTTAAACAAAATAAATTTGGGGACCCATTACTGCCTTGTTGCTTAATCAGATTTTGAAAGCCTTGCTTTTCCTCACTTCCTCCCTTTGGGCCATCCATCCGAAATAGACTGAAAGCAAATTAGTATACTAAATAAAAAAAAGACTTGTTTTGCTTGACACTATCTACTTTACACACTTTCACTACTTTTGGATAAGGAAAAAGGAATTTTCATTGCTAAATTTCTTTCTAAATGTGGGGAAGGGGAGGGGGGAGGAAGGGGAAATGAAGCTATTGGGGACAATTGTGAAAAGAGTCCATTGGCTTTTAGTTTCTAATTTGGACTAACTCATCACTTGTAAATTTTGGAAGGAACTAGATTTTAATTCGTTTTTAAACTTTTTCTATATGGCAATCTCTCCTTCATGCTAATCTCACTCTTTTAAATTTTTACTGATTTTGACTTTGCAAAAAAATTTTTAAATTAAATTCCCAGATTTTTAATTTAACTTAAAATGCTTCAAAACCAATTCCACGGTGATTATTTATGCCAACGTTGTGGCTGCCTTAAATCAAAATCTAATGGTGCACTTAATAATTGTGTACCAACAACAACCCATAAAAATATTAATGGGAGTGAATTACTTGATCAGCTTGTCTTTTTTCGGTTCTCTAACTCATTTGAAATTTGCCTAAAATTAAAATAAATTTAAATTTTTTATTAAATTTTAAATTAAATAGGCATGGAAATCGACCACAATTACAACAACAACACAGCACAGAACGTCCATCCACTTTGGGCCCTTTTAACAATAATTCTGCTTCAATTACAAAACAACCATTGCCTTATGAAACAGTCCAGTATTTGCATGCTGCTAGCACTTCAAATGCTTCCTGTGAGGAAATTAAAGATATGGTGAGTTTATATTTTTTTTGAAATACCTGGGGCTCCTAAAAATGGAGGTAATCCTTTAACATCTTTCTAAAGATTTTTTTACGATTTTTTAGGTTCATAATTCATTAGGCTAGAAGCTATTTTTGCCTATTAATCTTTTATATTCATATATTTTGGGGTCTAATAAATTCTTCACTTTTTACTCGCTAACTTGCGCATTTTTCTTGCTTAGATTTTATTTTTTTTTGGAAAGAAACACCTAATATTTATTTTTTTATCTCATTTTCTTCGTTATTTCTGTTATTTAATTATATTGATCTAAACAATTCTTTATATTAATGCCTAAAAAATATTTTTTTACAAAAAAATATTTTTCAGTTCCTTTTTTGTAAAAATCTCGTTCTCATTTTGAAAAAGAACAATGAATGGATTAAACACTTTTTACGCGATTTATTTTAAAAATATTTGTGGCACCATTCATTTTTTCTTAGGGGTTATGAGATGTTTTTACTTCCCGTTTAAGCATCAATTGAGTTTAGAACAGGGTTGGACGCAAATGAAAAAAATTTCCGCGCGGAGTCCACAAGTCAAAAAAATATGCAGCAAAAAAGCGTCCGGCCCAGGGTGCGCAATTAACATTGAAAGTTTTGATGTTTTTTGTTATCAGACGAAAGAAATTTAAATTTAAAAAAATATGCGAAGAATTTAAAAAATTTTAATTAGAGTAATTTTTGAACTTTGAGCTCTTAATTTATTCACTCAATTAAAAAATTTTTTTTGAAAATTGCTTTTGAAGTTAATTTAATTTTCTTTTTATTCTCTTTCAGCTAATTTTTTTACTAAATTTAGACGAATTAACAATTTTTTAAATTTTCTTTGCTTATAAGTCTAGAATTGTCTGTTCTATTTTTCCTTGATTTATGGTCTTCTACCTTATTTTTTAACAAAAATAGGGATATAATAAAAATAGGAGTCCCGAACGAGATTTCGAAGAAAAATCTCGGTTTGAGACGAGATTTTTTAAGATATCAGTCTCGAATCTACATCGACCCTCCTAGGCTGGTCTCTAATAAATTATCATTTTTAGTACGGCAATAATAATAAAAACGGTTCTTCTCAACAACAATTTTGGATGAAACGTACTAATGGTGTTGAACCTCCTTCTAGAGGTGAGTATTACTGATTTTCTCGACTTTTAAATTAAAAATATTTTTTTAGAAAGCAATGGATGTTCTATGCAACAACAGCACCCTGGATTTATCTTGCCACCAAACTTTGTGAGGGTTTTTTAAATTTTTTGCTAAAAATTTTTAATTTTTAGTCTATTTTCACTCGTAATCCTGCCGAATTAATTGGTCAAATAATTAATGTTCGCATACAAAAAGGCTCAAAAGGATTAGGTTTGTCGCTAATTGGTCAGGATGGGACTCATATACGTGATGAATTTATTCAAGTAAATTTTTTAAATATTTTTTCAATTTTATAGTTTTTACTGGGAAAATAAGAAGATTCTGAATTTTTGAGCGCCACAGTCGAAAATTTTTTGAATTTTGTAACCCAATAAGCTAGATTTCCCACTTAGCTACGCCCTTGCCACTGGTGAATCTCGAAAATATAGAAAGAGCACACTTTTTATTTTTGGGACCACTAAACTAAATTTTTACATTTTTCCTTTTTAGATCAAAACAATCATTCCAGAAAGTCCTGCATATGCTGAAGGTACTCTTCGATCTGGAGATGTTCTTGTCTATGTTAATCAGCACGTTTGAAAATTTTTCTTTTTTTATATTTTTCTTCATTTTTTAGTGTATGCTAGGAGCTAGTCAAGACGATGCTTGCCAACTTTTCCGTTCAATTCCTATTGGTGAAGTTGTCCGTATTCAAGTTTGTCGTGGATATCCATTACAATTAGATCCGACTAATCGAGTAAATTGATTATTTTTTTTATTTTTTAAATCTTATTTTTTAAAGATTTTCACGGAAAATGTTTACGCGCAACACCAACAAAAGGCAAATTCCTCTTCAAACATATTGAGGCCTTCGAGAGAAAATATTGAAATTGAAATATGTAAGGGTCCTAATGGTTTTGGATTTACTGTTTATGATGATGCTTTAGGTGAGAAAATTAATTTTTAAATTTTTGAATTGGTTTTAATTTAAGGGCAAAGAATAAAAAATATTGCATATCCAGATCAATGTCCAAACTTGCTTGAGGGGGATACTATTGTTGAGGTTTAATTTTTCAATGAATTTCTAGATTTTTAAAAATATTTTTTAGGTTAATGGCCAAAATGTTCGTTCTCTTCCACATCCACAACTTGTACAAATGCTACAAAATTTCCCAATTGGTTATCGTTGTAAAATGAGAATTCTGAGGAGGGCTCAGAAGCAACGGTTTTCTAAATTTTGAATTTTTTAGCTTTATAATTAAATTAGTTTTTTTAAAGATCTCGAACGCCAACGGCAGGATTTCGCTATGGTTATCGTGGTGGTGATGTTGCTTCAGTAACAGAACAATTACAGCAAATGCACCCAAATTGGTCTGCGCCAAATAGTGGAAATCAACAGCAGCAACACCAAAAGGTTTTTTTAAATTGATTGGAAGAAAATTATTTTTTAAGTTTGTTCCTCTTTTTACTCAACGCTCAAAAACTCCATTTGGCGGTCAGCAGCAGCCACATTTACAGCAACAACGCCAGACTTCAATGTATTTTCAACAGGAACCAATAAATCCGGGTGCTGATGCAAATATGGACTATCATTGGAATTGTATGACATTACCCAGGGTTTGATTGAATTTTAAGTTTAAAAATTATTTCTTTATAAAATTTTAGTCGACAAATAAAAATCAACAAATTCAACAACAACAACCAATTCAGCAGCATCAACAACTTCCGTCCAATAACAACCTTTCAATGAATCAATTTATAATGGAAAATCGTCCACAACAACAACGAATCCGTCCATCTTCGTCAACTATGGAATTTGGGAATGCTGTGAATTCGGTGAGATAATTTGGATTTTTTACATTTTACTAATAAAATTCAAATAGAATGGTCATTTTGCAATGCAATCTGAAAGAGTAGTGGTTAATTTATTAAGTCAATCAAATGGTTTTGGTTTTCATTTACACGGAGGAGCTGATGTAAATTTTGAATAAGCTTGACAAGATTTTAAAATAAATTCTTTTCACAGAATCAACCTCTTCTAATTGGTTCAGTAATCCCTGGAGGAGCGGCGGATTTAGATGGTCGTATGCGTGTTGGTGACCAAATTATTGAAATCGACGGGGAAACGACTTTGGCAATGCAACATAAGCAAGCTGTTGAACTTATTAGACAGGTTAATTTTTTGATCAAAAATACTAATTGAATCATTTTCAGGCTTCTACTGTTGGCGCGGTTAAGCTAACTTTACTCAGACATCGTTCACCTCCTCCTATTGCAGAGGAGAATTTTGGGCAGTTACGTAGAAATGGCTCCGCTTCTGCAATTTATGCTGCTAGAGGTTACTATTATGCAACTTTAATAATTAAGAAATAATAAATTCAGTTCCATACGATGTAAAATTAATTAAAATGGAGAATGAGACAGATTTTGGTTGTACAATCGTTTCACATAAGTATCGCTACATTGGTATGAAATTTTCTGAATTTCGTTAAAAAATTTTTTAATCCATTTTTGCAGTTTCTCTTACACCCAACAGTCCAGCAGGTCGTTGTGGTCAACTTCGAGTAGGTGATTGTGTTGTGGCAATTAATGGGATGTCGGCTGACATGATGAGTCATCAGGTTTTTGAATGAAAATTTTTTTGATTTTAACTTTTATTTTTTAAAAGCAAATGCAACAAGAAATTAGTTCTTCTGGGGCATCTTTAGTTTTAACAATTGATCCAGCAAAGCGAATAGAAGAAGAAGATGGAATATCAGGAAGAAATATTCCTTCAAATTATATTCAGATGGGTGGCGGCAATGGCATTCAGCAACTTCAAAAGCAAAATGTAAAAAATTTTTCGTTTTACTAGGAAGAGAAGAAGACAGAGTTTTTTCACGAAATTATTCAAATGAAATTTTTAGTCGGAAGAATTCCTCCGTGCCTTTTAATTTTTTTAATTCAAATCAGGATTCCCATCAATCCTCACCATATTCTACACTTATTTCTGTTCATCTTAAACGTTCTGATCGTGGTTTTGGTTTCTCAATTCGTGGTGGTTCTGAGTTTTGTATGGCTCTATTTATATTGCGTATAGCTGATGAGGGGCCAGCCGCTTTTAGTGCTATGCAGGTTTTTTTTGAAAATTATTTTAGAAACTTTAAACTTTGAAAAAATTAAGATTGGGGATCAACTAATGAAAATTGATGGAGAATCAACCGAGAATATGACACATCAACGAGCAATAACACTCATCAAGGAGCGTCAAGAGGTTGATTTACTACTTAGGCGAGAGAAAATTTGAAAAATGAATTAAAAAAAAAGATATAATAAAAAATACTTAATTAAAAATTGCCTTTAAATCAAGAACACAAAAAATCTTCAACGCATTTTTTACTCTTATTATATTAGGTGGGTGGACATATCGGGATTCTAGTTAAAAAATAACCTCTTGCGTGTTTATGTTGGTTCTAGAACACAAAAACTCTCTTCTTCAATAGGGCAATGTATTATTCAAGACCCAGTGGCCATAGGTCCAGAAAACATTAGGGTAATTGTTCATCATTGAAATATCCTAATATGTCCGTCCCGATATGTCCACATGTCTAGTATTATGCGGCAAGTAATTACGATATATTATTTTCCCCTTAAATTCTCAATTTATCAAGTTTATTTTTCCTTTATTTTGGCTGCTCGGAGTGCTTTTTTTAAGTTCCCGTGGCTTTCCTGCCTTTCGCCGAAGTAACCAATAAATTCCCTTTTTTCAATGTAATCAAGCAGATATTTAAAAATTTCAAATTTTGTTTAAAAAACTCCGAGCTGCCTTAAATACCTATATTTATTTTAAAACAAAACTATGTAAAATCTTTCTCTAAAAATCCACAATTTTTTTTATATATCATTCCTTAATTTTTTACTTAAAAATGCTGCCTTTTACCTCCTAAAAATTCCATTGAACAATTTACTATAAATTAATCCTTTTTATTGGATAGCTTATACGCATTTTACTACTTAAACAAGCATAAAATGATTGAAAAGATTTTTTGAAATTTTTTTTTAAAAATGTTGCACTTCATTTGAAGTTTTTTACCTTTTTGTGACTTGGACGTTTTGATTAATGATTTTTCTTTAAAAAATTTTTTAAGCGCTGAGAATTTTTTTGGACTTTATTTTTACAAGAATATTTGGAAGGATGTCTATGTCAAAATCTTCCTACACTTATAACAGAAAAACTTTTGAAGATGCAGAATTTCCTATTTTATGTGAAACATGTCTTGGACCAAATCCGTATTTGAGAATGGTATTTTTATTTTTAAAGAATTTTTAAATTTTCTTTTTAGTCTAAAGATGTCCATGGAGGTGAATGCAAAATATGTGAACGTCCTTTTACTACATTTCGTTGGATGCCAGGCAAAGGCTCGCGTTACAAAAAGACTGAGGTTTGCCAGACTTGTTCAAAATTGAAGAATGTTTGCCAAACTTGTTTGCTCGATTTGGAATATGGTTTGTTAGTTTTTGTTTATTTTTTTGAAACCATGCGAAGCCTTTATTTCTATATGTTCTCGAATATTAGGACAATAAACTGTTTGGATCCTTTTATTAGGAAGGGTTTTCACTATGATTTCGGCAGGCTATTGCTTAAATCTTTTCTTTATAGCTGCAGAAATAAATTAAATTTGCTTATAATTATTATTTTCTTAACAGGTTTACCAGTACAAGTTCGCGACCACGCTCTTCAAATCAAAGAACAACTGCCTAAACAAGGAGCCAACCGCGACTTTTTTATTCAAAATGCGGATCGAGCATTGGCTCTAACTGATGGAACTGTCCCCTACGGTCAATTGGCAAAAATTACGGATGCTGGGACAAATGAAATGTTGAGAAAATTGGCTCGTAACCAGCCATATTACAATCGGAATTTGCCTCATATTTGTTCATTTTTTGTCAAAGGAGAATGTTTACGTGGAGAAGAATGTCCTTACAGGTTTTTTTGTTATCTTTTTTTTTTTCAAAAAATTTCTAGGCATGAAAAACCATCTGATCCAGATGATCCTTTATCTCAACAAAATTTGCGTGATCGTTATTATGGAAGTAATGACCCGGTAGCCGATAAATTATTAAATCGTGCAAAGGCTTTGCCTAAACTTACGCCTCCAGATGATCCTTCAATAACTACTCTATTCCTGGGAAATTTAAGTAGAGATGATAAATTGGTTGTTACTGAAGCGGATATTAGGTTTGAATTTTTTAAATATTTTTTTTTGAAAATTTCACCACGAAAAAGGGGGATAATTAAAAACTTGTGACGGGAGAATGAAGGCCCCCTGACTGCGGGCCTGTACATAAGGACTCAGGGACCAGATATGACTCAGATACTCAAGTACAGTCATTTCCTGTCACATGGCTCGTTTCACTTTTTTCTCCAAAATATTTTTCTTTTCTAGAGACTATTTTTATCAATTTGGAGAGATTCGTCAAGTCCATGTTGTCCCACAAAAGGCATGTGCATTTATTCAATTTACGTCAAGGCATTCAGCAGAAATGGCTGCTGATAGAACTTTTGAGCAACTTACATTAAAGGTTAATATTTTATAAATTTGATTTTATCTCTCCTTTCCTTTTAAGGGACTAAAAATCAGAGTTCGTTGGGGTCAACCGAAATCACAGCCAATGACTTCGACTGAAATGAGCAACCGAACATTCGAGCCAGTGCCAAATCTCGCTGATCGTTAGTTTTTTTATTTTCTTGTTTTTATCATTTTTGACATTGACCATTTTCAACTCAAAAAATTTTTGTTTTTAGCCTGCCCTATACCTTCATATGCTTACGACAATGGCCCAGGCCCTTCAAAACGTTCACGATTTGAACCAGCACCAGGAGAACAACAAAATCGTTCGATGATGCCACCACCATTAATTGTTCCGAATGTTCCACCACCACAAATTGGTAGAGGAGAAGGACAGCAAAAACCAATTGATTTGGTGAGGAATTTTTGTAAAAATTTTTTAATTTCAAAAACGCCAAATTTAGCGTGATGTAGTAACTAGTGGAAAACAACAAAAACCACCAAGTATTTATTATCCTAGCCAGGATCCGCATCGTTTGGGTGCAAAAGGAGATGTTGTTTAATTATTATATGAGAGATGAAAAGGAGGGAGGAAGTGATTTTTTATGTTTAAACGGGGATTTTATCAGAATTTGGGTATTCTTATGTTATTTCCTTCCATTTTCCTTTTTATTTGAATGAATTTTTGGAAGAAAAATTTTTCCCCCTTCCTCTTTTTTCTATCGTGTTCACCTTTGACCAACCACCCTTGATCATTCTGTAATCTTAAGGAGCAATGAGAAGGACAGAAAAATGGAGGGGGGAGGATAACCTAAGAGTAGCCCTTCAATTAAAATTCAAACTTTATTTAAATATTTTCGTAAACTACAATTTTTTGAGAATTATCAATTAAATATTCCCTCTTCCAATCATTTACTTTTATTTAATGCCAATTTTTCGATTAATTCGGCAAGAGGTTCTTGTTGCTTTTTATCAATTAATTCAAATTCATTTGCAAAAAGAATGAAGTGTTTAAACTTAAAAAATAAGGGGAAATTTATAAGAAATTAAAAAATGTCTTACAGAAGTATTTAAATGAGCAACAGCAGCTAATTGTTCAATTAAATTAAAATGTTGATGATAAACATGGGAATAGACACGAAAAAGTCTTTTCATTATTGTTTGAGCAATGTGTTTGAAATTGGATGGAAATGGTTTTCCTTGTGAAAAAAATTTTTTTGGATTTAAAATAAGTTTCAAATAGAAAGAGACCCCAGATCCAGGGATGTCACAGGTTACCCTAATCCCTTTTTTGATCCAGAACCCGATCCGAGAAACTCTAAATCCCCTTTGACTGACCCTACTCGAGACCCGAACTTTTTCGATCCAACCCCCAATCCGAAGAAAATTTCGATGAAACGGGCCCAACTTTTTTTCTCAACCAGTGGCATCCCTACCCTGACCTTTAAAAAAGAACTTTTAGGGGACTTTTCATTCTAATTTATCGGCCTGCTTTCGATCACATGGGTCAAAAACTAAAAGCCCCGGCGGAATAAAAAACCTAATTGATTCAAAATCCAAACCAATTTGTGAAGGAAAAACATTTTCATCGTCCAACTCTTCCTGTACCCAACTCAACATATAATCAATATATACATTAGCCGGGCATGGTTCCATTATTGCTCCTTTACTATCTGACCTTTAAAAAATTTAAATACTAAAAATAATCTAAAAATAACCAAAAATATTCATATTCTTCCCCAGCAATCATCCGAGGACATGTTTCATCGGAACAATGTTCAGAAATCATTCCATAAAGCATTGAAACTTGTCGAAAAAAATCGGAAGCTTTTAAAAATTTAGAAATTAAAAATATTTAAAGACAAACTATTAGCAGCAATCCATTCATTTTCATCCTCTCCATAAGGCAAAAGAATAATATCTCGTAAATTTCCACTTCCAAGTGTTGCAGAAGCTTGTCTAGTTTTAAAAAGAAGTCTTTTTTGTTTTAAAAATTTTTATAAAAACCTTAAAAGTTTAGCTTGTTTAGTGTTTCCATTTTCATTATTTGAGACATTTGGAATTGATTTTCCGGCATCCTTTGCTGCGTTGGAGCGCTCCATCGGAATTTAGAAGATTCAGGGCTTTTCCTGAAATGTTACCGTTTATCAGTTAAAAGATTAATTTTCGAAACGATTTCCCTTACTACAAAAGTAAAATAGTGTATGATTTATTTGGTAGAGAAAAAGGCAAAAAAAGATAATGAATTAAAATGTGGAAGGTTAAGAAAGAATTTGTTTATTCGTTTATTTTCAAAACATCAACTTTAAAAATGTTCTTTTGTTGACAAATAGTAAAAATTTCAATTATGTGGTGTTTTGTCATAAATTTTTTTGTCAACGATCTTATTTTTGTTAAATCTGATTTTATTCTTGGGATTCTTTTTTGTATTTCTAGAGACTAATTTTCTGTTATTTCAGGCTTAATTCAGTTAATTTTTAAACATGTCACAACAAGCGATTACAAAGAAGCGTAAAGCTATTCAGGATGGACTTTTCAAGGCGGAATTGAACAACTTTTTGATGAAGGTTTATTTTTGATTATTCAAGACATTATCCATGTTTTCTTAGGAACTCGCCGAAGATGGATATTCTGGTGTTGAAGTGCGTCGTGCTCCTTCCCGTACTGAAGTCATTATTATGGCGACACGTACCCAAAGTGTTCTTGGAGAGCGTGGCAAACGAATTCGTGAATTGACTGCTTTGGTTCAAAAACGTTTTGGATATGCTTCTGGACAAATTGAGGTTATTTGACTTTGAACATGATTTAAACCTAAATTTCAAATGTTTAGCTTTATGCCGAAAAGGTATCCAGTCGTGGTCTATGTGCTGTTGCTCAATGCGAGTCTCTTCGTTATAAGTTGGTTGGTGGTCTTGCAGTTCGACGTGCTTGTTATGGTTTGTTTTTTTGTTTTCTGAACCACTTATTTTTTATTTGGGCTGACTTGAAGATATAATTTTAAAAATTCTTTTAAAGGAGTTCTTCGTTTTATTATGGAAAGCGGTGCTCGTGGATGTGAAATTGTCGTCTCCGGAAAATTGCGCGGTCAACGTGCAAAGGCTATGAAATTCGTCGACGGGGTCATGATTCACAGCGGTAATCCAGTCACCGAATATATTCAAGAGGCTGTGCGACACGTCCAAATGCGTCAAGGTATATTCTGGAAATTTTTCGCTTTTACAACTTAAATTTCAAGGTGTTCTCGGAATCAAAGTCAAAATCATGTTACCACATGATCCGCGTGGACAGCAAGGACCCCGCAACCCGTTGCCTGATAACATTTCGGTTTATTTAATTTTTTGCCTAGAGTTAATTTAAAATTTTCAGGTTTTGGACCCTCCAGTTGAATCTGTTCCGCAGCAGCCATATTCTGAACACAAAGAATCCCCATTGCAGCAACAACAACAACAAGCTTCATATCCAATGCCAACCCATGAATTGGCTCCTATTGGTGTAGTTAGTCAGCAGCAACAGCAGGGAGGTGGAGGTGGTGCTGAATGGTGTGGGTTTTAATTTTGGGCTTTATTATACTTGAGTTCATTGTATTCACTAATCAAATACTTGTAGGTTAAGAAAAGGTCAACTACCTGAAGGAGTACTCCAAGTATTAGTGCGGATTAATGGGGAGATTGATGGATTTATTGGGATTAAGTGCGATTAAGGGACAGAATAAAATCCTCTTTTTGTAACTGTTAGATAAAGCAAAAAAGAGCAGGCAAAGCAATTTTGGCCTTGAGTTTATCCGCCCAAATATTTGTAGTTGACCTTGGGAGTTATTTGACCAATTAGCCATTTGATCTTTTGGAGAGACCTGGAGTGTACCCAATAGATAATCCTTTGGTCATCATTTTCTCATTTAACCCTTTTTTCCTTTTGCAGGAGTTATTAGATTATGGGAAAATGTGTTGAGGGGAAGATGACTTGCATTTTGCGATAAGAGCAAGAGAGAGTTGATGGAATGTTATATTTGTTATTTTTTTGTTGCTCTTCATTTTATAATGATTATATTGGGCAAATATATACTTGTTGAATAAAAATGTTTTTTTATTATTTTTAAATATGTAATATTCATTTTACTTTCTAATTTTTGAAATAATTAATTTTTTAAATTTTATTTAAGTTAGCGCTTTATTGTTTGGTGGCTATTTCTGGTTTGGCAAGAACGCCTGCTGTGGCTGAATAACAATAAAGGGTGAGGATTATTTTGGGAGATCTGGGGTTGGATAAAATGGGTTTTTTGTTGAGTTTACTTAGGTAAACTCAAATATAAATTTAGAAATTTTGACGTGCTGGGTAAATGGGTACATTCATTAAGTGCGTATGTACAATTGCATTTGATGAATATTTTCTGTCATGATTTCCTATCGTTTAATCCTCTTTACGTTTAATAACCCGAAGTTATTAAAGGGGTACAAACATTGGATTTCCTATTTAACAATACATGTAGGGTTGTTGGTTCCTGGAAATTCTTTGGATATCCGAGGCCGAACCGAAAATTTTTAGGGATGAGCATTGTCTCAAAATGTCTTGACGAATTAGAAATGATACCACACTGAAAGAATGTCATGAATTCAGAAAATACTTCTTTTCTGATGAAATGGAGGAACCGAACCGAATTTTTTGGGTATTAGGAACCGAAAAATCCTCGGTTCTTCGGTTCGGTTTGGGTCGGTCCAGAACCGACAACCCTAAATACGAGGATTAATGAGTGATTAACTTCTTAATCTTTAACATCTGAAGATTCGTAGTGTTAATTTATAAACACTAGTTTCATTTTATATTTTTATGAAATTTTAAGGACTAAAAGACTATTTTCAACGACACCATCTCATACATTTTCAAATTTGAAGACGAACTTCATCTCCACAATTAGCAACATCAACATTCTTAACAATCTCTTCGAACCCATATCTTAATGCGGAGGAATAAACTCAAAGTGATCTTCACCCATCTCTTCGAACTCTGGCGATATTCGCCCATCTTCGAACTCAACAACGATCACACATCGATTGGTGAGACAACTCAACAACGATCTTCAAACATCTCAATTGGTAAGACAACTCAACGACGATCTTCACACATCTCATCATAGGTGAGACGGAATCGAGAAGAAGAACCTGAGCGTCGCGAGAATAGAATTTGAAAATTTGATAAATTTTCATTTTATTTTGTTCTTTTTTATCTTAATGCTGAGAAATAAACTCGAAGGTTCCCTCCAAAATTAATATAACCAAACCGAAACCTTCGAGTTCCGACAGCTTTATTTTATAAAGATAAATAATTTTTTATAATTTGTTTCTTGACGTTTGTATCGTTTACGAAATATTTAAATATATTCATCATGTTTTTCAATCTTTCGTAACTAGGATTTCTAATTCTTAACATAAGTAGTACTTGATATTTTATAAAATACTAGTAGATCTAAAAATTCATTCAATTCCCTTAAAGTTTATCCACCATTTTTAAGCTAGAATGCTATATTAGAATGCTATACCAGAATGCTATATTCTTGGAATTTTGAATTTTGTACGACCTTTTTTATGTTCTCCTCAAATTTCTGCGATAATTTTCTATCTCACACTGAGTTGTGTATTTTTGGCCAAACATTTGGGGAGAAAATAAAAAGAGTTATACAAAGTTTAAAATTTTCCCAGATTTTCATTGTTAAAAATGAACGACGATCAGATTGAGGAACAGTATTGTATTGGCAAAAATGTGGTTAACACAGCTAAAGCACCGGCAGCAATTGGTCCTTACAGGTTTCTTTAAAATTTTGCAATGAGACCTTTCTAAGCATTTTTAATCTTTGTATAACTTTCTTCTTGTTTTCTTCACATTTTCAAAAATTTCCCCGGTTAAAAGAAGTCCATCGGTTACAGGAATTTAAAAAATTAATAGAATAATTTCGAAAAACTAAGCAAAACCTAACCCGTTTATTTTTTAGCCAAGCCGTTTACTCTACTGGCTCAGAGCATTCTGGTAAAAATGAAGAAATCTGGGAAGCTCCGCATTATCTTTTCCTGAGTGGTCAACTTGGCATTGTTCCTAGCACAAATGAATTCGCTACTGGAGACAATCCAGTCCATGCTCAAACTGTTCAGGCAATGAAGAATATTGAGCAAGTTTTGAAGGCTGCTCATAGTTATGCTACTTTCGATAACAGTTTATTTAGTCTTTTTTAAAGTTTTTTTTAAATTTTATTTTCTAGTTGTAAAGACGACAATTCTTTTGGTTGATATGACTGCTTTTCCTGTTGTGAATGAAGCCTACAAACAATTTTTTGATGAGAAAAAGGGCTATCCTGCGCGTTCTTGCTATCAAGTATTTTTTAAATTCGTTTTAGCTAGTTATTTGGGGACTCGGCACCAAAGTCATCGATATAACCTTAATCTCGCAAATTCCTCGATATTCCCTTTCAAGATTTGTAGGTCTAAAGGTTCAATAGGCGGGTACTTGAGGTGTTTTTAGGAGTAGACTCAGCCCGTCTCATAGTTAATTTATTTTTTAATTCAATAGCCTCAATAATACCCTTATTTCTTTTTAGATTTTAATAATTATTTTTAAAGGTGTCAGCATTGCCTAAAGGTGGACTTGTTGAAATTGAGGCTATTGCTGCTTTGTCGACAAAATCACAGAATACGCTTTGGGCTTAGATTGGCTGAAGATGAAATTTTAATAGGTTCCATATATGGATATCTTATGTTAGCATTCCATACCATTTTCGTGATAATTTATTTAAATAGATTTAATTTTATCTGCTATTTAGAGAAAATATATATTAAATTTCTTTTATTTTTGTAGTCTTTTTTGACAATCTTTACAACTTTATTTTGTTCTACTACTGTCTGTAGTCAGTTCAGTGTGAACATCAGACGAGGCTCGTTAAACCGATTTTATATGAAGTATTTCGAGTTTGACACCATAAGAGGGAATCTTTTAGTATTTTCAAAATAGCCGGTCTGTCGTACTTAACTGGCCATTTCGCTCGCACTGAACTGACCTCAACTCTTTAACTGTCTAATGTCTCTATTTCCCGCACTCTTTTTATATTTATTGATTTTTTTCGGCAGCCATTGTTTAGACATGCAAAAACAAGAACTGGTTAGAGAAAAAGAATTAATTTTTCCCACGGCAGAGTAATGAAAATGTTTTTCTCTGACCTGTTTTTTGTGTGTTGTTACTTTATGTGTTCTAGTGTTTCGCTGGAACCACGAATTTTGGCCGGAACCGGAACTTCCGGCGAAACACTGATGTGTTCCCAATATCCAATCAAAACTAGAAATCTATAAATCGGCTATATCTTTTTACCATATAAGAATATTAGTTTCAGAATTCAAAAATCTGCGATATTTGGCATAATGCAAAACATTAAGAGTAAATGACACTTCATCCAAAAATCAATAATCGATTTTTGATGTGTCATTTAGTGTTCTCTGTTGACCACTTATAGCAAAAGTGTTCGACAACAGAATTCGTGGCTTTTCCTTTTTTTGGGATTAACCTTTTTAGGGGGTGGGGTGGGGGGTAGTTATGACTTGCGGACAAGACTTGCTTTTTATAATTTTTAAAAAAATGTAAACATTTTTTTTTCAGTACTTCAACAGCAACACAGCAAAAGCCCCGGAGTCTCTTCGGAGATATTTGGGCAAAAGCCCCGGAGTCTCTTCGGAGATATTTGGGCAAAAGCCCCGGAGTCTCTTCGGAGATATTTGGGCAAAAGCCCCGGAGTCTCTTCGGAGATATTTGGGCAAAAGCCCCGGAGTCTCTTCGGAGATATTTGGGCAATGGCTTCACTCCAACAGTGCAACGATTAAACTCCAATGCTCTCGTCTACATGGTTTGTTTTTTACTTTATTAAATCCGCAAGTTTTGTCCGCAAGGTTTCTCCCCTAAATGTTTATCCTTTCCCAATGTTAAAGCCAATTAAATGATGGCCAAGTTCTTGTCAAATGAGAAGACATACAGCAGATGTTCCATTGGTCAAATGCATTGATTTGTTTGTTTTGAATGGTTGATCTTTTTATAGGTTGTTTTTATCTTCAAAAATTTTTTTAATTACTTAATTTTCAGCTTTGAGAAAGTATCCAGAAGCCTTAAAAATTTCTAAGAGGTTATTTTTAATTATTTACTATTGTTTCAAGATTATTTTTAGGCCGGTGAATTGTTGCGGGAAGACCGTCTAGTTGATGAGTATGCTCTGGAAGAACAAGAAGCAGCAGAAAAATGACTGAAGAACTCCAAACTTTTGATAGAATTCAGAAAATTAGGTTTGGAAATTAATTATGGTTATTTGGTTTCCACAATTTTTCGTTTATTCAAGTTTTACCCCTTTTTAAAACCTTTTAATTTTCAAAAAATCCCCGTTATCAATGTCTAAATTTCCGTTCAGTTGCTTCCCTTGGGTATTGTGACTTGTAGGTGTGTTCTTGTTGGCCCGATAAATTGTATGTCGTTCGAAAAGCTCGACCATCTGAGTCGAATTACACCAAACCGGGACACGCCCAAGTAGGCGCGCGGCCAGGTAGGCGCAAAGCCATAACTACCTCGAAAATTTCTGGACCTTAGCTTGGTACCAATCTCTTTAGCTCGATGAGAGGAATCGTTTAATACCAAATTTAATAAGATTCGAAAATCTTGAAGCAAGTTATGGCTCTGCGCCTACTTGGCCGCGCGCCTACTTGGGCTGTACACCACCAAACCAACGCGATCTAACAAGTTTTGATCAAGTTATGATGTTTGTTTAAGCTCCTTACTTATGGTCAGCGTGGAGGTTTTTGCTGCTGTATGCCGGCCGGAGCTATTATAGGTTTATGATACCTAGTTTAGGGCCCAGTGATCGTAGAACCCCAAGCGCTTTTTGTATCGTAAATTTGTACAAAATTGTTGGATGGCGTTGATTTTGGTGTTATTTTTTTAAGATTGTTGTATCGGCCCAAATGTATGTATTGGTGCAAGTGTAAAAATAGAAGAAGGTGTTCGTCTTGTTGACTCTTCAATACTTCCAGATACTACAATTCATGCTCACAGCTTTATTTCTAATAGTATTGTTGGAAGAAAATGTGTTGTTGGTTAGTTTTTAATTTTTTTTGAATTCTTTAAAGATAAAATAATTTTTTGAAAAAATTTTTTTTGTCCGCAAAAAACTTGCGGACAAAAAATTTTGTCCGCAAAAAATTTGCGGACAAAAAATTTTGTCCGCAAAATTTTTTTTCTCATTTTTAATAATCTATTCCAATTTTTAACAGGTAAATGGGTCCGTATAGAAAATACCAGCATTATTGGTGAAGATGTGGTTGTTAAGGATGAGCTTTATTTGAATGGTTTTTTTTGTTTTTTAAATTTTTTAAAAATTTATAATTAAAGGTGCTTGTGTTCTTCCACACAAATCAATTGCTGCAAGTGTGCCAAATCCGACAATTATTATGGGTACTACTGAAGAAAAGGGTGCTTTTTCTGCGGACTTATTTTGCGGACTTTTCCTTTCCTTCTTTTTCCCTTTTTTTTAAAAGATAATGTTTTAGCTTGTAGCAAACTAACCGTCAAAGGATTAATTTTTATTCGCACAAATATTTTTGATTATTTGTTATTTGTGAAATTAAATGAAAAAAACAGTCATCTCCTCCAAATTTCTGTTTCCATACAAACTCATTCATATAACTTTCAAACGTTGTTTCAGCAGTACCAAATTCAGTTTTATGTCGTTGAAAAATTGTACCTGTATGATTTGTGTCAAAGAAAGTTTTGAATTTTCGAAAAATGTTCCAACTAAAGCACCCTTTGTTTTTCTGCATACTGATTTCTTACATATCCATCTTCCATTTTGTCCACGCTTCTCTTTACGCATTTCTTTTCCACAATCACATGTTCTTTTTCTATGAAGCATTCCGAGATCAGTGATCCATTGTTGAAATTCATCATTGGGTAATTTAATTTTATCATACAATTTAGTTAAAGTAAAATTTTTTATTGATTGTAACATTTTTTTCGTTTATAATGTTTAAATTATTTGTGAACGACATTTTTCAGACCGGCATAAAAAATAATCCGTTGACTGTTAGTTGCTATAAGCAAAACATTTAAACAGAAATGAAAAAAATAAAATTAATCTTCTCTGTATCAATGTCTTTTGTTTGAATATGCCACACGGCAAATAGAGGAAAAGAGAAAGAAGAAAATCTGACCATTGTGTACAATCTTAGGTAAGAAAAATAATGGGGGGAGGGCCGTTGACAGTTAGTTGCTACAAGTAAAACATGTAAAGGAAAGGAAAAGTCCGCAAAATAAGTCCGCAGAAAAAGCACCCTTTTCTTCAGTAGTACCTTATTATGTAAAAAGGATTGACAAAAAGTGCTTTGTTTTGTGGTTTTAAATGGTTTATTTTTTAAAATGTTAAAATAAGGGAAATGCGGGGGGGGGGGGGGGGGGGGAGGGATATTGTTCACGAATGGAAGGGAGAAGGGTAGTTTATAATTGGGGAAAGTTTTTCAAAATCACGTCTCTTCCCAATCTTTCGGAGGGGTTTTTTTCAAAATCAGTCTATATAACGTAAATTGGGGTTAAATAGGCCCTCCCAAAATATTTTTTTGAAAAACATTCGTGGACAATCTCTCCTGCGCACATTTTGTTAGAAATTTTTTAAATTATTTCAAGACCAACGTGATTCTAATTTCTTTTTTTTTAATTTAAATTTCCTTTCTTTTTTGTTGTCTTTTTTGCCTACACTATTTCATTTCGTTTTATATTTTGCTTGTTTTTAGCCAAATTTTATGTATTTTGAATAAAGTTAAATCACTCGTCATTGAATTTCATTTTTTTATTAAAGTTCAAATCGAAAAAATATAGAAAAAATATAGCGGTTTTTACTTGCATACCGAGCACAAAGTTGAGGATTCATTTTCGTGTTACCAAGACTCAAGTAATCCTCTTGTTTCGAAACTGCTCTGTCTACCTTTTTTAAGTAAGTTGGAATGTAGTAGGTAGAGAAGGAAAAAGTTTGAGATAGTTAAGGTGCTGTGATGTAATATTAAAATAAATGACATTTTATCCCTTAACGTAGAGAAAATATGAAAAAGAAATAGTGTAGTTAGAGAAAGAGAATTATCAAAAATTTTGGTTGTTTCAGTGCTGAATTCTGAGAGTGAAAAACTACTGTATTTTAAAATTTTTAGGTAATAACGGCATCGAAAAATAAGAATACAATCAATAAACTTTATCATTTCGAATCCAATTACAAAACTAATATCAATATATAATCATCATGCTTTTCGAAAAATAACTTCATCAGATTCCAAAATTTCATCAGATTCCAAAATTAAAAATTTGGGACAACTCATTTGCGGACCTGAACTTTGCAAACGTAATTTGCGTACTCGAATTTGAGAACCTGCTTTTTGCGGCCCAAAGTTTGAGGACTGACACTTGAGTAAAGAAAGAAAATAAGTCCAATAGAATCTACTGGCAGTCCGCAATTTCTGGTCCGAAAATCTAGATCCGCAATTCGGCTCTGCAAGTTTCTAGTCGCAAATTTCGTGTCCGCAAAATTGGGGTCCGCAAATTTGAATCCGCATAGTTCGGCGCGCCCAACCTTCCAAACATCAAATTTCATGCTGAAAACTCGGTACCTTCCAATTCATCAAATTCCATCTTGACCCAGTGTTACCTAAAAATTTTAAAATACAGTAGTTTCTCACTCTCAGAATTCAGCACTGAAACGACCAAAATATTTGATAATTTTCTTTCTCTAACTACACTATTTCTTTATCATATTTTCTCTAAGTTAAGGGATAAAATGTCATTTATTTTAATATTACATAACAGCACCTTAACTATCTCAAACTTTTTCCTTCTCTACCTACTACATTCCAACTTACTTGAAAATGGGAGACAGAGCAGTTTCGAAACAAGAGGATTACTCGAGTCTTGGTAACATAGAAATGGCCTCTTCGAATTCTATGTCCGGTATTCAAGTAAACTATATTTTTCTATATTTTTCTGGAGATTGACTTGAATTTTATGTACACATATAATAAAAAATGAAATTCAATGGATTAACTTTATTCAAAATATATAAAATATGGTAAAAACAAGCAAAATTATAAAACAAAATGAAATAGTGTAGGCAAAAAAGACAACAAAAAAGAAAGGAAATTTAAATTAAAAAAGAAATTAGAATCACGTTGGTCTTGAAATAATTTAAAAAATTTGTCTCTCAAAATTTGCGCAAGAGAGGGATTGTTCACGAACGATTTCCCAAAAAATACTGGGGGAAAAGCCCTATTTAACCCCAATTTCTTTTTAGACCATTTTTATATAAAATTTAAACTGATTTTGAAAAAAAACCCCCCGAGAAATTGGGAAGAGACGCGATTTAAAACAAAAACCCCTTTGGGAAAAGACCTCTCCCTTCCATTTGTGAACAATCTCCCTCCCTCCCACCAATTTCCCTTATTTTAACATTTTAAAAAATAAACCATAAAAGAAACCACAAAACAAAGCACTTTTTGTCAATCTTTTTTACATAATAATTGTCGGATTTGGCACACTTGCAGCAATTGATTTGTGTGGAAGAACACAAGCACCTTTAATTATAAATTTTTAAAAAATTTAAAAAACAAAAAAAACCATTCAAATAAAGTTCATCCTTAACAACCACATCTTCACCAATAATGCTGGTATTTTCTATACGGACCCATTTACCTGTTAAAAATTGGAAGAAATTATTAAAAGATGAAAAAAAATTTTGCGGACAAAAAATTTTTGTCCGCAAATTTTTTGCGGACATTAGAAAAATTTTTTTCAAAATTCTTTAAACTTTTAAAGAATTCAAAAAAAGAAAAAAATCGAAATCTAAAAGCTAACCTACAACACATTTTCTTCCAACAATACTATTAGAAATAAAGCTGTGAGCATGAATTGTAGTGTCTGGAAGTATTGAAGAGTCAACAAGACGAACACCTTCTTCTATTTTTACACTTGCACCAATACATACATTTGGGCCGATACAACAATCTTTAAAAAATAAATTTTAAGGTAAAAAAGAATGTCCGCAAAAAATTTTTGACAGAAAAAAAAAATAAAAATTTTTACCCGAAGAAATCTGTGCAGACGGATCAATTAAAACTGGAGCAACTAAATGAAGTCCAGTTAAACGTTTTCCATCATCATTCCCATTAATTAAAAGATGTTCAGGAATTTTTGCAGTGTCAGTACCAGCAATGTGTTTTAAATAGAGACGAACACCTACAGAATAAATATGTTAAATTTTTGGGAGATAGGATTTCAAATATAGACACAAATAACGAAACAAGGATCTGCTGAAGGATAGAAGTTATCAAAAAAAGTTATAACTAGGGTTCGACCCCCATCCTCGAGGAAGGGAATTCGCCGGGGAATGGGGGAATTCCTGTCATTAAGCCAAGGAAAAATCAAGGAAATGTCTTAAATCCTGACTTTGGATCCAGGAAAATCAAAGTCTGTATATAGACACAGGCAGATCTCAAAAAATTCCTAATAAAATTTTTTGATAAACGACCCAAACAGCAATCAATCTCAAAAAATTAAAAAAAAGAAACCTTCCAAAAAATCTTTAGGTTGTCCAACATCCATCCAAAAACCTTTCAAAACATAAGCATGCAAAATTCCATTATCTGCCATTTTTGGAAAAATTTCTTTTTCAATAGAACAAGGCGCACAGGGAATTGTATCCAATACTGAAGGATTTAAAACGTAGAGACCGGCATTGATCTTTTTTGGAAAAATTTATAAAAATTAAAAAAATAAAAAAAACCTTATTTCCAACAAATTCTTGTGGTTTTTCAACAAAAGAATCAACTTTCCCAGTCTTTTCCTCGTCAAAAACAACGACACCATATTTGCTGGGTTCTTCTACCTACAAAATTGTAAAATTTAAAAAAGATTAATACTAGTGGGCAAATGACAATGAAGGTTATTTCCGAATATTTGGGCTGATAAAGAATTTGTAGAGATTAAGGGGGATTTGTATCGATAAAAGGGAATTAGGGGAAGAAATTCTCTTGTGTAACTATCATATAAGACAAAAGGGAGGAGGCTGTTTTCTTGATATTGAACTAATTTATCCGTCTAAATATGTATTATTTAGAGTTAGATCTAAAGTATGACCTTCTTCTGTGGATGGGCCCGTTTAAAAAGCCTAAAATTGGGCATATCTTTCGAAAAAACACGAAAAATTTTCTTGAAAATTTTTAAACTATTTTTCAAAAAATTTTTCCTTGCGCCAAAACTCGTAAAATTTTTTTAGTAAACCAAAGACTTTTCCACCATCGGGATTTGAACCCTTAACCGGAGAATCAAAATCCCTATCAACTAGACCGCACAATTCCTTAATTAAAAACCAACTTTAGTAACAGCAATAGTTCCACATTGTCCATGTTTTTTGTGAAATTCCATCATTTCATTAAAAGGAAAACAACAAATAACGTCAGAATTTAATACAAAAAAAGGCTCGTCACTTTCTTTTAATAAATTAGCGGCCAAAGCAAGAGGTCCAGCAGTTCCCATTGGCTCTTCTTCAACAGAGAAGATTATCTAAATTTGAAAAAATTAAAAATTTTGAAGGTTTGAAGTTGGGAAAATTAATAAGAATGGGTAAATTGGAAATGGGAGCAAGGAAAACACCGAGGATTAGGAAACCGAAAAGAGATTACTCCCACTTTAAAACTGAAAAGGAAGATTGACGGGGATCGCAAAACTACAACAAAAATAAAAATGTCAAAGTAATTTTGTTATTAAGGTTGTCGGTTCTTGGGAAATCTTTGATATTTGAAACCGAACCAAAGAATCGAAACGGAAAATCCTCTGTCCAGTTCTGGGTCGATAACCGTTTTGTTATCATAAACCTGGTTATGTTAAAAGCTTTGAGATAAACACGACTGAAATAAACCAAAAAATACCCGAATCCAGCCAGTAAAATAAAAAATTAAACAAATTAACCTTAACCCCAACGCGTTGCTCTTCTTTCTGCATTTCAGCACTCAACAAATTTTCAATCCGAGCAGTAACTGCCAAAATAACTGTGTCAACGCCTGCAGCGGCAAGTGCTTCGATTTGATGAGAAACCTTGAAAAATTAAAAAATTTGAATTTTTCCTTAAAAATTTAAAAAACCATCGGTTTATTAGCAAATTCAACCAAAGGTTTGGGTTGTGTCAAAGTAAGAGGTCGAAGACGAGTTCCATAGCCACCAACAAGAATAAGAGCTTTCATTTTAAATGAATTTAAAAAATAATTTAATTGTCTAAAAATAACTAAAAAAAGAATTAAAATTAGCAAGAAAAATAAACGAAACCGAGGTAAAAAAATTAAAAAATTAATGAAATTTCAATTTAAATTAATTAGTAAACCTGTCAAACTCTTTATAATCAAAATAAAAAAATTGATAGCAAAAGGCTTCGAACCCTCGACCCCGCACCTAGTGAGACAAAATCACTACCAACTAGACCACACAACCCATCAAACAACTTTAGAAAATAAATACTATAACACAAGCTAAACATTTTCGATCGTTAATAGATTTCTAATGGGAGAGGATTAACAAGAATTAAATTAAAAAATCTCCTCTTTCTAGTTAATTGAAGGAAAAATAAAATGTTTAAGAAAAAAAATAATGATTAAATGAAAAGGTTTTGTGGCTGATTTAATAAACAAGAAATTTAAAAAGAATAAAAAAAATCGTGGCAAAGGATTAAAATTTAAAATATAAAAAAATATATTTAAAAACGTGTAAATTCAAGTAAAAAATTAAAAATGCGGCAAGGAAAACCCGTAAAAATGAATTACACGTGTCAATAAAAGCAGTAACACACAAAAATGGGAGCAAAGCTAAAAAGGCCGCAACGGCAAAATTTGGACAAAATGTCGATGATTTAAAAGATCGATAGGCTAAAAAAGGTACAAAACGTCTAACACCCCAAAAAAGGACAAATGGTCAAAAAGTCACGGAAGGTCAAAACATCGGCTAAAAAAGATTGATTGGATAAACGAACCATCATTTAAAAAATAGATGAATTTAAAGTGAAATAAATGAGCACTCCTGTTGAAACATACAAAACAAGATAAAATCAGATCAAAATAAAAAAGGCATATTTATTCATAATCAAAAAATCAAATAATTTTTAAAATCAAATTTTAAGTAATAGAAAAGTATACACAAGAAAAGGGTGGGTGTTGAAATTTAGAAACCCCAAAAAATATATAATTGTCCTACACTCCAATTTTTACTAAAATTTAAATTCAACACCCCCCTTTTGATTATTTTAAAAGAAATAAAAAAATTTAAAAAAAAGATTAAAGTAAAATCGATTTAAATATTTTAAAAAAACCTTCTTTTCCTTCAATATAAACAGTTCCTCAACTCCCTCACTTCTTATGAATAAAAAAGATTCATTTACATAGTCTCTTTAGTAGAATCAACAGGATCTCCAACAGTACTATTGTTACAGCTATGAAATTGATCTGCAGTAAATGTTGTGTCTGGACTTACTAAAAATTAAAAAAAATTGTTAAAAATCATTTTTGTCAGTTAATGTTTGACATCTAAGGGTTCTCAAAATAAAATGGGCTGATTCTCCAAAAAAAACTGTTTTCAAAATAACGGTGAGTGGGTTCTCAAAAATTATTTTGTGTTATTTTTTTTTTGATTTTGGGAGAGGGTACTTATTAGAGTTTCACCGGAAGTTCCGGTTCCGGAAAGTTCCGGTGTTTTTTTGGTTCCGGTTCCGGGAACCTGAACTTAAATTGGATCCGGTTCCGGTCAAAATTTCGGTTCCGGTGAAACACTAGTACTTATTAAAGGTTCTTACAGCAACGTTTCTATGAATTTTTATTTTTGCCAGTTTTTTTTGCCAGTGGTTCCTACTGGTTCTCAAAATGATTTGTTAGAAGACTCAAAGTTTTTTTACAATTTGTAAAAAATTTTCTCCCAACCCAAAAAAACCTTCGTTAAAAATAAGAAACCTTCATTTCCCGAAACAATTTCATAAAAAGATTTAGGTGTCCAAATCTTTTCAGAAAGCTTCTTGGAAGACGTCTGCTCTTCAACTTCCTCAACCTCAATCCAACTTGAACCAGAAGTGGAAGAATGAAGAGAAGAAAATGAGCAACAACGAGACAAATTATTAACCATATCAGATTCATTACAATCATCAACTAAAAAATTAAAAAATTTCCGAAAATTAAAAAAAATTTTTTTTCATACCTTTACCACCATATTCATCACCAATAGCTATAGCTGTATGTGTGCTAGCCTTCATAACATCCATACGACGCTTTAAACTTCCGTTGCTTGTTCCAAGACTTGGTGGTAGAGAAGGCTGAAAATTAGGAGAATTAAAAAAACATTATTAGTTGAAAAACAAAAAAAAGTCCGCAAGTTTTGTCCGCAAATTATTCAAAAATAAAAACGGGAAGATGACGGTAATACCAACCAAAATTCGAAAAGAATGGCGAAACACAAAAATTTGGATTTTAATCTTTTTCCAAGTTTATGTTTAGGGGTTTGGTATTTCGGCGTCTGGTTAACGGCGTGTCCCATAAAAACTAATTTTAAATGTTAAAATTAATAAAATAAGTGCAGACCTTTTTGTTAATTTAAATTAGAAAAATTTAAAAAACCTCAACAACACTCATTGGAGAAAGCAACTCCTCTTGTCGACTCAAAACATTTTGACCATCATTTTCTGGAAGAATTGGCTTAACTACAACCTCCAAAACTTCATTTCCGTTTAATGTCTCAGAATTAATTTCTAAAACTAAAATCTTAATCCAAAGTCTTAAAGTCCAAACCTTTATCATTTTCATCAATTCCAATGGCTGTATGAGTGCTAAGCTGCATAACATCTTCATTTTTAGGAGAAACTTGTTCATCAATACCAATAGCTGTATGAACACTGCTCTTCATAATATCCTCATTATTGGAAGCAGAGTTGTTTTCTTCGTCAATCCCAATAGCTGTATGCATGCTGAGCTTCATAACATCATCATTACTTGGTTGAGAACACTTAAAAAAGATAATAAATCAAAAGTTGATTTAAAAAATACATGAATTTCCAAAATTTCTTCGCTGTCCTTTTCAGTCTCCTCAACAGTTTTTCCAGCAGCATCAAGCTTTTGCTTCTCTAAGCGTTCAAGTTTTTGCTTCCTTAAAAGTTCAACTGCTGCCAAAGCAGCTACCTGCAAGCTTTGAGAATAAGATAACTGTTGATTTTTAGTTTCTTCTTGTTTCTTGGTAAGCAAGTGTTGACGCTAAAAATTTAAAAAAATAAAGCAAAAATTTTAACAAAAAAACCTCAACAACCCCAGCAGGTGTTTGATGGACTTCTGGATTCAAAACATTTTGAACATTATTATTGACAGGAGCAGTTGGTTGTATTGGAAAAGTCAAATGTGCGCGAATATTACGCGGACTGTCTTGAACAGATGCCTCACACTCAATTCCTTTAAATTAAAAAAATTTATTTGTGGCCCAAAGTTTGGTAGTAAAGGAAGGTAAGTCTCTTCAAAAAAATCTAAAAAAATTATAATCATGTCTGCAAAATATTTGCGGATTTTATTTGCGGACAAATTTATTTTCGAACAAATTAGTATTGGAGAGCCTCATAAAAGAATAAAATAGAATCAAACCAAAATTAAGAAGAGCCTGTTTAACAGTTTCACCAATTTGCTTCAAAAACTCAGCACGGTCATCAGACAACTGTGATTGCTGCTGGGCAATAGTAGTATTTCCAACTTCCTTATTTTGTTCCTTTTCCTTATTTTCCTCAAGTTGTTTAACATTACTTTCGCTTTGAGAAGCAACAGAATTCTACAAAAAAATTATTATAGTTAATATCGCAAATTAAAAAAAACCTGAGTCGGCAAAGTATTTGGCTCTTTAGCAATTCGTCTAGCAATACTTTTTTTAAATTCTTCAGTAATTCTTTTTTGCTTTTTATAAGTCTCATCAAGGTCCTTATTTAAATTGTCAATTACTTGAGCTCTTAGAGTTGAAGCAGAAGTTTTTAAAGATGCTGTCTTTGCTGCATATTTTTGATGTGCGACGTTGAGAGCGTTTTCAATGTTAGAAACAGGTACTTGGCTGTAATTTAAAGAAAATATAAAAATTTTGCGGACGATGTTTTGCGGACAAAAAAAATTTTTTGCAGACAGAAAAATTTTTTTGCGGACAGAAAAATATTTTTTAAACCCAAAAAATTCTTATGGGATAGGGTAAGCGGACCATAAATTTTGTAGTAAAAATAAAAAATACATGGAAGCACGTCGAGGACAAGAGTGGTGATGATTTGGACGATGGTCAGAAGTTGCCTCACCCATAGTAGCCAAACTTGGATTTTGAGAAGAATGACGGTGATTAGCTGAATATTTGCTCAAAGAATGACGATGACAAACAGAAGGCTTGACAGAGCCAAAACGACGAGCTCCTTTTGGATAAGGCAGACAACGTTGAATGTAGGCAAGAATTTCGCGCAACACAGCAGGCTTTAAAGCATCCAAATCAAGTTTGGTTGGAGTTGTGTCATCCTTCTCCTTTGCCGCAGCGAGAATTTTTGAAATTCTAAAAAAGAATAAAATGAGTTTAAACTTGAAAAATATGATTTCGAGCTATTCCCATGTGGGAGGAGGCCAATGTCGAATCCGGGACGCCTGGGTATGGCCCTATGCGCCACGACGAGCTGGTCGTCACGGATTCGATAATTTTGCGGCACATTGTGCTAACGCCTAATAAAAATCCCTTATCCCCCAAAACTTCTAGTCAAACTAAAAAAACAAATTAACTTACTCATCGTGTTGTTGTGGCAAAAGATTATCTAGCGCCTCCAGAATAAACCACTTTTCATCTTGAGTCAATCCCTTTGCCTCAGCCTCAAATTTAATAGTAACAGGAGTTGACTGACGTCGAGATGTAGTAATTGTTGGTGTTGTTGATGGTGATTGAAAGCCTGAAACAAAGCTTGAACAAGCCTTGTTGAAAACTTGAGCCATTTTTTCAATCTGCGTAGGTGGAGTTTTACAGAGATAGTGAGGTCTCTAAAATTTAATTTTCTTCAGAAGAAGTCAAAATTAAAAAAAACCAAAGTATCCGGTTTAACCAAACGCATCATTGCATGTTCAAAATGTTCATTCTTTTGTTCACAAGACTGGCACAAATCAAAATCTGGACAGATTAAGCATTTGTAGCGACGCCCCCGAATTTCCTTATCGCAACTGTCACAGACAATGTTTACATGAAGAAACTGTTCAAAATTATTTTGCTTGCTCATTTTAATTTTAAAAATTCTAAAAATAATTTTAAAAGAAATTTCAACAAAAAATAAAAAAAATAATTGGTCGAGTTTGAACATATAAGGTTTCGATTTTGCGGATTCAAATTTTGCGGAGACTGATATTTGAGTTTAAAAAATATAATTTAAATTTGATTTTAAGTACAGATAAAGGGAAGATGCGGGAATTAAGAGGGATATAGGCGGATTAGGAAAGATTAGAGCAGGTCTGTCAGCAATTGCGTGGTTTTTTGGACTTGCGGACAGTCCTGATTAGGGGAGGATTTGAAAAGACATAGGGGATTGAGTTTTCGGATTCGCAAAGTTCGCGTCACGATCCAAAATTAAAATAAAGCCATAAAAGTCATCAACTAAGCTTTCAACCAAGTAAACTTTAGAAAAAAATGGAAAGACTATTCATTTCCCCCTTTTAAATGACTCGTTATAGGGAGGAGAGTGTTTTTGATGACCAATAAAAATCAATTTTAGAAATGATGTAATAATATTTTTTGCTAGAAAGCAAAAATATAAGTATTCCCCCAAGTTTGTGTTCGAAAAAAAATTTTTTGTGACATCAAAAAAAGATAAAAAAATATTGTCTAGTGACCTAATTTTTTTTTAAATAGTTTCCCCAAGCTCTTTTCTCAATCGTCCTTAAACTAAAACAAACGCCACCCCCCCCCCCCCCCCCCCTATTTTCTAAAAGAGGGAGGAACAGATAAAAAAGCGGGGTCATTTTTGCCTTATTTTTTATTTAAAAGAGCCAAATTGAGTGAGGGACGGAAAGATTAAAATTTAAATCTTTAAAAAAAATAAATGAGAAATTCACATAAAAATAATAAAAAAAAATCTGAATTTTTAAAATCAGATTAAAAATTAAAAAAAAATTTAAGAGAAATAAATTTTATTTCAAATATTTTTTAAAGTTTTCGATATATAAAGAACCATCAAAAAAAGAAGAATCATTAATTATAAGCTTATAGCTAAAAAAATAATAGGTACTTTTTGGTTCCTTCTCTCTATAAACTACTACATAATAATAAGAAAACCTCTTTTTCTTTTCTTTACAAATCAGCCAAAATTTGGCGTTCCAAATGAAGCGGGTCCTCTTCAATAAGTTCAAATACACGATTAACGTCATAATTTGCTTCTACGACCAAACTAGAAAAAAAAGACTTTTAATTAATTTAAAAATTTAAAAAATAACCGATAGAGCCATCCATTACAATTATCATAACCCATATCCACAAGTTGATTGGCAATGTTATTTACTTTAATTTCTTAAAAAAATATAATTTAAAGTAAATTATTAATATTTAATTCGTGCGCAAATCTAGTAAAAATCCGCAAATTTAATAAAAATCCGCAAAATTGGTAAAAGTCCGCAAAAGTTAATAAATGTCCGCAAAAGTATTTAAAAATCCGCAAATACATAATTATTTCCAAAATGCGCCCATATATTTGTTAGATCAACACAAATCGTTTTTAGAATATTAAATGTCTACTTCTATTTAAATTAAATCCACAGGAATTAAAATATCCTCAAAAAAGTGATTAAATTTGAGGATTTTTACCAAGAAATCCAGCAAAAATACTTTAAAAAAATTCTACCCCAATGCTGCCATGAACATTTTCGGCTATGTTGCGATCCCCCAGGCTGTGCAATTGTAAAAGGATGAGGAGCACCAGCAGTGCAAATTTCATCAACAATTCCACTACGAGATAACGCATGGGCAACCAAATCAGGGTAAATGTTAGTACGCTTTTCCTGAATTTTTTTAAAATAATTTTTAAAGTTTAGTTCTTGTTCCCTCTCCTATTATTTCCCCCTCCCTATTCTTTTAAAAAATCAAAAATTATAAACCTCCTTTCCTTCTTCACTATCAGTTTGAGTTCCATTCTCAGCCGCTACAGGAGGTGCTGAAGGCATTTCAGCAACAACAGGTTGTTGCGGTGGTGGCGGAGAAATGAAAAAATTAGCAGAAAAAGGCAAAGTAGTCGAAGCTAAAAAAATTATTTTTAGAATTTAAATCATTTATAAAAACCCGTCTCTTGATTAACAACTTCATTCTTTCCTTCTTGTCCATCCCCAACAACATTTTGTCCATTATTATTTGCTGCAAATCCACCACCCATATAATGAGACAAAAAATCATTAAACATTTTTGTTAATGTAGTATTTGAAGAATCAACGCACGGAATTTCCATATTATTTGATGAATTAATGACATTTTTATTTTCTTCTATTTTTGCATTTTTCTCATCTAAAAAATTAAAAAAAAACTTTTTTTACAAGGGGAAGTATTAAAAAACGACCGTGTTGGTTAGAACTGTAGCCCGGCCCAAAAACGATCCCTTTTCGATATTTATCAAAAAATATCCTAGTTAGGATTGAACAGATAGTTGGTTAACCCGCCCATAGAAACGTCCAAGACCAAAAATTTTGCAAGACTCAAGGCAGAAAACCCCCAAGAAAAGTCTTGGAATTAAAACTCAAGACCAAGAGTTTCGGACGTCCCTACCCGCCTGCGTCTCCCTTGAATAGTGCCCCAGAAAAATTTAAAAAAATAAAATCATCAACCCTTACTTTGTCCACTTGTATCCTCATCATTAACAGTCACAGATTTACTCAAATCCAAAACAGTTTCTTCAAAAATTGGAGAAGCCTTGTCATTTTTATTATTAATAATCTTCTTCTCTTCTTCTCCATGTCCTTCTTTAACCTTTACGTTTTCTTCAATTTTATCTTCACTTTTTTCAACCTTTCCTTCCTCTTCCATTTTTTCTTCTTCAATTACTTCAGAATTCTTCGAATTGTTCAAAACTTGCTCAATTCCCATTGATTTTGCCAAATTCTCTCCAACAAGAGCCAAATCATTGCTACAACATTGGTATTGGTCAGACAAAGTTGAAGCATCTGAATCAAATAAATTTTAAATTATTGTAAAATCCGCAACTATTATTCATAAGGGCAATTGTAAACTCTTGGAGGAATTTACTCATCTTTCTCGACCAAAAATTTGGATTTGTAAGAAAAAACCTTTTGCGAAACAGGGATGGTCACGAGTTGAGAAAAAAGTCATAAAGGGCTTCGGCGAGTTTTTTCAGGCCGAAGAAAGTCCTTGCTTCAGCTCGGACTTCAAATCAAACAGTTTAGCCAGATCGTTTTTTGTTTCTAGCCGAAAAAATGTTCAGATTTCAGATAACTTAAGACCCCCCATTGCGAACAAAACATAAAAATCCCTAAAACAAGCCTTCATTCCCACCAACATTTTCATCAAGACGGCGTCGTTTTTCATATTTATCACAAATCGATTTAAAAGAAGCTTGTTCAACCTCAATCCAACTAGATGAATCAGAACGACATGAAGACGTGGAATGAATGGAAGAGAAGGAACAGCAACGAGATAAACATTCAGCCAAATTGGAATCATTACAATCATCCGCACCAAATTCTTCACGAGCTGTAGCTGTATGTAAACTTGCATTCATAACATCCATTCGACGTTTTAAACTTCCATTAGTATTACCAAGACTTGGTGGTAGAGAAGGCTGAAAAATAAGCAAATAAAAAAATTATCTGTAGGAAAACAAAAAAGTCCGCAAGTTTTGTCCGCAAATTTTTACCATGAATTAAAAATTTAAGTGCAGACTTTTCGATCAATTTAAATTTGAAAAATAATTTTTTAAGTTAAAAAACCTCAGGTTCCAAAGCCTTATCCTCTTCTCCATCATCTTTTTTCTCTCCTTCTTCCTTCCCATCTTCCAATTTTTCCACATTACTTGAAGTATTAACAGTCTTATCTCCTTCTGACAAAACATTTGCAGCTTCAATAATTTCAACATCTGATTCCGAAGAAGAGACAGAAAGAATTTCACTTCCAGGTTGAGAAAGAGTATCTATACATATTAACTCTTCACTTTCTTCCTCATCCTTTACTTCTTCATTCTTCTTCTCTTCCAAATTCATTTCTTCCTTCTTGTTCTCTTTAATTTCTTCATTTTTGTCTTGATTCACATCGTACAAATTAAGTTGACTCAAATTTCGAATTAATTTAGACGTAGAAGACGCCCCTTCTTGTAACGATGACATTTGATCCCCAGCATTATTTTTGTTAACATTTTCAATTTTGGGTGCCTCCGAATTGACAGCCTTTTGTTTTTGTCGTTGTTCAGGTTGTTTATTGTTCCCATTAACATTTGGAAAATTAATAGTTTCCAGATAATCTTGAAATGATTTTGGCATTGACTTGGCATCATTCGCCTTCAAATGTTCAGCCAACTTAAAAAATTTTTTAATTTGGAAAATTAAAAAAAGCGTTTACCCCTGCAAACAAATCCTTGCGAGCTTCAGCTAATTTTTTGCTGTTTTCGTTTTGAAGTTCAGCCGGAGTTTTAGCTTGATTCTAAATTTTAAAAGCCAAATTAAAAAATTTTAAACAGAAAAAAACCGCAACTCTTTCAGCAGCAACACCAGAAACAAGTTGTTGTCCAGATTGATTATTGTTGTTGTTCCCATAAATATTTGAAAAATCAAGAGTCTCAAGATAATCTTGAAATGATTTGGGCAATGTTTTGGCACCACCATTAGCCAAAAACTTCTCTGTCATCTTAAAAATTAATTTGTTATTGTTCGTTAAAAATTAGAAAAAAACTCACAATTAAAGTCATATCTTTAAAAGCTTCAGACAATTTTTTTCCGTTTTCATTTTGAAGTTCAGCTATATTAACATTAGAAACACCTTTAATTGTATCTTGAGCTAAAGCAATCAATGTCTGGAAATTATTTTCTGCTTTAATTGATGCTGCTGGTTTTGCCATATTTTTCTGAAAAAAAAATAATTTTTTAATATTTCAATAAATAAAAGTGAGAAAGGATACTCCTAGAACTACATGCTTGGAAGGGATGTCACGGGTTGAGAAAGAAATCGGGGCTGGTTTCGAGCCGGATTTTGAAAATTTTTTCGAATCGGTTTTGGGTAACGCGTGACATCATTGGTGCGTAGTAGCAGAGGACGATTTTTCCCCCGGTACGCCCTTGATAGGCATAAAGGGTAAACATTAAAAAATTTAATGAACAAACCATTCCCAAATTTCCATGCCCAAAAGTCTTAAAGTTTTTACGATCCATTTCCTTATTAGCAGGTTTAACTGGCTGCTTTTTAGTTTCTTCTTGTTTCTTGGTAAGCAATTGCTGACGCTAAAATTTAGAAAATCAAGGGAAAATTTGACAAAGAAAACCTCAACAACCCCAGCAGGTGTTTGATGAACTTTTGGATTCAAAATATTTTGGACGTTATTATTGACTGGAGCAGTTGAAACTGGAGCGTTTTGTTGTGTTGGAAAAGCCAAATGTGCTCGAATATTACCCTGACCATCTTGAACATCTGCCTCACAATCAATTCCTTTAATTAGTATCAGAGAGCTATAGAAATAAAAAAATCAAACCAAAATTAAGAAGAGCACGTTGAACAGTTTCACCAATTTGCTTCAAATACTCAACGCGGTCATCATCAAATGGTTGGCGTTGCTGCTCATTATTATTATTACCAACTCCATTATTCTGTGGTGGATTCCCTTTGGTTTCCTTTGGTTGTTTAACATTATTTTCGCAAGGATAAGCAACAGAATTAACACATTTAGAACGATGAAGAGCACGAAAGGCGCGGTCACGAAGACGTTGTTCCTAAATTTTAAGAGATCTACGTGTATGATGTGGATAAGTTAAAAACGCACAGTTCTCAAAAAGTTTATAAGAAACTTGTGGTCTAGACTCAAGAGTTGTGTCCAGTTACTTAACGATTCTTCACATTTATCTTTGACACAAATTCAGCCCCAAAAAATTTAAAACATCAAATACCTACACACCCGACCCCGAGCGTTAGGATACAGCCCTTTCGGTCATATCTTAAAGAATTTTTGATCTCGGACGTCTCTTTTTGAAAAAAGCACCCAGATTTAAAAAAATAAACAAAACCTCAGCTTGTAATTTGCTACACTTTTTATTCATCTTGTCAATTAATTTCTTATGACGTCGATCAACTTTAAACCCAGCATTACCAAAATCGGCCAAAACATTAGAATTTGGTGGATTTGAAGTTCCACTACTAGCTACAGAAGTTGTTGTGTTTGTTGAGAATTTTGGAGAAACATTCACAACATTGTCAATGACCGGAGGCAGATTGCGTCTTAAAAAAATTTTTTTGAATTTAAATCTAGTGAGAAAGAAAATATTAAAATGAGTAGGAAAGGTAAAGTTTAGCCAGGGCAAGCATCGATCATGCCATTTATCAGGTGCCTCCGCTCACCATTCACCTGTGCTCTACCGACTGGGAATTGGGAATCAGTCGAACTGTGAGAAAAACCAGTCGAAACTCTCTTCCTTTCAGAAGGTTCCGAATTTAAACTTAAAAAACCTGTAATGACGTCGATGACAAGAATGGTGGTGATGTGGACGATGGCCACCAGTTGCCTCCATCGGATTTTGAGCCAAAACTGGATTTTGAGACTGATGACGGTGATGATGCGAATGTTTGCTTAAAGAGTGACGATGACAATTGGATGCTCCAACAGAGTGAAGACGGCGGCAAGAATGAGCCCCTCTTTGACAAGACAAACAATGTCGAATGTATGCAAGAATTTCACGTGAAACAACTGGCTTTAATTTATCCAAATCAAGAAATGTTGGAATTGCGTCACCGTCCTCCTTCCAAGCAGTGAGAATAAGTGGAATTCTGAAAAGCGAAAATAAATCGGTTATTAATTCAAAAAAATTTAGAGTCTAGCGCTATGATAAGGAGATATATCAGAACTGAAAAAGTGTTTGTTGGTTATAAACATAAACTCTCTTTATTCAATAGAACAGTGCCGCATCCAAGACACAATGGCCATAGGTCCCGAAATCAAGAGTAACTGTTCGGAAATTGAAATGTCCGGGTATGTCCGTCATCATAAGTCTGGCTTCCCCTTTAACAAGGAGAGTTTGCGAGGTGTCCGACCTAAAAACGGTCGAGACCGGGCTCATTTTGACAAGAGAACCTTCCCATATCAATTTATTAAAAAAATTCATTTCCTCGGAAAATTCGAATCCTTCTATTCCTCTAAATCCCAAGAAATTTGACATATAAAATATCTAAAATCACTCATACCCTTCATATTGCTCTGGTGACAAAAGATCAAGTCCATCCAAAATCTCAAACTTTTCTACATCAGTCAATTCCTTATTAGACCCATCTTTATTAGCATCAAAATCATAACCGAGAACTTTTGAACCTAAAAATAAAATTTTAAGAGTCCACAAAATTCAAAACCTTTCTCATTAGACGGTGGAGTAGATAGAACTTTTATCTCAGTAGTCAACTTTTCACTCAGATCAGAAACAAGTTTCCCAACAGAATCAAAAACAGGAAGAAACGGCACCCCTTGCGGCTTCTAAAATTTAATTTTCATCAAAAAAAATTAAAAAAAAACCAAAGTATCCGGTTTAACCAAACGCATCATTGCATGTTCAAAATGTTCATTCTTTTGTTCACAAGATTGACACAAATCAAAGTCTGGACAGATTAAGCATTTGTAACGACGCCCACGAATCATCTGGTCACAAACATCGCAAATGACGTTTAAATGAATAATATGGTCAAAATTATTACTTTGATGCTTCATTTTAATTTAAAAACACTAAAAAATTAAAAATAAATTTATAAATTTAACGTTAAAAAAGAAAACGCCAGGCGGACTCGAACCTACGACTTTTCGAACACAAGCCCAAACCGTTACCAACTTAACCACGCACAAGTACTATAAAAATTCTAGTTTAGATCAGGGCTCTCATTCGTGCTTTATTTGAAAGTATTATACTTTGAAACCGACCTCCATACTTAAGAAATTGAATTTATACTTTATTGAAAGTATATACTTTAAAATCAACATTTTGGATTGAAAATGAAATTGGGGAAGGGATTGGGCAAAAAAGTGAATTTTTTTAGCCTTGGGCCTTCGAAATTATCAAAATTTTCGCCTGCGGCGCTGAAAAAGAAAGAAATCTGACTACTTGGGCTCCAAATTTCAAAAAATTTTCGCCTGCGGCGCTGAAAATGGACGAAAGCTTGAGGTTAAGACTGTCAGGGCTTTATTTCTTGTATCAGCGAATTTTGACATGTCATGCGTTGAAATGCACAAAATGCCCAATGGAAGCAAGAAATTATTAGAAAAGATTCATTTAAGAGAGAAATATAAAAGATTTGAGCACGAACAAATATTTTCCAATTTAATTTTGAGTATACTTTAAATTTGGAAATTTTCTCCCTATATACTTTTTTATCAAGATTTTGATACTTTTGAGTGGCATTTTGTCGATGAGAGCCCTGGTTTAGATTAGATCAAATGACCACAGAATAAAGCTAGATTTTAATGTCCAGTTAAAAAGTAGAGGAAATTTAATATGCCCGAAAATGTCCACAGGAATGGAGTGACACACAAAAATCAATACTGTGTTGTCAAAAGAAACAAAATTTACAGCTAGATATGAGACAAAAATTTAAAGAAAATTGGACTAAACGCCTGTCACCCTCTCCAGAAGATTTTAAAGGATGAGGGGAATTAAAAGAGAGAGAGAGGTCATTTTGCCCTCTCCTCCTAGTAAAAATGAACAAAGGACAAAAACTAAGCAAGAAAAGGTGGCCATTAAAAATAATTAGATTAGAGAGAGAAAGAGAGTAGAAAATTTCACAAAAAAACTGAAAAACATATGACAAACATTTTTACTCGATAGAAAATGAAAAATGAATCACCAAAAAGTACACTTAAATAAACAAAACATGGAAAAAGAATGAGAATTCTATAAAGTTGCATGACGTTGACAAAACATGTTTTGTAACATGTTTAAATGATAGTGTGTTTCTCTAACTTTAATTGTTTTATATGTTTCTCTAACCAAAAATTTTGTATAAATCTCTAAAATTAGGGATATTTCTCCTATTTTTATTTATGTTTCTCTAGTTGATAAAGAAAATTAAAAAACGTTATGCCAAAATAAAAATTTTTAAACATGCAAAATTTTCTCAAAACCGAAGGCCTGGAATTTTCTCGAAAATTTTAACGAAAAATCCTCAAAAAAATTTAGACCTGTTCTTACAGGTGTTGTACTCGAACAAGGTACAAAATTCGTCTTTTTGTTGAATATTTTATTTTGTCTTACTTGCTCTTGTTGTCTATTGCTTTCAAATTTTTTTATTAAAAATTTAATTTAAAATTTAAATAAAAAAATTTGGCAAGAATACCAACAAATTTCACATATTTTAATAACCAAACAAATTTTTATTCAAAAACAAAAAATAAATTAAACTTTTTTAAATTGAAAATTTAGGCCAAAACGCATATTATTTTTTGTTAACAATCATCCCTTTTTAAATTTAAAAAAATAATTTAAAAAAAATTAAAAATTACTTTTTGAAAAATATTTGAGAATTTCCAAATTTTTAGAGATCCAATCAGACTTGAAGCACATCAGAAACCGGCTCTTCTTTAATATTACTTCTTTTGCAGATTCTCATAGTCATCGGCAACGGAATCTTCCTTGTAGTAATTTTTTGAATAATTTTCTTTGGAGGAATCTTCTTTGGAGATTTCTTCTTCTTAGATTTAACAACAGACTTTTTCTGATTTAAAGTTCCTTGTTGACTCGTTGACGGCTTTTGTTGCTTAAAATGATGGTCCTCAAACTGCGCCTTTACGAAATCTGGCAACTGGAAAAATTTGTGCATTAAAAATCATTAATTAACAATCCCAAAAGGGCGCACGGACATAACGCCGCAAAGCCACAACTTGCTTCATAATTTCCATATCTTATCAAATTTAGTATTAAACAATTCCTCTCACCGAGCTAAAGAGATTGGTACCAAAATTGTCGAGGGCCTGAAAATTTTCAGCTAGTTATGCCCTTGCGCCGTTATGGCCGCGCACCCCTTTTGGCCTGTCTCTAGAAAATCTTTAAAAAATTCAAAAAAATACTAATGTTTTTGGAGTAACCAAACGCATCATAGCGTGCCCAAAATGCTCGTTCTTCTGCTCACACAAATGGCACAAATCAAAGTCTGTACAGACCAAGCATTTATAACGTCTACCACGAATCTCTTTATGACAACCGTCACAAAAAATATTTTTGTGAAGTTTGTTTGCTTCAGAATTATCTGTTGTTTGCTTCATTTTTTATTTAAAAAGCTAAAAAAATATTTTTTTTAATAAAATTGAACAATAAAACAAAAAATAAGGCACTTAAAATAAAATTAAACATTAAAACAAACCAATAAAACGAATGGGATCCGAACCGTCGACTGTTATGGGAAAGAAAGAAGCTTTACCGACTGAGCTACAAACAAGCTCTATAACTAAAAACTATTTTAGTCCTATAATCGTTTAATTTTTAATTAAAATTAGGCCTAAAAACGATAAGGCATAAACATGCCCAGTAAAATTTCAAAAAAAAATAAATTTGTCAAAAAACAAATAAAAACATTAAAATAAACAAAAAACAATAAATTTATTTTAAAAAAATAGAAATATTTTTTTAAACTTTATTTGTCAAAAATAACGAATGATGTGGGCCAAAAGATGCATCTTTAATACTTTCAGCAAAAGAAACCTTGAAAATTTTATAAAATTTTCCTTAAAAAATTAAAAAACCTGGAAAGGGAAATATTGATGATTTCGATGTGAAAGTGCCAAAACACCGTGTTTGTTTGAACCCCAAGTGAACTAAAAAAATTTTTTTAATAAAAACAAAAATCGGAGCTAAGTTAAATGCCACCAATAAGCTCCATTCTCAATTGTAAGCCGAGTTTTGGGCTTTCATAATAGCAAAAATGCAAAGGGGGTCAAGCAGATTTTAATAGAAACCCCTTCTGGTTTTTCGATTTTCAGAAGAGGAAGAGATCGGAGCTTAATTCTTGTCTCGTTCGACCCAACTTGTTGACTGAGCCCTTTCGAATGACATAGTATTGTTTGTCCGAAACGAAGTCTAGGACATATAACAGAATTTTATAAAAAAAATCGTTCAAAATAAATTTAATAAACCAAATGTCCAGCTTCAGTTAATGCTCCCATACAACTTCCTCCAGCAAAAACCTTTTTAAAAATTTTTTTTTGATTTTTTAAGAAATTAAAAAAACCTTAACAACCCAATTTTTTTCATTCATTGCCGAAGTAAATAAAGGCGGGTCAATTTGCATTGGCTTTGTTAACTTTTCAACTTTGGGTCCAAAACCGAGTACATGAGAACCCCAAGTGAAGACTTGACCGTCAGAATTACAAACAATACTTTAAAAAATTTTTAAAAAAATTTAGAATTAAAAAACCATGAAACTCCAGTTGCTTCAGCTCCAACAATTTTCCCTAATTTAAAAGGAACTTGTTGAGGGAGAAATATCTTGTAAAAAAATTTAAAAATAAAATTTATTAAGAAAACCTGAGGTTCATCAGTTATTGAACACATTTGCCCATATTCGTTTTGCCCCCAAATAAACAGATGCCCGTCTTCATTTACAGCTACTAAAGTACTAAAAAACGAGAGGATTTGAAATTAAAAAATAATTTTAAGCAATTTAATTTCCTCCTTAAAGATCAATTATAAACGGTCTCGATCTCTAGTGTTGAAATGACCCAAAAATTTACGTAAATAAGGAAAAAAGATGAATAGAAAAAACTGAAGTAAAAAAATAATCTTATGTTAGACAGTCAAAAATAAATTAAAAAAAGGTAAACTCTAGGGAAAGTGTTGAGTTACAACTAGATCTGTACCCCAATCCGTTCCCAAACACCCCGAAACAATAAGAAAAGTCAGTACCCAGACACACCCGCAATCGAGTGTTCTGGGTCCATCCCTACAATTAGAACCAATACTAGAGGATCAACATGAGGATTTCCACCTAAACATTGTTCAACTCATCAAATTCAAAATTTAAAAATGGAAAGAAAAAACAAACTCTGTACTTCCACCAATTTCCACAATTCTTTCACCTTCCAAATCACCTCGAACCAAAGAAGGTTTCCATTGAAATTGATCATTTCCATTTCCCAATTGGCCATCTGTTCCTAAACCCCAAGCAAACAATTTCCCATTGGAACACAAAGCGAAAGAAGTGTCTAAAGAAGCGTGGACCTTAAAAAATATGAAAAAATAATTTCTTTCTAAATTTCAAAAAAACCTTAACAATCTCAACATCTTCTTCCAAAATTGTTGAAACATCCATTTCTTTAAGTACATGCTGATTATCGTGAGTAACAACTTGATGATCGAGTGGATCGGCTAGATAAAGATTTTGAATTAAAACAAAAAATTTTTAGAAACCTCCACATTGTCCGTGTGAATTACTTCCGAAACAGAAAATTTTGTTGGAATCTGTGAGCACTACAGAATGCTAAAAATAATTATTTTTGGAAAGATTGATCTGACGGGATTAAAAAGCCAAGATAAGAGAGAAAAAAAGAAAAAAGGTTGTTATACTTGAAGTTCAGAATTTCTCAAAATTTGCGCCTGCGGAGCAAAAAAAAATTTTCCCCCCTCCGAAAAAAATTCTGGTTACGGGCCTGACCCTTAATGTCTTAAACTTAAAAATAATTAAAAAACCAACCATCCGTCCAGCACTTATACATCGAATATTTCCCATATCTTCGGGTAAAACTATCCTCCTTCCGTGTATATACCACATTTCTGCTTCATTCCTTCCAGCATAACCACTTTCTAAATTTGGCCTTTCATCTTCGTCTCTTCTCTTCGGTCCAGAAATTTGATAAAAATTATTTAGGCCTGATCCGTAAAGTTCTTAAAAAATTAAAATAAATCTTAAAATAAATTTAATTTAAAAAACCATTATTAGAAGCAAATAAAGAAAATCCACAGCCAGCAGCAATAAAACGGATTTTTCTTGTGTTCATACGTATAATACGCATAGGTTGAAATAACTGAAAATTAAGGGGAAAGAATTTTTTGAAAATTATTTTTAAATAAAAAAGAAATAATGAACGATATTAGACAAACGACAGAAAAGAGGACTTGAACCATGACCGTTTATGCATGCAAGCCTAACTTCACCAACAACTATACCCTGAAATACAAAGGAGAAAATCGCGAGGGTGAGAATTTTCTTCGAACACCATGTTTCGGGTCGAAGCCCGAATTTTAATAACCCAAGACATCCCCGTTAAGTAGTCAGCTCAAAAAAAAATAACAAAAAAATATACGCATTGTTTAAGCACAGGCGGCGTCAAAAGCTTTTCTATTGCTAAAGCGCCAGTTGAGCAAAGGCCTAAAAAACTTTACTTTCAAATTTAACCAGAAAAAATTCCCAAACCAGATCCATAAACTACTCGAGTCAAACGTTTCCTTCCAACCATTTCATGAACATGTTTCGGTTCATTTCCAGGGATTTCTTCGTGCAAAGAAGAGGATTCAATAACATCATTGGGCAAAAATGAAGCTGACCGAGTTAAGTCTAAAGGAAAAAACGAAAGGATATTTAGAGAAATTGGAAAAGACTTAAGAACATAAGGAAAACTATCAGGGATGGACCGCCTTACGCCTCCTAAAATTTCGTGAAACCCATCCCTGAAAACGACGTCCTTACAAAAAATAAAAAGAAAAATAAACCTAAAGCAAAGTTAAAAAGATTCAAAAAAAAACTCACAAATTGAACGGTTGAACAATATTTTGTGAAGTAAAGTAAATTTAGTAGATGTTGAAGGATTCATTCAAAAAGTCCCTAAAGTTTTTTGAAAATTTTAAAAAATTAAAAAATAAATAGGTAAAGTATAAAAGCAAAAATAACAATAACAAATTTTTTCACCTCACTTAAAACAATATTTAATCAAAAAAATAATTTAAAAGAAAAGGCACAAATAAAAATAAATTTTAATCACTTAAAGTTCAATAAGCCTTTTTTCACTTGTGGGACATTACGGATTGTCAAAGAAACACTGGAAAAATAAATTTTAAAAGGGGAAAAATCTCAAAAAATTAAAAGGAAAAAAGGAATTCTTAAAAGGGAGCCTTTCGAACTGTAAGCAGTGATGGAGAAGTTCCGAAATTTATCTGTAACCGGTTCCGGTTCTGAAACTGATTTTTGAATTACTTCAGTTCCAGTTCTAGAACTGCTCTTTAAACTTGACTTTGACCTTTTGGCTCCTTACAGTTCAAAAAGTTCCCTTGTTAAATTTAAAAATTCAAAAAAAACCGAGTTTTCCTCTCCAAAATAATAAAATCATTATTTGTATCACCATAAGTAGTTTCAATCTCATTACTAGGGACAGCCAAAATATGCACGGAAAATTGCCAAATATGCGCATATATATGCACCGAAAAAGCCCAAAATATGCATCAAAATATGCAAAATTTGCCAAAATATGCAGTGAAATATGCACCAAAAAATAGTTAAAATATGCTTTAAAAATCAATATTTTAATTTAAAAACACTAATTTAGCCTTTAATTTTACATTTTATGAACACTTCTAAAGGATTTAATATATTTAAAATTTCTGCAAAAATTTTGGGGAAAAAAATTTTCCCCAAAAAATTTTCGAAAATATTTTTTCAAAAAATTTTTATAAAAAAATTTTTTTGACCAAAAAATTTCAAAATTTTTGTCAATTTTTGGCAAAATTTTACAAAAAATGCCTAAATATGGACCAAAATATGCAAATTTTGCCAAAATATGCACAAATATGCAAATATGCACGAAATGGTCGAAATATGCAAATATATGCATTAAGAACCGGGTCCTAAAGTGCCCGTACTTATGTAAAAACACCATTTTTGGGCTTCCCACTTCAAGGCATATCCGCATACAAAACATGCATTTGCATGTTTTGGCTGTCCCTACTCATTACAATTTAGTAAACTTCTTAAGCTTATCCCATCACTTGTAACCTTTAAAAAAATAAATAATTCGAAAAAAATTTTTCCAAACCTCATCAATTCCATGCAACAATTTATAAGCTGGCCCAGATATTAAAATTAAACTTCTGGGCTCTAAAAGGACTGAACCAACATGCTCTCGATGTTCTTCATTTTCTTCATAAAAATCTAAAAGAGCATGAGAGCCCAAAGTAATTGTTGAAATTTTTGGAAAGAAAGCAGGTCCGTCTGTATGAGGCTGGAAAACATTAAAATAATTATTTATTTTAGCTATAAACACTCGAAAAAGATTCGAACCCGGGTCATTTTCTAAAATAAACAAAAGCTTTAACCACTAAACACCGAATAACAATAAAACAAAAAATATAAAATGAGGTACAATCAAAATAATAATATTAGCAGACCAAAAGGGGTCGAACCGAGACCAACTCGAACGACAAACCTAAAACCCTAACCATTATACCACAGAGGACAACGATAAAAATATTGATAAAGTAACTATAGTGTAATAAAATAAATTCAACTAAATTAAAAAATATTCAAACCAAAATTCCCTGTCCAGGCAAATATTCATTTACCAACACATGATTTGGTCTGTTTTCAGGAAGAAAGGTTAAATCACCAGGAATTTTCATTATTTTGTCAATACAATTTTCTAACCACTGAAAAAAATGTTTTTAAAATTAAACAAAAATTTTCAAAAAAAAACCATCGGCAATTCTTCTTGCAACAAAAATTTCTGAGAAACTACACCTCCCCAATTTTGTAATCTTCTGTTAGAAAGTTGTCGCCATTTTGGTTTTGGTGCTGAATAAACATTTTTTATCAAAATTTCTTCTTCTGCTTCAGAAATAAATTGAGGGAAATAATTTATTGTTTGAATTTTATTTGGCATCTTCTAGAAAAAAAATTTTTGCGGACTTTTTTGAGGGGAACTTTTCCCTATCTTAATTCAGAATTATTTTAAATTACTCCTTCTTTGAAGGAATGAATTCAAAGGCGAACAGAGAGAAAATAAGTAAAAATCCGCAAAAGTTATCCGCAAAAACCGCAAGAAAAAAGAAGTCCGCAAAAAAATCACCGAAAATCCGCAAAAAACGTCCGCAAAAATAACACTATTTTCAGATCTTATAAAAACCTTTTTCAACGCCCAAGAAATTTTTTTGGACGTCAAAAGATAAAATAAATAATATTTTTAATGAAACATAAAAAAATAATGGCATTAAAAATCAAAATTAATTTTTTTTTAATTTCACAAATTTTAAAAACCTTTATGCCCCCTTATTAATATTTAAATTAGAAAAATATTTATCAATTTCTTCTGTCCAATCTTTTACTTTTCGTGTCCGAAGCCATTCTTGTCTAGTAATTGATCTTTGGTCAATATTATAATCTGTAGAACAAAACAGTGAGCCTTTAAGAGGTAAAATTAAAATTTTTTAATTTTATTTAAAAAACCTCCAAGCCAAGAACAAAATAATTCTCCAGCAATTTCAGGTGGAAATTGGTAAAATTTTATATCAACAAGTTTGGGTGATATTTGTGGTTTATATTCATCAGCAATTAAATCGAGAAGTTCTGTCTAAAAAATAAAAATTAAATTTTAAAGAAATCGTTGGAAAGAGGGAGTCCATAAATTTGCGGATAAAAATTGCGGAAATTTTCCAAAAATGGCTAGTGAGTCTTCTAACACCCAGATAACATATATTACTAAATTAAAACCTTTAATCTAGCTAAGAAACCAGGAAGTCGACTTATTCCACCAACAATGAGCAAATTTTGCAACAAAACGCGACGTAAATCAATACTGACCTAGAAATAATAGAATAATCCAGCCAAACATTGGTATATCTGAACAAGGACTGACAGTCCTTGATAGAATCTACAGATATTTTCAGGGCTTTGAAAAATTTATAAAATTTAGTCGATCGTCACCAACAAAGTTAACTTTCATTATTATATTTTTCCTTGGTCGGATATCCAAGGAAAAATTTATTTTAAAAAACCAAGGAGTTAATAGGGACAACTCTACTACCATTAAAAATTGTTTATTAACGATATTTCAAAACCCATTTAAATTTAAAAAAATGAAAAAATGAATACCTTAGAAATACAATCCAAAATTAATTGAGGAACAGATCTACAACCAGATTCATCATTATGTGTAAACAAAAGTTCAGCTACAGCCTCTCGCACAATTCCAGGAATATAAAGCAATTCTGATCCAAATTGGAGTTGGACAGGAGGAACAGGTCGAGTAATGTAAGGAGAATCTGGATTGGCTACTGAAAGAGAGAAGAATCGAAATTTTTTTAAGAAAATTTTAAAAAATTCTACAATGTGTTTGAAGCCGTCTTCCTCTAGCTGCAGTTGTTACAAAGCAAAAACGAAAAACTAAATCTTCCCACAAACGCATTGAGTCAGCTAAAGATAAATCACATTCAGCAAAAGGACGGCCGTCGTCAGAAGTTTCAGCTGAAAATTTAGAAAAAAATTCCAAAAATTTGGAAAACTCGTCCAAAAATTAAGCCAAAAAATAAAAAAAAACCCTGATTAGTTTCTTCAACTCCCTCATCACAACTTTCCAATACAATTACTGGATGTCTTCGAACTCTTCCATATTTAAGCATTAATCTTTTTGCCTCCATTTCTAAAGCACTTGCACAAGCATTAATAGATGTTTCCCAATTATGAAGCATTAAAATACCTTCAACAATCTATAGAGGAAGAAAAATCATAAAAAATTTTTTAAGGATTTAAAAATGAATTTTTAAAGAATATTGGAATGTTTTCTAGTGAAAAAAAAAGAAACCAGCCGCCAGGAGTCGAACCCGAATCTAGTAAATAAAAGTCAGGTGCCTTAACCATTACACCACGAAAGATGTGTAAGGGAATATTTAATTTCACCCTTATATGTATTTCCTAAAATATTTTAATTTACAGGAAAAAGAACAGCTTCATTCGCCCCCAAATCCAACACAATACAAGTTTTTGTATTAAAAGTAAAAGAACAAAGCAAATGTGAAGGAGCAAATAAAATTGAATGAGGAGCTAAAGCTGTACAATCAAATAAAGCGTGGGCCTAGAAAATTAAAAGAAAACTTTTTCTCATCCTTTTGAAAAATTTACCAAAGCTTGACGTTGCCAAGTAGGCGTAAGTAAAGATTCAACAATAACAACACGGCGAGAAGCAATGGGATTGATTAATTTTCTGAAAAAATGAAAAATTATTTGATTAATAAAAAATTCCACAAAGATGTTAAGAGGTCATAATGGCAAAAAATTTTTTGGAAGGTGTTAAGAAAAGACTTATTCCTACTAAGGTAATAGTGTCGTTTCCCAGCCCCCTTTTTTTCCTCCCAATTTTCTACCCTATGTTTGTACGGAATGGTCAAATTTTCCCCTTTCTTTCATCAAATTTGCCTTTCCATATTTTGCCTAAAAACAATCAAAAAAGATTAATTTTTTATTCATTTCTTTCACAGGGATAAAAAAGTGAGACATGATGCCAAAAATTATAAAAAACATTTTCAATATTGCCAAATCGTTTTCGCTACATAAATTCCGGGAGATAACTTTTATAGGTTTCAGTGTTGTTGCCAGCTTGATGTCTGAATTTTCGTTTATAAGTTCCAAGCTTCTCAAGCCATGCATCGAAATCATTATCACTCAAACGTAATTTTTCATATAAATCAATAGGTTTGAAATTCTTTAGTTCTTCCATTTTTATTAATTGGGAAAATGATTCTTCTCATTACTCTAATACTTATTTAAATATCACAAATTAATCTTTTTGATTGTATTTAGGCAAAATGTGGAAAGGCAAATTTGATGGAAGAAAAGGGAAAATTTGACCATTCCGTACAAACATAGGGTAGAAAATTGGGAGGAAAAAAAGGGGGCTGGGAAACGACACTATTACCCCTACTAATTGTAAGACCTTATTTCCCCTTTACAAGATTCTATCTCCAAAAATTAGATTTCATCAGTCTACGCTCAAAAGACCGCAAGTTTTATTAGGACATGTCAAGTTACTTTTTTGGATTTATCTTACTTAAAAAATATTAGCAGGTAGCCAGGAGAGCTAGTAAGATAATATCATGGTTACACAAGATCCTAGCCTCTAAAAAATCATTGCCCTTCAATATTAGGAGGAAATATTCTTTCATGATTTTTTAAATAAAAAATTGCTATTCTTTGAGAGACAAAAAAATCAAAAAATATTTAAAATAAAAACAAACCTAAACACAATAACTCGAAAAAATTTAACGAGTCTTTCATATTGTTCCTGCTCACTCCAATCTCTACAAAATATAGGCGAAGGAACTGTCCGTCCCGTTGTTTCCATAGGATCAAGCCATTCTGTTCGGAAAACGTCAAGAGGCACAAATTCTCCAGCAAAGCCAATTCTTTGAAAAATTTAAAAATAAAAAATAAAATTTTAAAAAACTTTGTCAATCTATTGCCAATTTCAATAACAATTGCCGGTCTGTTATCTATTTTTGTTGTAGCTGCTTGTAATGCAAGGGAAGCGTTTATAGCCTTTTTTAAATTCAAATTGAGATAAAAATAAAATTTAAAAAATTTATTTTATTTTAAAAAATTTGCGGACAAAACTTGCGGACAATTTTTTGCGGAATCCGCATTTTTTGTCCGCAAAATTAAAATAAAAAAAAATTCCCAAAATAATTAGAAAATTATTTTTAAACTAAAAAAGAAATCCGAAAAAATTCTTAAGCTAGCCCCTCAACAGAAAAATTCGAAAAGTCCAATTCCCAAAAATTGCTCAACTAATTTTCTAATTTTCCAAACATTCCATTTTCTTCTTCCTTCGCTCACCCCAGTAGTAGAGACATTTGAAGATAACTGTCCCATCAATGAGCGTCTCTGTTGGCGAATATTTGCAATATTTGCCGGGTCAAAATCCATTGAACGGCGAGAAACTGGAACTTGGGGAGGGCCTGAAAATTTTTAAAAATTCAAAAAAGTTCAAAAAATTCAAAGAAAACCGATGCTCTGTTGCCTTCTCGCACTAGAAGCCCTCGTTGTAGAAGCACTACTTTCCGCCCTTTCCAACTCAAGTTCACGCCGCACAACGGCAGAAGGGTTAAATGCGCTTCCAGTAGTTGAGGATAAAGCAGAAGCATAACTTGCACTTGTTGGAAGACGACGTGGAGATAAACTGCCGGGATGGTTTCGAGCAAAAGTAAGAGATGCTCGTTTTTGGGATGAAGGTGTTTGAGGCTCTTTTTTGATTTCATTTGGATCCATTTTGAAGAATCTAAAAAATAGAAAGGTAAACCAGAATCTGCTCGTTATTTTGACACAAAAATGAAAATTTTTCATCAAGGCTATCAAAAGTTACAAGTCTTTAAAATTAAAACTTTCCAGTGAAAAATCATTACTTGTCCAAGAAAAGACTTTGTGATTCGAAGAGAGTGTTAGAGAAAATAAATAAAGAAGAAAAATTATTCAATCTGTTTCTCTATTTACCACACTATTTCTCAATATATTTCTCTTACTCACACAACAAAAATTTTCCAAAATTTCAAAGTGTAAACTTTTCACAAAATAAAATAATTAATAAAATTTTAATACACACAAGGAAAAAGGGTAATTAAATAACGTAAACAACAGACACAATTGGTGACAGGTTCGGGGGATTTTTATTTTTTTTTTGATGTCGCGCCACAAAATCATTTTTATTTTTTTTCTCTTTGATGAATAAATTTATTCGATTTTTTTTATTTTTTTTATAAACATAGGGAATCGAGACGGGGTTTTGTGTAACACCTTTTTTTGTGTACCGCTCATCACCTCGCACATTGTTTTTCCATTTTTGTCATTTTTTGTCTTTCAATTTGCATATTTAATCCAATATTTTTTCAGTGACCCCAATTATTATTTTATTTTTTTATTATTAATTTAATTATTTAAAGGCAAAATGGTTGTTAAAATTCAGGTATTTTTTTTTAATTAATAAAATTGAAATTGAGGGTATTTTACGCATTTTTTGTCCGCATTTTTTTGCGGATAAAATTTTTTGTCCGCACTTTTTGTTGCGGACATTTTTTTGTCTGCACTTTAATTCGGACATTTTGTCCGCAATTTTTCGTCCGCAATTTTTGTCCGCATTTTTTTGCGGACAAAATTTTTATTTTTACATTTTTCGCAATTTTTTACTTTTTAAAGGACGTGACACTTCATGACGTTTGGGCTTCAAATTTGGAAGAAGAATTTGCATCTCTTCGGGAATTTATTGACGATTATCCTTATGTTGCAATGGACACAGAATTTCCTGGAGTTGTTATTACGCCTGTTGGACAATTTTATGCTAAAGACGAATTTAATTATCAACAGCTTTATTGCAACGTGAATTTGCTCAAATTAATACAGGTTTGGATGATTTAATGGTAATTTATTTTCTAGTCATATTAGGCTTCCTGGGGGGTTTAAGGGTTTTAAAATACAAAAAGTATTCTGGTCTGATCTTTTTGTGATCATGTACTAACATAAGAGCGCAGACTGAGTCATCATTGAGCTTCTTGCGAGATTTTTTGGGATTTTGGGTCTTTTTCTGGACTCCAACTAATATGTATATGTATTCGCCCAGGACAAAGATGTGTCCAAGCTCAAACTTTAAAAATCTCGTCTTTTTATCCCTGATACTCTGTGATGTCTCTGAAATATTGCAAACTCTCCGTGTTCCCCAAATATCCAAAAATATTACTCCAAATAATTTTAATCCATTTCCTAAAATTTTTTTGTTGCAGGTTGGCTTTACTTTAATGAATGAAAAAGGTGACTTAACTCCAAATCGGGATATTTGGCAGTTTAATCTTCATTTTAGGTTTTTTATTTTTTAAAAATTATTTTAAAATATTTTTTAAAGTGTTGCTGAGGATATGGGCAGTGCTGACTCTGTTGAACTTCTTAGAGAAGCTGGCTTTAATTTCTCCAGGCATCAGGTTCGAGAATTAATTTTTGACAAAAAAATTTTTACGTACTCTTTGTGATTTTTTTTATCAATCTTGCTTTTCCTCGGGCCTCTTTTTCAGGGATGTAGCCAGGGAAAACTTTGGGAGAGGGTCGAATCATTTTTAAAATGTTGGACTTTATTCCCCTCTGGCTACGTTTTCTCTAGTTACAGATTTGCTTTTTAGAATCTTTCTAAAAAAATTTTTTTCGAAGTTTCATTGGGAATAGTTGAGACCAGTGTTGGCGGATCCTGGAAAATTTTCAGGTATCCGGATTCCAGATTTGACCCGAGATGTTTTGAAATCCTACTTTTATTCGGATTCGGATCCGCCAACGCTAGAGATCTCTAACCCTAAGTTGTTTGCAACTATGTTTGCGGACTATGAAATAGTTGCGGATTTTGTAAATTCTGGGTTTTTTAACATCAAAATCTCATTTTTAGAAGGAAGGCATTTTAATGGAAAACTTTGGTGAATTACTGACTACCTCAGGATTATTGGTCAACAAACGCATTACTTGGATTACATTTCACAGTTGCTTCGATTTTGCTTATTTAATCAAAGCGATTTTGCTGGAAAAGTTGCCGGAGGACGAAAATGACTTTTTTCTTTAGTAAGTGAATTTTGGGGGTTTTTGTATTTTTGACCTTTTTCAGTCACAAAAAACTCTTCCCAACGAGTTATGATATTAAAATGCTTCTTCGTCAACCTGCTCCTTCTACAGCAAAATTGACTGGAGGTCTTCAAGAAATTGCTAATCAACTGGATGTTCAACGTATCGGAAAACGTCATCAAGCAGGCTCTGATTCTTTATTAACGGCTCAAACATTCTTTAAACTTCGAGAATTGTTTTTTGCTGATAATTGGAGCAAGGTTTTTTTATTTGTTAGCACGATAATTATGGACAACAATAGGCTAAAGGGGGGGAATACACGGAGAAATAAACGGCAATATCTTGCGGACAAAAATTATGCCATGGGGGAATGCATGGGGAAATAAGCGCTTAAAATCTGAAAATAAATTCAAAAAGTCGGGAGGTTTCGATTTTTCTAAAAAATGCCCCCTTTTCTTCGTGTCTGCTGATTTTGACTGGGCAGTCGAAATCAAAAATGATATTGGGCAATGAGTAATTTTGGAAATCTTTCCCATCCCTTTTCCTACTCCCTTCCCCTGAAAATTTTTTGGGTGGACTCCTGATTAATCGCAATCGCCTCAACATTTCTCTGCGTATGTCCGCAAATTTCGGCCTATTTTTTAAATTTAAAATTTAAACACTTCCTTCAAATTAGCCTCCTTCCCCTCCACCAAAAAATTATAATTCAAATTATTTTTAAGGTTTCTGCTGAGATTCAGTGTCAAATGTTCGGAATTAAAACTTCCGCTTCCAATGCAAGCCTGCTAGACACCGCAATTTAATGATTAAAATTGAATTTGATTTTTTTATAATTGTAAAATTTGTTTTCTCCTGGTAATTATTTGTTTTTGGATAGACAGAACACTTGATGGATATTTGCCTGTTTTTAGATCTCAAAATTTTTCTCCGCAAAAAATGTCCGCAAATTTTTGCGGACAAAAATTAGCAAATTTTCTTTCGAATTTTTTACAAAATATCCATCAAGTGAAAATGTCCTTGACTTTTGAATAATTCACTTGAATTATAATTTTAAAATTGTATAATATTCTCTTAATTATTTTGTTTTTTTAAATAAAAAATATTTAAAAATTTTCTTCGCCTTAATTTGAAATTTTTTAAAAACAATTTTAATTTCTTTTTAATTTTTGTTAAATAATTCTTTTTGACTTTTAAGGGCAGATTTGAATTTCTAAAAAATGCCCCGAAAACATACAATTTCGAATAAAACAAGGAAGCGTCCAGGCAAAGATTTGGATGAAATTAAAGAAACTATGGAAAGACCGGAAAAGGTTTATTTTTTATCATTTTTATTTTTTACTTTGTTTTTAGTTGGCAAAGGTTGTAAATCAGCCGGTAGATGAAGATTTGCCGGGCGCTGGGCAGAACTATTGTGTGGAGTGCGACCGCCATTTTATCAATGATAAAGTGCTTAAGAATCATAAGAAGACTAAAGGTATTGAATTTAACTAAATTTTGGAAGGGAAATTTGGAGGGGTTCCTATCGCTTAACTTTTTTTCCTCAACTTAAGCAACTCTTTTTTTACGAACTTGTTAAAATATTTACAATTTTAAGTTCATAAGAACCAATTGAAGCGCCTCAAAGAGCAGCAACATTCGCAAAAGGACGCGGACTTGGCTGGTGGTCTAGGAGTGGAGGAGCCGGTTGTTAAGAAGAAAGATGGGATTGAGCGCAATGAGGACGGAATTCCTTATGGGGTATGCTTGAAATTTAATATTATGGCTCTTAAAATTTTTAAAAAAATTTTTCTAAGGTTCCGAGTGGATGTGGTAGCTGCGTTCAAATTGGTCGCCGTCTTTGTATGTTTGTTAAGAAACCGGTTGAAGGGGTTGACTATGTTTTGAAAAAGTGAAGAAGTGATGGAGTAAGCAGGGAAATTTAACTATAAGTAAAAAATAAACATCCCACTTAATAGTTTTGGCGAGTTTCAACGCCCATATTTTATTTGGTTTAACTAATTTTTTTTAATTTAAAAAACGTCTAAAAATAAATATTTATGGAGTATCTTAATTTCAATAAAAATTATAACAGAGGGGAGAAACTTTATAAAAGCAGGTCAATTTTAAAAGCAAAAAATGGTGGTTGGAAAACAACAAGAGAATAATTGGGAATTGGGTCTTAAAATTTAATCCTTTTCTAATTTTAACGTAATGCAATTGACGGCAATGTTGTTGTCTTAAAGTTTTGAATTTTCAAAAAAATTATTTAAATTAAGAAAACCTCTCCACGAATTTTGCGTACAAGTTGAATATCTTTGGGCATAATTGTAACACGAGAAGCATGCAGAGCACATAAATTGGAATCTTCAAAAAGATTTACCAAGTAGTATTCAGCGGCCTCCTGAAATTGTTAAAGTGAATTAAAAAATTTCCTTAAGGAGTGAGAAATGGCGCGGAACGAAGTTAGGAATTTAGAAGTTTAAAAATCTTTCCTAAAATTTTTTTTGAAAAAATACACGGGAAACAAGCAAGACTGACCAAAGGGACGTAGATATTGGGTTGTTACTATAAAAAGTCAGGGTCATAGCTAATTTTTAAATTCATGAACCTGTATACCCGCCCTGTAGTCTAGAAACACACAGCTCAATCTTACGGAATTTAGATCCCATGAGATAATCGAGAGGTTGTCTTAATATAATTCTTGAACCCATCCCGTGACCCTCGAAAATCCAGACGTCCAAACGATAAATCAACCTAATCCCATCCTTATGTCTCACCAAGCCTAATAATTTTATAAAAACCTGAAGAGCAACTAGAGCTAACCCTCGCCATTTGTATTGCTCACCAGTAATAGAATTAGCAACATCACGAACCAGACGAATGAAAGGAGCACGAGGGATCAAAAGATTTGTTGATTTTTGAAAACGGCGAATTTCTTTAAGGGCGAGAGATCCTAAAATTGAAAATTTACGATTAAAAAAAATTGCCCGTTGTGGGGTTCGAACTTTTAGCCAAATGGCATTTAGAACGAAAAATTATCCAACTTAACCAAAAGTGACAGGATTTAAAATTTTGTCCTTACCCTTCTTGTGATATCGCTTCTGTTGCATCTTCACGGGAGGTAACTCCTTGTAACTCGGAAAAACACGCGGACATCGCTTAGTAGCCAGCTGAACACGCATTCGTTTGGAAGCAATAGCCTTTGCAGCAACTATTTCTTTTCGAAAACCAGCAGACTTTTTAGCAGTTTGTTTGGTCCGTGCCATTAGAAAATGTCAATAAAACGAATTGAGGGTTTTTAATTAACAGGATCTGCTAAAAAAAGAAGAAAATTTTAGTAAAGCAAACAAAAAAAAGTGATAAAATTGAGAAAAAAAATTTTTTTCCCACCCCAGCCATTAAACAAAATCCTTTCCCATTCCCTATATTTCACCAATAGCATATTTCACCAATAAAGTTAAAACTCACATTTTGCCAACAAAGGCTTATTGACAAACGTAAATTTTAACCCTTACTGGTAAAATGTCCTTTTGGCGAAATATGTTGAAGCAAATTTTTCTTTTTCTCTACCAAGAGTAATGTTGATTTTCCTTTTTTTTCTCTAATAGTTATGACTTATTTCTCTTTTTCTCTCTTACAACGAACTTTTGTTTGTTACCTAAATGAAAAATGGTGGTAAATTTAAACGATATATCAACGGACAAAATGTCCATAAGTGATTAATTTTTCAGAATGTTTAACACGTATATTTTTTGAAGGTGTTTCTCTTGTTTTTTAAAATTTTTGTCAAAATTTTTAAAATTTTTTTTTATTTTTTTTAATTTCAGAGACTTACAAGCAAAAAGATGAATTATTTTGTTTTTTCATTGGCAATTCTTCTCTTTTTATTTTCTCCCACTTTTGGTTTTTTTTTTAATTTTTCTTTAAATTTTGAAAAAATAATTTAATTCAAGGTGCAAGCTGTCAATCACCACGACATTCTTCAAGTGGATATTCTACTCAAGATGGGTTCTTTCACTTCAAAACGACTTATATTATGGAGTTTGCTCTTCAATGTGCCAATAATTATGAACACGTAATCAAAGTTTTTTTAAATATATCTTGTAAGATTCTGGGGATGGGATAATTTGTCAACTTAACACTTTTTGGGTGCCTATAATTGTTCGAGCTGACAACCTTTCTTTGAAGGTGTATTAATATTCTTTCGCATGCCTTTTGTGAATAAACGGGCGAAAATTGCATTTATGGTTAAGTGGGTTAGATTGCAATTTTGTACTAAGGTTCGAACCCGGTTCGGGCCCGGATATATTTTTCATTGTCTTTTATCGTAAATAAGCCTCTGTTCAATTAATTTTTTAGCTTTTTAATGATTTTTTAAAAATGATCTTTTTTTAGAATAGCCCATTCTTTGCTATTGTGAATGGACGGGTTTACCAGCTTTCGGTTTCTGAAGAGACGACAAAATATCAAGTTTGTTTTTATTTCTTTTTTGGGGTTTTCTTGGCTCCATTCGAAAAGAATTTCAAATTTTATAGGTTTCATGGCTTCTTGAACACCCCGAATCCAGTGCTCAAACATTCGATGTAGTTGTACTTGATGAGGACAAGTTGGCAGAATATAAAAAGGTTTATAACATTTATAACAGTGATGGCACGGGCACCTGATGCTTTGAATTTTTCCGACCCGAAATCCGATCCGACTTTTTTCTCTTAATCCCCTTAACTGGCACAATTGCTCGAAACCCGGACTTTTTTTGATTCGAAATCCTATCCAGTAATTTTGAAAATCAACCCTAAACACGACACCACTTTTCTCTCAACTCGTGACATCCCTGTTATTTGACAAAATTTTTAAATATATTTAAACAATTTTAGGCAATCCAATCAGGCGTTGAAAACCCTTTGTCTCGCATAGAGCCTTTATTCACCACTCAATATTACCATCCAGGCGTTTCTAAAAAGGCTCCTTTCTCTTCTGAAGGCGTTTGTTTGTTGATTGCTGCTGCTGCTGTTTATTTTGCGCTCAATTTTAAACAGGAATTGGCAAAGCGTGATTAATGTAAAAATAAATGGAAAGGGAAGAATAATTTTTTTCTTTAGTTTAAATTTGTTGTTAATATATTTAAATAAAGGTTAGAATTCTTGGGCAATTTTTTTTCTTCAGATTATTTATGTTTCTACATAAGAATATTTTTAAATCTTTTTATTTACTTTTTAATTTGTGTTGGTGTTGTAATAGACTAACGAACATTTTTTTCGCTAGTCTAAAAGATTTTTTAATTGTCGTGACATGCGGGATGATATTCATTTTTCAGGCAATATTCCCTTAGATTATTCTCTAACATAAGCATTTTTATCTGGTTCTTGTGACCGGAGAGGAGCTAGCTTCAGAATACAAGCATTTTATAGGGTGTGTGGGTAGGGTTGGGGTTTTCGATCGGGCCGACGTTCGAGTCATTTTTTCGGACCTCATTTTTTCGGGCAGGCCCGACCGAGTTCTTTTCGGGCCAAAACTTGATGCCCGACTCGACCTTTCGGACCGGACCGGGCCCTCAACCCTAGTTGTGGGTCTATTGAATGGTTCCAAAAATTTTAAATTTTAACATCACAAGGTTTATTTAAAAAAATAAACTTTGTAATGTTTGTGACAGACTGAAAAATTGTTCGATTAATTAAATTTCCAGATTTTTGTTAAAAAATATTTTCTAAAATGTCAGCAACATTTGCTATTATTACTTGCCATCGTTCTCTTTCTCAATTTTGTCAAGTCAGGCAATTTTCAATTTTAAGACGAAGTACTCAACTTTTTGTTAGATTGCCTAAAATTTCTGAATTTAAGGTTTGACTTTTTAAATTTTTAATTAAAATTTTTTAAAGTTCTTTCACGAACATTTGAGAGTTCGATTGCCTCGTAATGAAAGGCTAAAGCAAAAATTGGAAGACGAGAAAAACGAAAATATACCCAGTGGTCTCTTTCAGAAACTCAAATATTATCTTAAACGGTTTCTTTTGTAAAATTTTGGGGGGTTTTAGAAGGAATGTTTCCAAACGGGGGTGGGGGAGGGCTATGGGGAAATTTTTAGAGGAGCTACTGGGAGAGATTGTCCGGAGAAAATTTTTTGCTTCATGGGAGGGGTATGGGTGATTTTAAAAAGTCCTACGTCGACTTTCGGGGACTGAATACGCCACTAGTTTTTATATTTAATTTTTCTAGTTATTGGTATATTGCTATACCTGTTCATTATGTTCTTTTTGCCTGTTGGTTTGGTGTTTTCTATTTGGCTGTTCATTTGTGAGCGAAATTTTAATTTAAAAATTTTTTCTGTGAAATTTTTTGGCTTCCAAATTGTTTATTTCAATCTCAAAAATGATTTTAAATATTTAAAAAATGTTTGGGAGCTGAGCGGGTTCGAACCCGCATCCGTTATTTTTCAAAACATTTCTATTCCCCACTTAACCAAAAAACTCGATTTGGCTATTAAATTGATTTTCAATTTTTAAAATTTAAATAAAATATATTTAGTGGCTTAAATGTTGTTGGTTTGCTTGAATTTTTCCATCTACCCGAAAATTGGATTCAAAAAGTGAGAGAAATGCCTAAAGCTGCGAGTACTTTGACTGCTACTTTTATCTTAATCAAAGTAATTATAATATGTTTGTGGGGTTCCTGTATAGTTTTTAAGCAAAACCTTTTGATTTCTTAATTTATTTTTTGCCTGTAGCATTATGTCGGATTTGGATACCCCAAAAACTTGATATCCGGAAATTTTCAGATTTGGTCGCAGATCCGGGGATTCCAGGGATTTCCCAAGATCCGTTAATTTTATCTGGCAATTCTTTTTCGGATTATCCACTGGTTTTTTGACTTTTGAACTCTCAAGGGAGACGGGGCAATTTAATTCACAAGCTTCAATTTTTTAATTTTTTCAAAGATCTTTACACCAATTCGTTATGCATCAACAATTATTGGAACAAATTTAACTTATAAAGCATTAAAACATTTGGGATGGCTTCGAACAGTTCGACAACTTGAATATCGTGGTCGTATTGAATTTGAAAAATTGATGAGAAAAATGAATGAAAGAAGAATTGCTGCTGCTGCAAAATATAGAAAAAAGAATGGAAATGGAAAAGGTTTAAATGGAGATAATAAAAAGGAACAAAATTAAGTTATAATTTTTGTTAAGTTTCGAATTTTTTAGTACATAAATTATAATTATTTTATGGACTTTAAGGGAATTTATAATCGAATTTATCGAATTTTTGATAAGCTTGATAAGTGCAGTCAAGGTGGTTAGTAAGGCTTTCTGGAGGCTTTACTATCCTTGACATTATGGACTTGTTGAACTATTTGAACAGGTTTTTGTTTAAATGTGGAGGTTAAGAGATTCAGAATAATTTGAGTTAAATTTTGGAGAAGGGCCGGTGGGTTTTTTGGGGTTGAAATTTTAATTAATTTCAATCTTGAGAATATTGCCTGAAAAACTGCCGCAAACTTTTTTGAGTGGAAACGCGTATTTTCATCTCATTTTTGCGGTTTTTAAAATTTTTGTATTTAGGCATACGACATGAAATGACTTCAAAAATAATTTTGAATCCATTTTTATTTTAGATTTTTTCTTTTTTTAGAAAATGTTTCCTTCAACATTTACTAAATTTAGTTTACTTCCAAAATGTTTGTTCAATCGTTTGACTCGAGTAGTTTATGGATCTGGTTGGGAATTTTTTGAATTTCGATTAAAGCTGAAAATTAAAATATTTTCTTTTCAGGTCTTTGCTCAACTGGCGCTTTAGCAATAGAAAAGCTTTTGACTCAACAAGTTCCTTTTAAATTAGGGAAAATTGTTGGAGCTGAAGCAACTGGAGTTTCATGGTTTTTTTAATTTTCTTAAAATTAAAAAAAATTTGTTTTCCAAGTATTGTTTGTAATTCTGACGGTCAAGTCTTCACTTGGGGTTCTCATGTACTCGGTTTTGGACCAAAAATTGAAAAATTTACAAAGCCAATGCAAATTGACCCGCCTTTATTTACTTCAGCAATGAATGAAAAAAATTGGGTTGTTAAGGTTTTCTTGAATTTTTAAAAATTTTTAAAAGTTTTTTTAAAAGGTTTTTGCTGGTGGTAGTTGTATGGGAGCATTGACTGAAGCTGGGCATTTGGTTTTTTATTTTTTAAATTTTTTGGAGAAATTCTGTCATATGTCGTGGAGTAGGAAAGAGCCGTATTAGTCGAGCAACACCAAAATGAAGCTCTATTCTCAATTATGGGTCCAAAATTCATTCCACGAAACTCAAAAACCATATGGTGTTTTCCTAAAACCTGTTTGGTTCCCCTTACATTTTTTCCATTATAAACCTATAACTGGACTTAAAATTGAGACTGTAGCTTAGTTTAAGTGTTACTCGACTCTTTCAGTTCGACGAGCTCTTTTAAATGAGATATTGTTTGTACAAATCGGAGTCTGGGACATTTTTCGGAATTTTTCCGAGTTTTTCCGATTTTTTTGTTTAATTTTAATTAAAAATTTATTTTTTCCAGTTCACTTGGAGTTCAAACAAACACGGTGTTTTGGCACTCTCTCATCGAAATCAACAATATTTTCTATCTACATTTACTTTCAAACGTTCTTTTCACAGTGGAAATGATAAACCAAAAGGAATTTTTCAAAATTTTAAGGATCTCTTTAAACGGTTTATTTTAATTTTTTAAAATTTTAATTTAATGATTTTAAGTTATTGGTATATTGCTTTCCCTGTTCATTTGGCACTTTCAATTTTATGGTTTTCAATTTTTTATTCTACATTGCATTTGTGAGTGAATTTGTTAAAATTAATTTTATAAATTTTTTAAAAATGTCAAAAAAATAGGTGGGACTCTGGTGGGTTCGAACCCATGACCTAATTTAAAAAAATTTTTTATACCACTTAACCAATGGGCGAATTTTTGAGAGGTTTTTACAAAGATTAAGAAATATATGTATTTTTGGCCCGGGCGGACTCGACCCACATTAAAATTCTTATCAAAATGTTATGCTACTCACCCAAAAAATTTTTTTCTCCCAAAAAGCTCTTATATTTAAGGTTATTGTTACTGGGTTATGATGTTGTTAGTTTACTTGAGTTTTTACGATTACCTAAAAATTGGATTCAAAAAATTAGAGATTTGCCTAAATCAGCTGGGACGTTGACTGCTACTTTAATTCTTTTCAAGGTTGTTTATTAAATTAGATTTTAATTTCTGGTGTAGAATAGGGAGTAAACCTCGGATATTGAGTGAAAAAAGTTTTGGGAATTTTTTGTTTATATTTTTTAGTTTAGCAAGTTACTTTCGGATTTGCCAACAATATTAAAAATACTGAAAAAATTTTTTGGGGCCGAGCGGGTTCGAACCCATGACCTGAATTTTTGAGACCTGATTTTATACCACTTAACCAAAAAATCAAAAAATTTTTAACAGTTATTTGCTCCATTACGTTACGCGTCAACAATATTCTGTACATACAAATTAATAAAATTGTTTAGACGGGCAAAATAAAATTTTTTAATTTATTTTCTTTGTTGTTGGTTTTATTGTTTTTAAATTTTTTATTAATAAATTGTGAGTATTTTTTTGCAAATTTTTTAATTTTTAGTCATGTATTACTTTTAAATATTTTCTTTTCTTTATTTATTGGCTAATTTATCAGTTAACTGATAATTTGTTTCCCCACATTATTTTTCTTAAAATTGATTTTTAGACTAAAAATAAATGGCAGCATCTTCCGTAGTTTCAGCTGGACGACGTTCACTCATTGCTGTTTGTCAATTAAGTGTTCAACATGATTTGAATGATAATTTTCGACGTAGTGCACAACTTATTGAGAGAGCAGCAAATAATCGAGGTTGCAAGGTTGTTGATTTTAAAAATTGCATTTTTTGGTTAAGTGGTAGTGAGATGAGTTTGGCACAAAATGGGTCGTGGGTTCGAACCCGGATGGCTCCCAAATATTTTTTTGCAAGTTTAAAATGTTTGTGATTGATTTAGAAATTGTTTGGTCCAGATTTATTTAAAATAAAAATATTTTTGTCCGAGAAGCGAAGAATTTCCTCCTCGAAATGTGGCTTAAAAGTTCAATTTTCTAGATGGTTTTCCTTCCAGAATGCTTTGATTTTATTGGCCGAAATAAAGAAGAACAAATTGATCAGGCAATTGAAGCAGATGGACAATATATAACGCAATTTCGTGAATTGGCTAAACGTTATGGTCTGTGGCTGGCTTTGGGTGGATTTCATAATAAGGTTCGGGGAATTTTTATTAAATTATTTCTGTTTTTGGAATAATTTTGGGTCTTTAAAAATTATTTAATTTTTAATTTATACCCTCAAGGAGGGTTTTAAATAAGTGAAAAGATTTTTCTGTGGGGGTGGTGGTATAATTTTTTATTTTAAGTTCAATTAACCATGGTTTGAATCCTTTCTGGTCTAATCTTCATAATTCTTTTAAAAAATTAAAATAGTTTTTAAAAACATTTTTCTCATAAATACGGGTTCTCTAAATTATTTTCAAAATCTAAAAAAATTTTTTTAAGCAAACAGATGGATTGCCTCTTAACACTTATTTACTTATTGATTCATCTGGACAAACTCGAGCTTCTTATGACAAATTGCATTTATTCGATTTGGATTTGCCTGGAAAAGTGAGATTAATGGAGAGTGAATTTTCTAGACGAGGAAAAGAGGTTTTTAAAATTTTTATTTTTTAATTTTAATATTTTAGCTCCACCTTCCTGTCGATACACCTATTGGCCGTCTTGGAATGGGAATTTGCTATGATTTACGTTTTGCTGAATTGTCGCTTTTTAATCGTTTAAGAGGTTAATTTTAATATTCCCTCATTTTTTCGTATTTTCCGGTCTCTTGTTTTTGTCGTGTAGTGGGATAATCTTAGATTTTAAATTGGATTGACCCCGGTTCGAGTCATTTTCCTTCTAATTTTTTTCAATATTTTATAGGAGCCCAAATTCTTTCATTTCCATCATCCTTCACTGTAACAACAGGATTGGCACATTGGGAGGTTTATTAAAATTTCTTTAAAAATTCAAAAATTTTTATTGAAAGGCTCTTCTCCGAGCTCGTGCAATAGAAACTCAATGTTACATTGTCGCTCCAGCCCAAACTGGAAAGCATAACGACAAAAGATCGTCTTATGGTCATTCAATGGTGGTTGATCCGTGGGGGGCAATAATAGCTCAGTGTTCTGAAAGAGAAGGTTTTTTTAATTTTATGAAGGGAAGAGGAAAGGTAAAGGTTAACTTTAGAGACTGGACTGGAAGGGACGATCGAGAATTGTTGACTCGAAAATCCTTTATTCTCGAAAACCGAGATTTTCTTTTCGGGATCTCGCCTCGGTCTGTCTCTAGTTAGCCTTTCTAGAATTTCTTCTATTTAATTTTTGCTTTGTCCCTCTCCAATACACGTCCACCAGACATCCTGAGTTTCTTCCCCTTCTACCAAAAAATTGTTTCCTAAATAATTTTTTGTTCAATAGATTTATGCTTTGCTGAACTCGATTTGGATTATGTAGATGAAATTAGACGAAATCAACCTGTTTTTGAACATAGACGCTCTGATTTGTATTCATTATATTTTAATGAAAAACGGGAAATTAAGGGTATTTTTTTAATTTTTCGAGGTATTTTTAGTAAAACCTTAATCTTTTAATAATGCCTCTTTCTAATAAGAGTATATCTTTTAGGTTTCTTTCATTTTAAATAGAACCCTATCTTCAATACAAGCTTATAAAAAGCGTTTCTGTGACTATTCGATAAAATGCCGACTTTATATCTTCGGATGGAACTTGTGCCCACACTTTAATAGACTGCTTTCTACTACTAGAAGTAGATAGTTTGGGATTTAAGGCAGAAAAGGAAAAAATGTTGTTGCTGGTTAAGTGGCACTTTGCTTAATTTCTTATAGAGAAGGGTTGTGGGTTCGAACCCTATTGGCTCCCAAATATTTTTTAGACTAACTGTAAGAGTTTTGTTTTCTATCTTGTATAAAAATAATCAAAAATTCAATTAATAAATAAATTTATATTTTTTCAGATTCTGATCTTTTCCATTTTGGTCATTTAAAGATTGATGGTTCCCAATGCTTTTATAAAAGTGCACATTGTTATGCTTTTGTTAATTTAATGCCTTTATTGCCTGGACGTAAGAATATTTTTATTTTTTAATCAGAAAATTTTTGAATTTTTTGTATTAAAAATGTGAGGTAAAAAATGGCAAAAAATGGCTTTTTGGTTAAGTGGTATTTTTATAAAAAAAGGGTCATGGGTTCGAACCCGGTTGGCTCCCAAATATTTTTTTCATTGAGATTATGGTTTGGGTGAATCTTTGAAATTTTTTTTAATTAAAATTTTCTAATTAAATTTTTTTTAATTTTAAAGATGTACTAATTTCACCAATAAAAGAAGGATTAAAACGTTTAACTGATTTGGATGACCAAACAACAGCAGATTTATTTATATTAGCCAAAAAAGTAGAAAAAATGTTATGTCAAATTTATCAGACAAATTGTGCTACTGTTTGTGTACAAGATGGAGAACATGCTGGACAGACTGTTGAAGTGAGATTCTTTTTTTAAAATATTTTTTTGTTCAAAGAAAAAAATTTTGAAACGAAAATAAGATAAAGGAAGGAGAAAAATTTGGTTTTTTAAAGAATAAATTTGAATAAGATTTTTCTGAAATTTATTCTTTTGTGGGTCCTTTCAGCATAGATAAATTTAAAAATAAAAATACGGATTCACTCAAATAGCTATCGAGCTGATCTGGTATAGCTTCCATTGTCTGTATTGAATAGATCTTTGGGAGTCGATTAGGGATGGGAATAGATGGGTGAATTCTTTAGAATTTTTTAGACTTAACTAAAATTAGAAATTTCTGTGTCTCAAATTCCTTCCTTTTACGGTACACATCATTGTGTATTGAGTTTCCTTCCCTTGGGTTTTGTTCTAGTTCGACTCTATAAAGAACAAAAAATCCCCTGTCTTTTAAATTTTTTCAGAATTAACTTAAAAAACATTTTAAGCATGTACATGTTCATATAATTCCACGTAAAAAAGGCGATTTTGGAGGAGGAGATCCAGACCAAATTTATGCAAAATTACAAAATCACGATGCTAAATTAAATAAAGAAAAACGTTCCCCAAAAGAAATGGCTGAAGAAGCAATTTTTTATAGAAAATGGTTTGAAGAAAATTTGGATGTGTGAAATTTAAAAATTTTGTAAAAAATTTTATTAGTTTTTAGCTTGGGGTTTATAATTTATGAATTAATAATAAATAAATTAATTAAAAATTAAATTTTTATACTTTCCATTGTCTATCAAGAAAATTTTTTGAGGGTTAAGATAATTAAAAAAAAGTTGTTATTAGACATAATTCCTCCTTCCCTCACATTAAATTTCCAGATAAAATTAATTTCATTTGAATAATCTTTAAAAATTTTTTTATTTTTCAAGATAATGTTTTCTATGAGAAACTTAAAAAGTAATATAAATGTAAAAAATATTTTCTACTATAAAATTTATTTTTAAAAAATAATAAAACGATTGTTCTAACAAAAAATCATCAAAAATTGTAAATTTAAAATTATCTTATTTTTGTGAATCATACACAAAAAATAGCAAAACTTGTACATATTTAATGCTAAAATATATTAAAAAATTATTTTAAACTAAAAAAATATTTTCAAAAATTTAAAATGTTTTTTCCAAAGTTTATTTTCTTCAAATTTTTAATTTTTATTGGCATAACAAATGTTAATTCTCTCTTTGTAAAATTTAAATTTAATTTGAAATTTAAATGTGGAGATGAACTTGCCAATGGACGTCTAATGGTTAATTACCGTAAATCAATGTATAGCGGAGTGAGTACTTATATTTTTAAAATTGTAATTATAGGAGGAATTGTAAATTATAGGAGGCTGGGGTTATCTCTTGGATCCAGGCCCAGCCACACATTTTTAGTGGTATAATACAAGTGATTGTCCCTCACCGGAAGCTTCATACCAGCTCCTCTCCCAGTGAAAACGAGGTTAGCTGTATTAAAAATCGGACCGAGAGACTATCAACCCAAAACTATAGGTTATCGAGATATATGATGTTCGAGATATCGACCTGGATCAGTCCAGCCCTTCTCTCTTTGGAACTATCGTAATCGTATTATATGACCCCGGGTACCAACATAGACAATCTCAAAATATCAATTAATTTTTAAATTAAATATTTATGGCCCTATCCTAAAAAGAGGGCGCCTTGATTTTTTTTCATCATTTTTTTCCAACTTTATATATAAATAATGGTCAGTCTTTTCTTCCTCGCTCAATTCCACTCTTTTTACCTTTGGCATATTCAATTGAGAGGACAGAAAAGCACAAAAACTACAGACAAAACACGGACTGACACACACAAACTTGTTTTGTCTGTCCGTGCTCGTCCGTGTTTTGTCTGTCTGTTTTCGTCCGTGTTCGTCCGTGCTCGTCCGATTTCGTCCGTGTTGTCTGTGTTCGTCCGTGCTCGTCAGTGTTCGTCCGGTTTCGTCCGTGCTTTGTCTGTCCGTCTTCGTCTGTGTTTTGTCCGTCCGTTATTGTCTGTCCGTGAGTGTATTTTTCTGTCCTCTCAATTGAATATGCCACTTGCACGAAGAAAAAAAGACTGACCATTATTTATATATTAAGGTTGGAAAAAAATGATGAAAAAAATCAAGGCGCCCTCTTTTTAGGATAGGGTCATATTTATTATAGTATACAAATATATTGGATACTGTAGTTATTAATGGAATTTTTAAAAAGGATGTGGTTGTACCTTTTCCTCGTAGTTCTAAATATTCTTTTGATGTTTTATTTAGAACAAATTGTTTCGAACAAACTGTATTGAATGGAAACAAGCAAGTATGTAATTAAATTTAAATATATTAGAGCATGTTTATACATTTTTCGTACCCGTATCCTTCTGATATATTCTAATGACATGTTCTAATTAAATATGTTAAGGGAATAGAATACTTATTATATTAGATTAAGTACTGTAAGGTGGCTCGATTCGGTCCCGAAGAGGATTAAATCGTCTGTCAGATTGATAAGGTTATAAAAATGATAAAATAATAAGCAAAAAGTCGATACCAATTTAACGACAATAATAAACATTTTTAATCACTTTTCCCTAATATTAGTGCTGTGCTCAGGACTTTAAATTTATTGGATGTTCCCATCCCTTTACTGGAAATTCCTTTATTTGTGGTAAACTTAAAAATGAGGGTTGCAAACAAGAAAACTCTTGGATAATATCTAATTACAACAAAAATGATTTAAATCAGACTAATTGTGAATTTAAATTTATCATGAACAACCCTAAAACCGGACAAAATTATATTGATTTGAAAGACTTATTGGTAAATCCTTCAACTTATCAAAGATGGGCTCAAATGGATTCTTGTAATAGATATAGTGCTTATCAAGTATCTCGTAGTTGTGTGGATTATGGCCGTGAGAATAATGAGGTAAATTTTTTTATTTCAACCCTCAGAAATTTTTTTTGAACATTCTACCCATTTAATCATAACTCCATAAGATATTGCAATAATAGTTTGGTTTAGACCCCTCCACCTTTTTCCTATTCTCTTTCTTCCCAAATTATAAATCTTTCGAAAGAGCTTGATAAATTTGTTTAAAATGATAAAATCTAACCGATAATTGTATCAATCGAAAATTTAAAATTGAAAAGCTTTAAAGGAACCCTTTAAGCTCAAGGAAAAAACCCTGGACAAATTTTTACAATAGAACACAAAGTACAACAATCACAAAAAGCCTTAGATTTTAATTTCAATTTTTTTGAATTTTAGGAAGACTCTGTGAAAGAAGGATTTGAACAAATGGAGGAGATTTGTGATCACCCAAAATATGGACTGTTAAAAGCTTCATTTGAAAGAGATGAGGAATGGCAGAAAATAGATGTTACTCATCCAAATAATAATTGTGATGTAGATTATGATAGGGTTAAGAATATGTTTAATCAAAAACTTGAAAAAATCTTTAAAAAGTTTAAAGAAATCTTTTCATGAAAAATAATGTTTTATAATTAATTAAATTCTGAAAAAAATTTAAATTTTTTTTTAATTATTTTGTGATCCGAAAATGTATAAATACTCTAATTAAAAATCTTATTTTATATTCTAAGAGGTAAAAATTAAAAGATGATTCAATTATTCAATTTAGAATTTTAAATTATTTTCCCATATAAAAAAATATTTCTATGTACATAGAAAATAAAAACAAATTAGAGGCCTTTAAATAAGTGATTCATAAAAAATAATTTTTTTATATGTATAAATTTAAAAATAAATGGGGGTATGTTAACTTTATTAGTTTAAAATAAAGTTATATTAATGCTTCATGATTCATATTTAATCTATAAAATATTGTGAAGAGAAATTCCTAAATGGACTAATATGTAAACCCCACCCTTAAATCTGACTATAAAATCTAAAACGAATTGATGAAATTGGTTAGTTGGTTGAATCAAGTGTCACATTTTACATTTTCGTGTAACAACTAGTGCTCATTAGATCAACGACCTTTCTTTAATCCATTCGCTCTCAGTGCCACCGCACATTTACAACAATACCCCGGGATTTTCTTTTATCAGAAATGGGTCTCTCCCTCATATATACACCAAAAAAATCTCAAAATAAACACTAAAAATAGCAAAACATGCAATTATTTAATGTCTAAATTTATACAAAATAAACAAAATATTTTCAGAAAATTCAAAATGTTTTTTCCAAATTTTATTTACTTCAACATTTTAATCTTTATGGGCATAATATTTGTTATAAGTAATTCTGATGAACCTAAAACCTCTAATTTGAAATTTGATTTGCAATTTAAATGTGGCAATGAGCCAGCTAGTGGACGCCTAATGTTTTATCGTAGTAAGACATTTGCGTGTGGAGTGAGTGCTTTTATTTTTAATTCTCAATTGGATTTTGAAAAATTCTAAATGGTAGGGGGAGTGCTGATACTCTAAATATTAAGTATCGCTTAAGCAGTGCCCAATTGTCCAACCAAATAAAAGAAACTCAGCTTAAATAACGGGTAAATCTATTAGGGGCTAACACATTAGGGGTCTCCAAATCTCCAGGGTTCGCATTCTGAGAAGCGGGTAGAGGGTACTGGTAAACTTACCAGGTACCTCTTACTCGGGTACTAGACCCCTGAGCTGGGGGTTAACTCTTATTCCAAAAAAATATACAGAGAACTCTCGATAATTACCCCCCCCCCCTCCTCCTTCTAAATTCGGTTCAAGCTAACTAAATCGAAAACTGCCGTAATTTTACTATATGGTCCCAGGCTTAAATCAAACAATCTCGAAAAAATTAAGAAATCTTTGAATCCATTCTCAATTTTAGTATATAAAGTTTTTGGATGTTGTAATTACTAATGGAATTTTCAAAAAAGAGGTGGTTGTACCTTCTATTGGCTCAAATATGTTTTATGAGGCTTATTTTCGAACAAATTGCTACATATTGAATAAGAAAAAGGAAGTATGAAATTAAATTTGTACATTAATTGACATGAGGGAATATATCTATTGTTATATTTTTTGGTAGATACTCCAGTTCTTTTTATAGTTGTGGTATGTTTAGGTGTATTAGAAATATATTACTGTCAAAAGAGCGGTGCTGTGGAATCCCAGCACCACCTAAGTGCTGTGAAATCCCGTCCCATTACGTATTAGGTGGGCTCAGGGTACGTCCCCCTCATTTCACGTCATATATTGCTCTCATTCTTACGTTACCTTGATTCGGTCCTTAAGGAGAAATGGTAAATTAATCACAAAAAGTCTGTAGTGCTCCCACTAAAATACCCAATTCTTCTCGTTTTAGTGCTGTGCCCATGATTTTAAATTTATGGAAAATTGGATTAATAAACACGGCACAAATTTTGCCATGAAGAATCCAAAGACTCATCAAAATTTTATTGATTTGATAGATTTATTATTTAATGCTCCACTTTATGCAAAATGGTTTAAGGACTCTGTTTATTCAGATAATTATTTTTATTCAACTCGTAGTTGTGTGGAAAACAATAAAAATAAATATTATTGTGCCCAAAAGGATAGTGAGGTGATTTTTTTAGACCTTCACGAAACTCCAAAAAATCTCGCGTAAAATTAAACTCCAATTTTTGTCGTATTGTACACAAATGTCCGTACACAAAAGTCCTATACTCATTTTGATATTCCTAAAGAGGCCGCGGAAAAATTTAAATTTAAAAAAATAACGAGACCCCCTTTTGTAGTGAATGTGGCGGTACTTAGAGAAGAAGCTAGAAAAAATTTTTAAAGCAGAAATCCATCGAGACCTTTAAAATACCTTTAAATGTTTCCTCTCAAAAACTCATTTTAAATCTTTAGGATGAGTGTGTTAAAGAAAGATTTGAAAAAATGGAGATATGTGACCATCCAAACTATGGATGGACAAATGCCTCAATCGAAGAAGCCTCATCCGAAGAAGGATTCAGTATTTTAGAATGTTAAGTGTTTATCAAAAATTAAAATAATTTTTATACATAATTAATATTTAATAACAACTTTTTTGAAATTATTTTCATGCCAAATAAAATTTAATAATTATTCTAAATTTTTAATGTTTAATTTGAAGAGCTCTCTGCTAGGGATGCTCAAGATTCTCGATTTTAGAATCGAGAAATTTCTCTGGTTTTTGAATGTCTCGGTAAATTTTCATCCCCGAGCATCACTACTTTCTACAACAAATACAAACAGCAAATCTTTATTACGATAAATTAGATTTATGAACAGCTTTGCATATCTGTCCAATTTATGTTTCAATCGTTTTAGAAAACCTCACATCAAATCTTTCTTTTGATGCTCTTTCTATTGAGCTATAGAGATCTTAGATGGCACAAATATTCAACGAGAACAACATTTTCAATTATCCCATACAAAATAATATTTATTATTTTCTATTTTATTATTATTTTTTAACAGTTAATAGATTTTGCTTGTATTTCCCGTTAAAATTTTTTAAATTACTGTAAAGCATATAGCTATTAATTTCCTAAGGCTGAGCAGTAGGCGGCGTGGTGTAATGGCTAACACATCAGTCCGGTCTACTGAAGATGCTGGTTCGCTCCCAGCCGCCGAATAACCTTTTGCATTAGCTAAAGGAGAGAAATAGCTATAGCCCAGCTGCTTTACTGGTAGCACCGGATGGTTCAGCGAACGCTGAACGTATGACGATCCATCCCATAGGCCCTGGGTTAGAGAAATGAAATTCCGCCAGAGAAGGCGATGATTAAGCTACCCCGCAGGTGAGAGAAAAAGCGGGAAGAGGGCAGATAAGAAGACTAGGGACAGTCTTCCCTGGGGATGGAGGTGTAAAGCATATAGCTATTAATTTCCTAAGGCTGAGCAGTAGGCGGCGTGGTGTAATGGCTAACACATCAGTCCGGTCTACTGAAGATGCTGGTTCGCTCCCAGCCGCCGAATAACCTTTTGCATTAGCTAAAGGAGAGAAATAGCTATAGCCCAGCTGCTTTACTTTACTCATATTAATTTTTTAAAAATTTCTCATATAAAATATATTTTACAAATTAAAATTTCGTTAATTAATAGTGATACATAACAAATTTTATATTTTATATAATAAATTTAACGCGTGTGGTAGTGTAATTAAAATGAAATTTGACAGCGTAATTCATTTTAAACTCCAGTTAAATTTCTAATAAATACTTTAATGACATGGACTTATACTTTTCAATACTTCTTATCGAGTGGGCTTCTAATAGGGATGGACTTCTATTAAAATATTTGCGGTATATGAAATATCATAAATTATTATTTATTAATCACCAGTGTTTGACAAATTTGAAATTTTTTTAATATTTTTAGCTGAGAAAATTGAAAAATAATATTAGTGTAAAAAAATATTTTTCTTCTACATGAATAATATATTTTTAGAAAATAAAATTTTAAAAAATTTAAAAAAAATCACATAATGATTCACATAAAATTGTACATTCAAAATCATTTTACTTTTATGAATCATCCACAAAAATTAGCAAAACTTGTACATACTTAAAGCCTAAATATTATCAGAATTATTATAAACTAACAAATAATTTCCAGCAAATTCAAAATGGTTTTTTCAATTTTTATCTTCTTCAACTTTTTAATTTTTATGGACATAATAAATGTTAATTCCCTCCATGCTAAATTTAAATTTAATTTGAAATTTAATTGTGCCAATGAGCCGGCTAATGGGCGTTTGATGGTTAATTATCGTCAAACAAGCATCACTGGAGTGAGTGCTTTATATTTTTAGTTATCACTTGAAGATAAAAAATTGTCATTTACGAAGGGTATTTAAATAGAAAATAGAGTTGTTTGTCCCTGGAAATTCTTCGGATAAACGAAACCGAACCGAAAATCCTCGATTCTTTGGTCCGGTCCATAACGACAACCATAATAGGAAGTATCGCTTAGACAACCCCCTACTCAAAGGGCAACAAGATTTAAAAACACGCCTTAATAGAGCAAGGATGTATCTCGAATCTCGATTGTTCCACATGTCTGGTTAACTGGAAACCACCGCAATATGGACCCAGAACTCTAAATAGACCGGAACTTTAAGAAAAGTAGCTTGTTGATCTTTAAATCAGTTGTAATTTGGAAAAGTTATACTATATAAATTTTTTCAATTTTAGTATACAAATGTGCTGGATGTTGTAATTAATAACGGAATTTTCAAAAAGGATATAGTTGTCGATTTTGATCTTGGTCAGAAATATTCTTTTGACGTCTTATTTAGAACAAACTGCTACATATTGAATAGAAACAAGGAAGTATAAGTTTAAATTTTATGCTTAATTGATAGCGGGAAATGCAGTACACGCATCATACTAGTGATGCCCGGGTATCCAGATCCCGACTCCCGAGGTCATATTCACTTCCTCGACTTGAATCGATCCCGAATTGACGTATAACGAGATTTCTAATAATCCGCAAAATACCAAGCCTATTTTCTCATAAAAAATAAATTTTTTTCATTATTAGTGCTGTGCCCATGATTTTAAATTTATGGGATGTTCAAATTTATTCACTGGAAATGACTTTATATGTGGTAAAATTGATAGTGAAGGTTGCCAACAAAAGAATTCTTGGATAATGTCAGATTACAACGAAAACCAGCCATACCAAACAAAATGCGAATTTAATTTTGCCATGAATAATCCCAAAACTGGACAAAATTTTATTGATTTGACAGATTTATTGCTAAATGCGCCAGATTATATAAAGTGGTTTAAGACGGAGTCTTGTAGTAGCTATAGTGCTTTTCATTCAACCCGTAGTTGTGTGGAAAAGAAGAAAAATAAATTTTATTGTGGGCATGAGACTAATGAGGTAGGATTTCTTAAATTGGTTAGAACCATAAATACCTATACGAAACTCCAAAAATATTTTCTAACGAAACAAAACGAAACTAAAAGGCTCCCGGAGATTTGGGGAGTGGACAATTGGGGAGTGGACATTTGGGGAGTGGATAAGTGGGGAGTGAGCGGACATTTGGAGAGTGGATTTTTGGGGAGTGGACTTTTGGGGAGTAGCCTAACGATAAAAATAAAATATCAAATAGTTTTTATCTTTTGTTTGTTTACAAACTTTCTTTCTTTTGTTTACAAAGAGAAAATAAATTGTTAAAAAAACTATTAGTTTTAATAATTTTCACACTTTATTTACAAAGTGCATTATCGGTCTTAATATATGAATTAGAAGAGCCTGTACTTCCATATGTTTTCAACATTAAATATTCATCCTAAATATATAAAAATAAAGAAATAAATACATATGAAATTTGGAAGAAATTGTTATTCATTTGTTTCATTCACAAAATATTTTTTTAAAATTTGTCAAAAATTAAATGTCTTCTTCTTCCGAAGAAGGAGAATTACCTAGAGCCCAGAATGAACAAAACCAGGAAAAAATCTTTTTTTTCGCTAAAACCTCTAAACAAGCGGATATTTTAACAGCGGATGGATATGAATATAACTATGAATCTGACAGTAGAACAGCACCAGGTTATCGATTTTGCCTAATATATCCTGAAGTATGCTTAAAAATAATAGTCATTTAAAGGTATAGAATATTGGAAATGTATCCGCCATAGTCCCTATTGTCCAGGGCGTATCCATGTTCAAGCTGAAATTCGGCAAAACGAACAAGGACAACGATATAAAATTGGTGTTTTGAAAAATAATCGTCACAACCATCCTCCAATTCATCCATCTATCCGTTCTAGTCAAATGGCATTGAGAGAACAATCTATTGCTGAAAATCCTACTTCAACCCGACAGGTACCTTCATTCATTGCTTTTTAAAAATAAGCAAATTCCACAAGGCGGTTGATGAAGTTCGTTCGAATATACCTCAGGAGGTTCGTGCAACTCAGGCATCATCAAGTGCTTCTATGGGAAGAAGCTACCGCCGATATGTACAAGAAGCACGCGCAGAGGCTGGAGATGACTTACTTGACCTACCTCAAATTGTTATTCCTAATAACCTCCAAGAAATAACCATTTTTGATGGAGTTGAGGAAGGGAATCGAATTATTGTTTTTATGTCAGAATTTGGTGCTAATTTGCTTGAACAAAACGGTGTACATATCTCTATAGATGGGACCTTTAAAGTAATTTAAATTAATAAAATTAGGAAAAATTTAGCAGGTCGCTCCGATTCCTTTCGTTCAATTATACAATATTTCTGTTCTTGTTGATAGTGTTGCTATACCTGTAGTATATGCGTTGCTTCAGGCTAAGACTATTGCACAATACAGACGAGTAAGTGAAATGTAATTTAGATAATATGTAATAGAGATCAGTCTGGATCTAGATCCAGTCTGGATTTTTTCTTGATCAGATTTTTCCTGGATCCAGATCCATAATCCTGTCGAGGTTACTAACCTAAATCCAGATTCAGAATCCAGATCCAAGATTTTTGAAAATACATATATTTAGTATGTAATATTATCAAAGGTTTTGCTTTCTGTCCATGAAAGGATCCCTGGTTGGGAACCTGTAACTGTTATGTCTGATTTTGAACAAGCGGCCATAAGAGCTTTCGAGGAAATATTTCCTAATGCTACTCATAATGGTTGTTTATTTCATATGAGTCAAAGTATATATAGAAAAGTATGCACCAATTATTTCCTTTTTAATTTTAAATTGTAAGGTTCAAACATTACCTGGTCTTAATGCTCTCTTCTTGAATGCAAACCAAGAAAACCATGAAACCCGAACTCTTATTAAATCAATGATTAGTCTTGCTTTTGTTCCTCCAGGCGGTCCCTTATATAATTACTTTTGTCTAATCGTAAGACAATTTCCACAAAACCTGGAAGTTGAAGGTATCTATTCTATTTTTAAATCATTTTAATCTCTAATAGAATTGGTTCGATATTTCGTTACGACCTGGATAGGATGCGCACAAGTACTTCAAATTGAACCAATTCCTTTAGAAGATGAAGATGATGAATACGGAGCAGTCGATGCTTGGATTCGTAACTGGATTATGAATAATGGTTTGCAACATAGGAATTCTTTATTTCAGCAAGAATTGTGGAATATGTGTGAAAGGTGTATATTTATTAGGGGTGGGGGCCCGGGCCGGTCCGTTCCGAAAGATCTAGTCGGGCATCAAATTCTGGGTCGAAAAAGACTCGGTCATCATAAAAATGAATCCCATAAAATGACTCGAACGTCGGCCCGACTTGAAAACCCCAACACTTCATATAATATAGATCTAATGTTAAAAAAATAAATTTTTAAAATAGAATTGACAATCAACTTTGCCGCACCAACAATTCACTTGAGGGGTGGCATCGTTCTTTTAACTCATTATTTCGTGCCTATCACCCACCACTTAGCACTTTTGTAAAAATAATGAAAAAGGAAGATAACCACTGGCGACTCATTGTCGAGGACTTTAACAATAATCCTGTTAATGGTATTAGAGGGAAGGTAATTTGTTTAGACAAAAAAATTTTCGAGTATTCTATAGGGTATGGAAAGAAAAAATGTTTATGTTGCCCAAGATGCTGCATTGTTAGCAATTTTTAACTCTCGTGAAGAGCGTGAGCCACTAGATTATCTTCGGGCCATAGCTTATAGAATGCCTAATCCGGAATGATGTGAAGTTATTAGTTTATAATAAAAAAAACTAAATTAGTCTGAATGTATTACGGCATATTTTAGAATATTTTTAAAAATTTCTGTCCACTCCCCAAATGTCCACTCCCCAAAAGTCCACTCCCTAAAAGTCCACTCCCCAAATGTCCGCTTACTCCCCAAATTTCCACTCCCCAATTGTTCACTCCCCAAATGTCCACTCCCCAAATTTCCGGACACGAACTAAAAATAATACGAAATGACTAAACGAAACTAAACATTTCGTGAAGGTCTGGTCAGAGATATAAATCGAAAAATAGATATATTAGGCATATTTCGTTCTCATCATATCGCTGCCCTCAAATGTTTGTCCGCAAATGTCCTGGTCATTTTTAATGTCCACTCCTTTTGATATTACTAAAAAGAGGCCGCGGAAAAATTTAAATTTAAAAAGTTAACAAAAGGGGAGGTTTCTAGTAGTGAATGTGACTGACTTCCTACTATAGGAAAAATGGCTAGGAAAATTTTTACAGAACAGAGACCCATCGAGCTCTACAAGATCCCTTAAAAACCTATAAAAATATTAAATTTCTAGAATAATTGTGGAAAAGAAGGATTTGACCAAATGGAGATATGTGACCACCCAAACTACGGATTAGTAAAGGCCTCATTCGAAAAAGATTTGGAAATACAGAAAATAGATGTTACCCATCCTAATAATAAGTGTGATAGGCGTTAGATTTTATTTATTAAGTAGAGAGCGAGCTGGGTTGCAAACCAGACCTTGAATCTTACCTGGATTCAGAGTCCAGACCAAGGCATTTTTCAGAGTTCCTTGATTTCTCCTTAACTCAAGGTCAAGAATCTGGTGGAGGTATCCAACCGAAATCAAGGTCAAGGTCTTTTGAAAATCTCGCTCTCTGTTATTAAGGTGAAATTAATTTTGTAATTTTTAACTGTATTTTTTACTAAAAATTTTTCCTATGCCAAATAAAATTTTCTTATACATTTTTTTTAATTTTTGAAGCATAAATTACCGTATTTGTTCTAAGGGAAGTACTGAGTTTTTATTTTTTAACTTTTATCTTTTGTGAGGTTATTTTAGCGTTTAAGTTTAGGGAGTTTAGGGACTGGAAAAAATTTTTTTAGTGTAAAACGAAATAAGACAAACATAAATGAATTAGTCTAATTTTTCAGAAAAAAATATTTCGATAGGTTAAAAAGAGTTAGTCTCCAAAAACACCTAAATGCCCAAAAAAGGCCCTTTAAGACAGGGAGGGCTGCATGCATTTGCGGATTTTAAAAAAATTGCGAGCGGAATCTTTTTTTCAATTCCGTGCTGCCCAGTTTGAAGGTCGCTTCGGAAGATTAAAGGCATCTCTCAATAAATTTTTTCTGAAAAATTAGACTAATGCTATCTTGTAGCAAATTTCAAGGGCTTTCAAATATGCCTATTTTGAAATTTCAAAATAATATATACTATACCGTATCTCTTCTAATAGTGCGACCGGTCGATTTATTTTTCAACCATCCTCTAGAGGGTCGGTTTATTAGAAGGGGTCGGTTTAATAACTTGAACTTTACGCTCATTTCCCTATAAGACTTGATGGATACTCTTTGACTCCCTTAAAACCCTTACAAGGATCCTCTTTTCTTAAAGTAACTTAGGATTACGGTAAAAAAATTTAAAATTAAATTTATTTAATAAATTTTGCTTTTCATCTTTGCCTTTATTTTTGCCATTAAATTTAATTTTGTATCTTATTTCTTAAAAAGATCTATTTTAAATGCCCTTTATATGTAAATAATTATTTATTGGCAAATAAAATCCATCGGAAGGATAGCGCATTCACGTTGATTTTCCAATTCGTCCCACCCCAAAATGCCCAACAGAATAAAAATACCCAATCCGTCTCACTACAGGCTAGCTAGTCTCTCACCACAAGGCGCTTTGCAGCTAATGATCAATGCTGTTTAAAACCCGGGAATCGAAAGTTCGAATAGCCCTGAAAAGATCAGATTCAAAATTTCGATTTTTTATTTAGAAAAAGCTCTCCTTGCAAGAGAAAATAAATCCCTCCTCTCTACAGACAATTTTATTTTTATAAGGAGGGGAAATTAGGACTCTGGCCCTCATTTTATTTTTTTAATTTTATTTTTTTTATTTACTTAAGAAAATATTTTTTTAATTTTGCTGAGATTCTCCTATACATAGTAGACTGTAGAGTTAAGAAAGGGGCTCTCGGAGGCTCTCGGAGCCGGGCTTCAGTGTTCCTGCAATAAAGCCCACCCTGGTACAGATAAAAAATAAATGCCAAAAGATTTAAAAAGTTTGGCTCCATCTTTTTACCATTATTCACCCTCATTAATATAATTTTTAAAATTAGAAAAAAAAATTTCTTAAAAAATGCATCTCCGGACAATTTTCTCTTTGATTATTTTGTTGGCTATGGCTAATGAAATCTTTGGAGGACGACGAAAGGATAAAATAGCAAGGGAAGTCCAATTTTCTGCCGGGCATTCATCCAAGACTTCTTT